GAAACCACCGTTCACATCACTGCGGGGGGCAACCTTGCAACATACCGCAACAAACATGGAGGACAACGGCAGTGTTACGAGGTGCCCGCATTCGGACCTACCTGCTGGAAAAGGTGAGGGTCTGCGAGCAGCAGGCACAGGGAATGACATGGAATTACACTGCTGTACCTACACTTGTACAGTGTACAGGGATGATGATAACCAACTACTAATTGGCAACTCCGACAAAAACCAGCCAATGTAGTCAGATTATATCTGGTTGGTGGTTTCAAACATGTTTATTTTCCATAATATATGGGAAGATCCTTCCCATTGACGAACTCATATTTTTCAAGATGGCTTTTTAACCACCAACCAGATATGGATCAAGACGGGGCATTGCTCAGGTGGTTTCTCATCGCTGGATGCCTGTCAGCCTCGGCGCAGGAAGGTGAGAGAAACTATCACATCTTCTATGAAGCATGTGACGGTCTCAGGGCCTTCATATAGAAAAAACCCAGTCGGGCCGGGTTCCATTGTGGCGATTTGACGTTTCGAGAATCGACGCCATTCCGCCATTCACTGGGTGTGGCCCAGGAAAAATCGAAGGATATCTGTAGATTTGATATGGAAGCACCGAATCACCATCGCCACGACGAGAATCAAACCTTCTCTTTTCAGTACCAACAAGAAATCTCCAGCAATGTGTTTTTTTCCTTCCCTGCCCCCTCAGTTCAAAAAGTTTCCGGCTATTCGATAGGCACTCAATAGTACTGCAATTTCATCTCTTTGAAGACAATGAATCTCCAAAACCTATACTGTAGTTCGTTAAAGGAGGGGGGTTGAACATACATGAACATACCCCAAAAATACGCAGTAACTTTACATATTTAAAGTATAGCAACCCACCAAAAAGAGGCCGAACAGGACTTTTTAAATCGGAATTACAATGGGGAAATTTTTGGTAAAATTCTAGGAAATTAAGGCTAGAACATACAGTGGATGGTTGCGACATCCTGCAGCAGTTGAAAATATCGGTGGTTTCTCCCATGATTTCTCTGAGGTGCTGCCGCTGCAAAGCTGGGTGGAAGCAAGGCACTGGAAGACTGGAAAAACCACGTCATCACGTCACCACTTTTTACGACTTCAGCTGGAAAAGCAAGTGACATCTACCCTCTGGTAATTTAACATAACTATTGAAAATGACCATTTATAGTGGATTTTCCCATTAAAAAATGTGATTTTCCATGGTTATGTTAGTTTACCGGAGGGTACATTCATTTTGTGTCTGTGAAACCGTTAAAATTCAGCATTGTTCAGGGTGATTCACCATCTTTGATGCTTATTGATGTTTAGATCACCATCGTTCACTATTTTTGATGGTGAAATCACCTTTGTTCACTGTTTTTCATGAGGAGAAAACACACAATTTTCCCGCGTGCTTGGCGTGCCAGGAGTATTCCTTTCCACAGGTCCTGCCCAAAGAGAAGGCTTTTTTTGGGGCGTTGGAAGACCTGATGAGTGATTTTCCCCATGAAATAGGATATGATAGGATTAAGCTGGGGATGGTGCCCCAGTTCGTTTGCAAATAGTTGGTTTATAACTATGTTATACCCAGTTTGTTATCTAAGTTGGTGAACATAACTATGTTATAACAATGGTGTATGATACGCACATAATTATATTGAGATGGAGTTTCAAAGTAACTTATAACTGGGGGGCACCATCCTGTAGGGGAAAATGCTTATTTTTAGATATGGCCGATAAGAATTCCCCGATATTCCGGGGTGTTTGAAAATCCGCCATTTGGGGAATCGATTACGGGAATCGATTAAGGGAAGATGGACTTAATCACTAGCTATCTAGTGGAAGGGAACCAAGAAGCTATAGGTATGCATATTCCCCTTTTAGGCATTGGAAGCCAGTTGCAGCCACGAATTGAGTTTCCCAAGCACATAACAGGTAAACAGGCATTTTTTTCAGGGCAACACATCTATATTTGGTGGGATTTTCCAGCAAACCATGTTTGATTATATATCAACGGGTAAGTGTATCTGAAAATGATGGATTACCGGTATCCCCAAATAGTTATTTTTTCACGGGAAAATCGTTGATAAGTTGATACATCGTTTGACAAAACCCGCCAGTTTTTTTTTCTCACATGGGATATGCATCGGATTCAACGTAGCCCCAAAAATGGGCATAGCACGGTATACCGGGCGAAAATCTGCAGGTGGTGGATGAAATGGTGGTCAACTTGGAAGGTGGGAACCGGTATGATTGGATATGGTAACCTTCAGATAGAAAAGTGATTTAGCACTATTTCAGTGGGGATTTGCTATGATTTACTTTTCTATTTTTTGGGGGCTTACATGGGGTTACTATATTCTTACCTGCATGAAGTAGGGACTTTCGTATAGGAACATTTCACAGTCCACTGGTCCACTGGCATGTTCGGGCTTTGGCACTTATGGAACTCCGCGGCCACCCACCAGGGGGTGGATGTTCGTGGGTTGACGCACTTTTCCGGAGGTTTGTATAGTGCCATAATCCCCTGACTTGTTGACACTTGGGTATTTCCTAAAATAGGGCTACTCCCAAATCATCCATTATAGATTGGGATTTTCCCTTGTTCTCCGAGATGAAGAATCAGCGAGTCAGCACGTCGCCCAATGATTAAGAAACCCAACACATTTTGAAACTTCTGATATCTGGTTGGTGGTTCGGAACATGACTTCTATGACTTTCCATATATTGGGAAGAATCATCCCAACTGACGAACTCATATTTTTCAGGTTGAAACCACCAAGCAATATAGTATAGTCTATTTGGAGAATAGTTTTTCTGGATAATGTAGATGATAATAGTGGATGACAATATCTGGATACTAGTTTGACACAAAAAATCATGTGGATGATAAGTGGCTGAATTCTATGGTTTATGGTAGATATAATGAACTCGTTTTCATGGGGGTTTTGTTATGGTTTATCTGGATAGTTTAGTATAGTTGATATTAGTTGACTATTCTCATCCAATTGGTTTAAGGATGTTTATCTACCTACCAGTCCTCTAGAATAATATTTATGATGTTTCTTTGAGCATCTTCTTTCTGTACCTTCTGGTAGTTTAAGATTAGCTATGTAAAATCATCATTTTCAAGTGGTCCAAATCTGTAAATGGAACATTTTCATCAATTTTACATAGCTATTTGAAATGACCAGAGGGTAAACCTCATGGGTTTCATTACCCCCTGGTGATTTGTTACATAGCGAACTGGACCAGATGGCCCATAGAAAAAGATGGATTTTCCCAGCGAACCAAACCTCCATTTATTTCATGGATTTCCATGGCTATGGTAAACAAACATAGCTATTGAAAATGGCAATTTATAGTTGATTTACCCATTAAAAATGGTGATTTTCCACGGCTATGTTAAACAACCAGATGGTAACAAATATACAAATAGGATATACTAAGTCCCATTAACCCATATTAAGTCCCTATTGTTGATGGTTTAATGACTATATTAACCAAACCAACTTAAGGTGAAAACTGGCCTATTTTCCGGACCATCTCCCATGGGGGAATCGAGCTCGCTCGCCAGGCTTCTCGGAGCTGGGAAACTTTGCCTTCTTGACACGCTCCACCTGCCAGACGCTGAAGGACTTGATATGACTTGATCGGATGGGGCACGCCAGTTATAAGTTGGTTTATAAACCATTATAAACCAATTAGATGAGACTGGGATGATCATGGATAATGTGGGAAATCCAATAATCAACTAATATCAACTATACTAAATTATCCAGATAAACCATAACAAAACCCCATTAACTAGTTCGTTATATCTACAATAAACCACAGAATTCAGCCACTTATAAGGCAACTGAACGCGAACTCGACTGGGGGCCCCATCCTGTATTTCTATTGGGGAAATTTTAATGTGGGATTTATCCCATCAATTCCAATGATCCCATCAATAGGAAAATTATCCAATGTTTTATGGGCTTTTGTTAGGGAAGATTCGTGAGTTTTATATGGTTTTATGAGATATCTTTATGTTTGGGCGCCAGGATAACATCTATTTTTATCAGGGTGTTTTATGGAATTGTCGTGTTTTATGTGGGATCCACCCAATATAACCACCATTTGGGAAAGGTTTGTAATACGTTTTTATCACCCATTTATGCCAATCTTGGGGAAAGTGTATCGCACTGGGTTTATCACGTTATATCAACTATCAACTATCAACTATCAATTGCTTTTCAGGATGTAATTACTTTAGCCAGTGTGCGTTTTGGTGGATATGCTTCAGAACTATTTCCAATTCAGTAATCAGACTTAACATGTGTGCACCCTCGAAAAAGAACATGGACCCCCCAAATTGGCAATATGCGATAGGAACATCTTCTTCCGGACACCAATTTCAGGGTTCCACCTTAAATTTTGAGGGACCCCCCCAGTCCCTGCAATGACGAACTGCCTGGAACCTAGAAGAAACATTATTGGTCAAAACATGGCTAACCTGTCATTTTTTTGGAAAAAAAGGCTAGATTCGGCTAGATGATAGTTACTTAAATGTCCCTGATTGATTTTTGGTGACGATATATGTAGAGAAAGATATGCTGTAGAGCATCCCCCCAAAACAACATGATTCACTCCTGTTTTAGTAGGATTTTACTTTTCTATATATATATATACATATTTTGTTGGGATTACTCTCCAGTCACCTATCATAGCTATTGAACATGGGCCCTCTATAGATGATTTACCTGTCAAGCATGATGATTTTCCAATGGTATGCTAGTTTACCAGTGGGTACTCTCCTCTCTCTCTCTATACGATATATATACACACACACTACATATTTACACACACACATATATATATATATATATACACCACACACACACATATATATATATTCCCAGTACAGTATATTCCATTAAAATCCATCACCAAAAATCCCTGGAAATCGCTGCATCGCAAAGCTCATGCTGCAGGACGTGGATGACGTGGAGATGTTTGAGCGACGCATCAATGCCATGCAGACCATCGGCATCAAAAAGGAAGATTTGGCGCAGGCTGGACAGATGTCCAGTTTATGTTTGGCATAACTTGGTGATTAGTGATGGTTAATGATAGTTAATGATGGGATGGTTAATGATGGCTATTGGTGATGGTTTTCATGGGGATTCATGGTGGTTTTTGTGGGGATTAATCACGATGAATGGAGAACGAACCCCCCTGGTAAACTGAGATTGCTACGGAAAATCATCAGTAATGGGTAAATCACCGAACTAAATGACAATTTTCCATAGCAATGTCACATTACCAGAGGGTAGCCAGCAAAATCGGGGTTAATGAATTGGGTATAAATACACAGTATAAACCACGGATATTTTGTGAGTAAACACCAGTTTCTTTGCTGAATATCCAGATTGAATATATGAATATGTGCTGTAGTCAAGTTAGTTGGATTTAACAAATTTAACCATTGAAAATAGGGATTTGGTGGGACGTGCTTGAGGATATAATGGGACATACAACCAACTATAATCAGAAATTGGATGATAAACAACAGACATGGGAAATCGTACGAAGCCATTGTTTAATATCCAGTTGTATCCCATGTAATGTCAACCCCGGATTAATAAACCATTGTTTATTAATTAGGGGGGTACTCCTCCAATAGTCATAATCTAATACTTAAATGGTACCATCCCAATTAAACAGCCTAGGGGTTTATTGATCCAGGGTTGACATTATTGGTTGATGAAATCCTTCTTTATGGCTGGCAAACCCCCAAGCATCGCATCCACCATCAATGCGGGAAACCCATCCCAGTCATTAGGGGTGTACCCAATGCCACCCGAATGATTGGGGATGGTGTATGACACTGTTTTTACCACATTTATAGTGGTTAATACGATCCCCCCAATTGACATAGACAACGAGAAGAACAATTCTTGATATTTTTGTGAGGAAGGCACTTTTCCAACCCACAATTTAGCAGGGTCTATGTTGGTTGCGGGAATAGTGATGGGTATTATATATTTAATATGTATATATATATATATGTCAAAATAATCCTCAACAGCGCTCAACAAAATAATCCTCGAGAGCGCTCAGGCTCACTTGCCTAAATTAGATCCCAAACAGAAGAAATCCTATATTTCAGCAGCCACGTGGGCCCTACTGGAACAAAAATGGAAAGCCATTGAGGACGGGAACCATGAGGAGGCAACCCACATAGAGAGCAGTATCAAGAATCAAGTCAAGATTGACAGAGAAGAAGATTTACTTGCAAAATTGGAGGAAATTACTGCACAAGGCTATAAATGGGACGGTTTAAAGAAGATGCGGGCTAAATTCACTCCAGCTTTTACCAAGTTCAAAGATTCGAATGGTAAACATGTTCCCTACAAGGATTATCCCCAAAAAGCGGCTGAATACCTTCATGATGTTCAATGGAAACCTAATACTGTTGATGCTTCTCATCAATCACGTCTGCATATTCCCCTTCAAAATGGAACCTATCACGTTGACGAATCTCCTTTCACAATTGAAGAGCTTGATTCTGTTTTGTCGCAGTTGAAACGAAACAAAACGCCAGGAGATGATGGAATTCCGGGAGAGCTTTATAAATGGCTTGATAATCAAAACAGAACCTTGCTGTTGAAGGCAGCCAACGACTGCCTCGAAGCGAGCCATATTGACAGAAAATTCTTAAACGCGGTCGTTGTCTCCATTTATAAAAAAGGGGATTCCTCTTCTCTGGCTAATTATAGACCCATTTCGTTGCTTTCCTGCTGTTATAAGATTGTCGCTGCTCTTGTCAAGAATAGGCTTCTGGCAGGTCTTGATCCATGGCTGATGCAAACTCAATACGGATTTCGCCCTCGAAAATCAACAAGCCAAGCTATTTACTTGGCAAGGCGACTCCAAGATCATGCTGAAAAATCAAAAACACGGAGTACTTTGATCCTTTTGGATTGGGAGAAGGCATTCGATAAGGTAAGTCAAGATAAGGTGGTCGAAACTCTTAAACGTTTGATGGTCCCCTCAAAGATTTGCAACTTGGTCGCAAGTTTTTACGAAGATCCTCAATTTAAAGTCAAAGTTGGTCATTCTAGTTCAGATTGGAAATCACAACGTTCTGGCATCAGACAGGGTTGCCCATTGAGTCCGTATCTATTTGTACTTCTTATGGGTGCCCTTTTCTCAGATTTAAAGGATGAACTACGCACTCCTCGACAGCAAGAACCTATTGACGGAATATATTTTTCTGAAGTTTTGTTTGCAGATGACACTCTCATTTTCGGCGCAAATACTCGTTGTATAAACGTCTTGCTGCATGCTATTGAAAGGCACTCTCATTATTTTGGTCTAAACTTGAATTATGACAAGTGTATAAACATTACTGCCAATCAGAGGGTTTCATCAGTCCGTTTCTCGCCGACAGGCCCTGGGCAAGGCAAATTGGTTCCCAGGAAAAATTATGCTGTTTATCTAGGTACTTTACTTACGGATTCTAATAATAATAAGGCAGAAATTCTCAATAGACTGGGTGACTGCATTGCTACTGCTAACCGGATGAAATTGTTTTGGACGAAAGCCAACACTACAGTAAAATGGAAAATCCAAGTGTTCAACGCCATAATACGCTCAAAACTTCTTTATGGGTTAGAATGTATTCAACTCACAGCAGCAGAAATATCTCGCTTGGATGCTTTCCAGAATAAGTCGTTGCGTCGTATCCTTGGGAAACCGCCTACATTCATTGACAGAACGGAAACAAATGAGCGAATGTATGCCGAAATCCGGGATCAACACGGATGTCATTTTGAGAAGTTTGGAGATACCTGGCGCAAAGCCAAACTTAAGTTCTTTGGCCACATTCTAAGATGCAGTAGGGCCGACCCACTTTCTCAAGTAACATTCGCAGCAGATGGTATTCGTCCCAGACATGTAGTATATCGGAGACCTGGCAGACCAAAATTAGATTGGGTGATAGAATCATACAAAGATGCTTTTTCATTTTTAAATGGACAAGGCGTACTGTTTGACCCTGCAAATATCAACCATTTACGGCAAGTCAAAGAACATGCTATTCTCAGAGCATTCTAACGGTATTGGCTTGCCAAGGCTTCGGCCTCTCGAGGTACTTCGTTTGGTAATCTCTTCTGTTGGAAAGCACGGTGCTTCAGTTTTTTTCTTGTGTAAAACTTTCACTACGCAGCTGCAAGCGAATCTGGCTTGCAACATCCGCTTCGTTTCTGCGCTTCGGGAGCTCATTTTGCTCGTTTGAAAAAAAAATATATATGTATATGAATACACACTATATATATATGTATATATATATATGAATGCGTTATATATATATATGTATGAATGCACACACACATATATATATATACACATAGGAATCAGTTGATTAAGGGTAAGAATAGCAAAAATGGTGTAAAGGTCATCAATACCTATCTGACTACATAGTCCATGTTGCTAAGAAACAAACTGGTTTTGAAGGGAATTGACCCGAAGTTGATTGGAGTTATCCCGCCGGGAACCTAAGCTACTGGGGTTGTCCCTACTTTGGATCAGGAGACTTATCTTAGCTGCCTTAGCTGTTTGCCAGGAGCCATGGGTATTCATATTCCCAACAGCAGGGCCTGTTGGGTTTCAATCTCTAGGGCTGGGGCTGGCTCGCGGGGACTTGCAGCCTTCAAAATCCGGAATGGAACCCTGGAACCCTGGAACCCTGAAACCTTGGAACCCCGGAACCCTGGAACCCTGGAACCCCGGAACCCTGGAACCCTGAAAACCCTGGAGCCTTGGAACCCTGCGACCGTGGAACCCTGAAACCTTGGAACCTTCTGCAACCTTGGAACCCTGGAACCTTGGAACCCTGCAACCCTGCACGCCTGGAACCCTGCTGGATCCTAGACCCTGAAACCCTGGAACCCTGGACCCTGGAACCCTGGAACCCTGGAACCCTGGAACCCTGGAACCCTGAAACCTTGGAGCCCCGGAACCCTGGAACCCCGGAACCCTGGAACCCTGAAACCCTCCCTGGAACCTTGGAACCCTGCAACACTGCACACCTGGCACCCTGCTGGGATCCTGGAACCCTGAAACCCTGGAACCCTTGGAACCCTTGGAACCCTTGGAGCCCTTGGAACCCTGGAAACCTTGGAACCCTGAAACCGTGGGACCCTGGAACCCTGGAACCTTGGAACCTGCGACCGTGGAACCCTGAAACCTTGGAACCTTGGCACCCTGGAACCCTCAAGGATTCTGGAACCCTGCAACCTTGGAACCCTGACCCTGCAACCCTGCACACCTGGCACCCTGCTGGGATCCTGGCACCCTGCTGGGATCCTGGAACCCTTGGAACCCTTGGAACCCTTGGAACCCTGGAAACCTTGGAACCCTGAAACCGTGGGACCCTGGTACCCTGGAACCTTGGAACCCTGGAACCCTGAAACCCTGAAACCTTGGAATGCTGGAACCCTGGAACCCTGCAACCCTGAACCTTGGAACCCTAACCCTGGAACCCTGGAACTTTGAAACTTCTGGACTTTGGAAACTTCTGGAACCCTGGACCCCTGGAACCCTGGAACTTTTGGAACCTTGGAACCCTTGGAACCCTGGAACCGTGAAAGCAACCTGGACCTTTGGTCATTGTTTTGACAAAGCCTTGAAAAGATCATACTTCCAGACCACGCTGGCGCGCCTGGTATAGCCAAATCAGATAGCAATTGGCAGCCGAAGCTGTTTGGACCAAGACTCTGCTGGACAGGAATGCTCTAGAAAGCACACCCTCTGACCTCTAACAAGCTAATTTATCAAACATTGCTTTTGGTGTCCATGGTCCTGTCAGCACAAACGCGCACACCCAGCCAGCGAAAATGATTCATGCTTCAGCGACTACTCTAGTGTCACTACATGCAACAGGCCCTTCAAGCCAAATAGTCTTAACCCGGTAGAATGTTTTTGCCCGACATTTAAAGTACAAGATTGTATGTAACATTATTGCGGCAAAAGGTCCGAAAAAGATAATTCTCACTCACATCTTGTTTTATTTTGGCTGGGCACATGCTCTTTTGGGGTTCAATCTCTGGGGCCGGGGAGTGGTGACACAAAAATGCACACCCCGAAAAAACGGAACAGCCCTGGAACCTTACTGGAACCTTACTGGAACCTTGAACCTGGGATCTGTGTTGGAATGCTGGAATCCTTGCCTGAACCTTTGAAGGAACCTTTTCTGGAACTGTGGCATGAACCTTGCTCACCAGGGTTCCAAGGTTGCAAGGTCATGGGGCAAAGCCCCAAGCTTGCGCCAGGATGCCGAGGATGCAGGTGTCCAAGGTTCTAGGACTTTCTCAAGATTAAAGCGTTCCAAGATTTTAAGGTTTCAGGGTTCCAGGATTCCGGGGTCTAGGTCAAGGTTCCATGGTTCCAGGGTTTAATGAGACATGAAGCAGCCCCGCACATTAAGCAAAGAAAAATACAAACTAATACAACAAAATTCAAACTGAATCCGCAAGTTTTGCTATGGCGTCCGGAAAGGTTCCTGCAAGACTTCCTGCGAGGCGTTCCTGCAAAGGCTCCAGAAAAGGGTTTCTGCTCTGGAACCCTGCAACCCCGGAACACTGAAATCTTGGAGTTTTGCAAAACTATGGAACCTGCAACCTTGGATTCCTTGGAGCCTTGTAACTTTGGAACCCTGCTACCTTATCCTGCAACCCTTGAGCTCTAGAACACTGGAACTTTCGACTCTTTGCGTGAACCTTGGTGCTTCCTGTGCACCCGGGTAGCCTTGCGCACTGGGAACGCTCAAGCTTTACCTGAAACGTTGAATTGTGGGACTTTCACAATATGGATCCCTTGGTCCATGGAATCTTGGAACCAGGACACTTGAGTGTTGGAACTATGAGACTCTAGGATCATGGAATTGTGGAACCCCAAACTTGGCCTCTTGCAATCTTAGAGCCATGCTACCCTGCCTGTAAACCGAGAGCTCTGCGAAAAACTTTGAACCTTGCACCTTGTGAAACTGTAGAGTTGACGCTTTACTGTGGATCATACTGATCATTGTCATACTGTGTTTTTCCCAGCAGCGAATCTGTTGGGTTTCAATCTCTGGGGCGGGTAGAACCTTGCTGGAACTCTGCTGGAACCTGGTGAAACCTTGCTGGAACGTGGTGAACCTTGCGGGAACCTCGCTGGAACCTTGTTGCTTGAACCTCTGGCTGGCACATTTTGCTAGGAACCAATGCGGGTGGCGATTTCGTTTTTCTTTTTACATTGTTTTTTGCTTTGCTTAATGTGCCAGGTTGTAAGGTTGGAAGTCTGGCTTGAACTTTGCTGGAACCGTTTTGCAACCTTGCTGGAACCTATATGGGAACAACTTCTGGCTTTTCTTGGGATGTTTTTTCCCGAGAGCGTCTGAGCGAAGGGTTCTTCTAATAGTGGAGGTCTGCTATACATCTTCATATATGTTCACATCACATCTTCTCATCTTCACATCGTCACTCTCTCTCCTCCTCTCTCTCTCTCTCTCACATGGTCTCTCTCCTTCTTTTTCTCTTCTCTCTTTAGGCCGTGGGCGGTGCCGACGAGGCGCCACGAAATAATGTTCGATCGTCAAAAACTGACGTAAAATTGCGATCTTGCATCCTCCGCGGCAACCCTGTCGCTCGAAATGAAGTTCGAGTGTCAAGAGCTGGGGTAAAATTGCGATTTTACATCCTCTGCGGCAACCCTTTCGCACGAAATGATGTTTGAGTGTCAAACCGTTTTTTTTTGCGGGTTTGGTTGGTTCTGGTAAAGGGTCTGCGCGTACAAGTGCTTGTGTGTAAAAGTGCTTGCGTGTAAAAGTGATTGTACGTAAAAGCGTCTGCGTTTAAAGTGTTTGTGTGTAAAAGAGTCTCTGTGTAAAAGCGTTTGTGTAAAAGCGTCTGCGTGTAAAAGTGTTTGTGTGTAACAGTGTTGGTGCGTAAAAACGATTGTGTGTAAAAGTGTTGGTGCGGTAAAGAATATGTGTGTAAAATCGCAGTTGTGTGAGGCATGTATGTATGAACATGCTTGTATGTAAAAATGTTTGTCTCAATCCTTCTTCCTGTGTCTCCTTCGTTTAATCTTGTTTTTCTTTCTCCTTCAATTTCTTCGTATGTCACTACTTTTTCACAAAATGTCTGCAACATGTCTCTTCATCTTAGGCATCATCGTATATTTCATTTCTATATTTATGTTTCATGCTATAAGATCTTCATACTTATACCTCTCACTATGCTCCCCTACGCTCTCGGGCCATCCGTCGTCTAGTTTGAATGGCGACTGGCAACCAAAGACGACGGTCCCTTGCTGAAACTGTGCCGGAATCCTTGCCTGAACCTTTAAAGGGGCCTTTGCTGGAGCCCTGGCATGAACCTTGCACTGCAAGGTTCCAAGGTTGCAAGGTCATGAGGCAGCCAGGAAGCACCAAGGTTCATGCAAAGAGTCGAAAGTTCCAGTGTTCTAAGGGTTGCAGGATAAGGTGCCAGGGTTCGAATGAGTTTGAATTTTGCTGTATTAGTTTGTATCTTTCTTTGCTTAATGTGCGGGGCTGCTTCATGTGTCATCAAATCCTGGAACCATGGAACTCTGTGGAACGCCAAACTTGGCCTCTTGCAACCTTGGAGCCTTGCTACCCTTCCTGGAAAGCGAGAGCCGAAAAACTTTGAACCTTGCACCTTGTGAAACTGTAGAGTTGACGCTCTACTCTGATCATACTCTATTTTCTACAAACTGAAACAGCTCTATTGTGTTTTGCCTTTGCTTTGTATTGTTGTTGACGAACCAAGACAAGACCCTTACAAGTCTGGAACCATCCCTGATGCTTGGAACCTTGAACTCTGGAAACCTGGAACCCCAGAACCCTGGTAATCTAGAACTCTGGAACCTTGGAGAGCTCTGCAACCTTGCAATCCTGGAAACCTGCAACTGCGGAATCTTGGAGCCCTGCAAAGCCTTTGAACCTAGTCCGATAACAGTGCAACCTTGGAACACTGGAACCCGCTGTTGGGTTGCAAAGCTGGGTTAATTCCCCCAAAAATGGGGATCCAGTTGGAGCTAGTAGTAGTTTCTGAACCACAAGAAAATAGCAACAAACCGGATTTCAACCATTTCTAGCCCATTTGCAGAAGAATTCTGGTGACTTTCATGCTGATGAAAATCTGAAAGGATGTACCCCTCTGAAAATCGCCAATACGCAACGATTTTTCCGGGCGGCTCACCAGATGGCGATGAACTTTCCTGAGCACTTGCAGTTTTTGCCAGCTGGGTTTGGTCAAGCCACCATTTTTTTTTTGGGGGGGGGTTGGTTGCCCGTTACCCTTTGGCAATTTAACATAACTACGAAAAATTGATGAACATAGTCCATTTATAGTTTGCCTATTGAAAACGGAGATTTTCTGTAGCTGTGTTAAATTACCATAGGGGAACCACCTCATGTTTTGGTCCCTTGGCCAGGTCTTCCATATGGTCGCTGCGGTGCTCAATCTGGGCAATACCAAATTCGATGTGCGAGAGCCCGGGGTTTGGGGGTTGGCCCACCAATTTTCTGGTTATATACCCTTCGGTCATTTAACATAGCTATGCAACATCATTTTTTTTGGAACTACCCTCTGGTAAACTAACATAGCTATTGAAAATGGTGATTTATAGTGGATTTATCCATTGAACATGGTGATTTTCCATAGCAAAATGTTAGTTTACCAGAGGGTAAATGGCATTTTTTATTGCCAGAGGGTAATCAATATAAAGGATTGTACTACCCAGCCAGGGTCTTTTCAGGAGACTCCCTTAGGTTCGAGGAGACGGCCTTTGCATATTGATCCAATGTGGCGGATGACCCTCTGGTGTCATCAAGCATAGCAATGGAAAATCACCCATTTATAGGTGATTTTACAGTGATTTTCCTATTGACATCCCTCAAGCCGTTGGGAGCTAGTATGATTTTAACAGGAATGGGATTCGTTGAACTGTTTGACCGTTTAACAACTCAGACCTCCTGACAAATCAGTTCTGCCAGAAGGTTTTCTTGCTGAAGATTTTCCAATTCGTAGGGTTCCATCCTGAATTTCTGGGTTTCGGTCCCGCAACCTTGCCTGAATATGGTCATTTTCGCCTTTCTTGAAATTTGAAGTACCCCCAAAATCTTAAAATTTGAAGTACCTGAAAAATGCCAGTTTTTTCAAGTCACAAGTCATTGCTTTCCCTGTAAAAAAGGAGCACTTTTGGATGACTTTGGGGTCACCTGAAAAACCCCCAGGTGACTCCGATCTCTCTGTGAGGCTCCGCCCAATAACAGTGAAGGCTCCATGGTGATGAAGGTGGCGGAGGGTCGGGTAAGACGTGTGATGGACCGTGGGTGGGTTGGGACTTTAGGGCGATAGAAACGAAGGCATGATTCATATGGGATATATATATATATAGTAATATATATATATACATATATAATAAAGTTATATAATAAAGTTATATATATATATATAATAAAGTTATATATATATATATGTATTATATTAATATACTGGTAGATTAGTATTTAGTGGGATTTAAATATAGTAATATAGTGATAGTTGGGAACTATATAGTTGGATCATACTATAGTTTGGTAATATATATATATATTATTAATCCATTGTTGGTAACTATATAGTAATAACCTACATATTATATAGAAGTTAAGGGATGATTATACCAACTTATAGATGAGATATATATATATAATTATTACTAGTAACTATACTTTAATAATAGTAATAGTAATAGGTTATATGGTAATTTTACTATATTAGCAAACTATTTTATATTAGCCAACTGTACTATTAATTAATATAGTAATTAGTAGTGATAGTTGGTGACTATACTTTTAGCTATAAGCCATCTATCGACACACTTGAAGAACACACACACATATATATATATATATCTAAATATAATTACCCTCTGGCTATTTAACATAGTCATGGAAAATGGCCCATTTATAGATGGTTTACCTATTAAAGATGGTGATTTTCCATGGCTATGTTAGTCATAACCAGATGGTAATCAACACTGGTTAGTACCCTAGGGTAAAGTAACATAGATGTGGAAGATCAACCTGTAGAATTTGCCGATTTTCCTGGGGTAAAGGTCCATGGCCCATGGCTTTTCCACATCTATTGTTAGGGGACGCCCTAGGGTATAGCTGTACGCCATCTATATGTGGGATAACCCACGAATCGCGACACTTACGAACCGGGCTTATTCACCGGGATGCTCCTCCCAGCATGGGGGGGAAATCATCGAATGGTTTACCGGCAATTTCCACTATACGAATTGCCATTTGGGGTATATACATATGTATATATATATAGGTATATAGATATATATGTATATATATATATAAATCATTACGTCTGTATATATATATATATAATTATATATATAATTATATATATAATTATATATATAATTATATATATATAATTATATATATATATGCAATTTTCAGACACACGCAGGTGATTGAATTCTCATAATCTATCCAGATTTAGCCATATTTAAGCATCATTTTTTGATATTTTTGTGTATTTGGCTAGTGCTTTCAAAGACTTTCTTATTTTCAATCCTATTTGGGCTGCTGATCCAATTAACTACACTTTTTTGGCGGATGGGTTGAAAGCACCCACCGGAACCATTTGTTTACAGATTTAAGTTCATTTAAACAGCAACATTTGAACGAAATTCGGCAAATTGCCAGGAGGAGGACCATTATTATTTTCGGGCGTGACTTTCTTGAGTATCCCCAGAACTTCCAGAATTGGTTCACTGGAAGAGTTTGCAGAACCCCACGGCAACATTAAATACACGTATCATTTCGCTTCTTCACCTCCCTGTAGCTATTTTTTTCTCCATTTTGATGGATTCAACCGCGAATAGATGCGGTCTCCAAGAGGAATTGTCTCCAACAATAGACCAACCCGACCAACCCCTCAAGAAACAAGGTTTAGTGGTCATCAACAAGGGATTTATGGCTGGAGGGGGAAGGGATCATTGCTGCACATTCACCAGAAAAAATGGTTAGAGGAGAATCATCTTAAGCGTGGTGTAGATTTCGGGGGTTGCCCTGATTTTCCCATATTTTCTCTCCACAGCAATCCTATGTCTCTGGGTTGTGGATCACTCGAAAGATCATCCATATATGACTCATAACCCCCATCTTTGGGAAAATTGCATGCAATGTGGTAGGCCCAATAATGGACCAAATACTTGGGATTGTTTATAGAACCCATTCATAATGACGTTTAGCATGTTTTTTTCAAATATAATTGGGGTTTACCAAATATACATATATATATAATTATAGTATATATATATAATTATACATATAGATGTATATATATATATTTAATATATACATATAGATATGCAAAGTATATTATAGGGTTCTTTCCTATGGCTCATTCCCGCCAGGAAACGGAGGGGAACGTCTCCATGGCAGAGAAACTCTTGGGGATCAAAAGTGGGGTTGGCGGCCCCAGCGGGGGAAACTCCGTGAGTCTCTCAGAGTCGATTTGATTGGATCTTGGTGAACCGATTCAAGCCATGTCTGGAAGTTATGGTCGTGAATTAAAAAACACTCGTTATAAGTGGATACAAAAAAAATCGTGGATTTATCATGGTGGGGTCTAGTTCCCATTATCAGTGGATATATACCCATATTTATAGAGGTTACCCTCTGGTAATTTAACATAGCTATTGAAAATGGCCATAGAACTAGTGGATTTACCCATTGAAAATCGTGATTTTCCATAGCTATGTAAACGTTTACCAGAGGGTACACCCATATTTATAGAGGTTATATCAGTTATATCCCCACTTCTGGTGTTTTTTTCGCACACTGATGCCCTTTTTAAAGTAACTGCACCCCGAAGTAACACTCCAAAATGGTGATGACTGGATGACAGCCACTAAAGACGTACATCTAAAAAGTAAAACCTGCAGATTTATCATGAACCTTTAGATCAATGGTAATTTCAGGATCCTAAAATGGAGGTACTGTACCATGTAAGGCCATATTTTGTGGGGATATTTCCTTACATAGGCCTTACATAGGCCTTATATATGGTAGGTACCTCCAATTTAGGTTCCTGAAATGACCATTGATTAGAAGCACGGCTTTAACCAGAAAGCAGTTTCTTATGGATGGAGAAAACCATCTACAGATGGGAGATGTTGGCGATGTTGGGAAGTTGGGATGCTGGCATGTTGGCCTAGGCACTCACCTACCCCAAAATATTCGCAATGTGTTCTGGTAAACCCCAATTTTAAGCTGGCGACATATCCTTTAGTTCTTTTATTTCCATCCATGTCTAGATACTCCAATCCCTTCAGATTGGACAATCATAGCTATGTCATAGGGCCTGCGCTGCCCCCGCACAAGGACTTGGAAAAGGCCTTGTGCAACCAGACACGCGTGACGCGTTCCGAGCGCATCCGGAGTCCGGTGAATGTGCGCCAGGCCAGGTCGGGACAGGTCCGGACAGGAATAGTCCGGTGAATCGACGACGATCATTGACCCATTGGTCTGGGTAAATCTATGGTTAATCTATGGTGAATCTATGGTTAATAATGGTTAATAATGGTGAATCTATGGATAATATATGATATATCTAGGTAAATTTGATCACGACCAAACCCTGTTCGACCAAACCCTGGAATCATGGTTTATTTAGGGGAAATCATCCCCAAATGGCCTTATTTCAGGTTGATGAATTATTATAATTTACCCAGATTGGTAAACGTTTACATAGCTATTGAAAATGGCCATAGAAATAGTGGATTTACCCATTGAACATAGTGGATCTTTCCAGTTCGCTATGTAAACGTTTACCAGAGGGTAGGTTTTGCGAACTGGAAAATGGCCATAGAACTAGTTGATTTATGTTGATTTACCTACTAAACTTTACTAAACATGGTGATTTTCCAGTTCTTAAACTGTTAAATTACCAGAGGGGTACCCCTTGGACATCGACCTTTTTTGGAATCAGGCCTTGGCGCGTTTCCAAGGCCTGTAAATGGGGAGATTTATGAGACATTTATCAACTATGGCTATAGTTGAGTATAGGCTATGGTCTGAAGGAACTGAATTAAATTGAACTAGACTTGGATGGAATCTATGTCATTCAGGCTGTCATTCGTGGGCTTAGGTGCCAAGATTTGAGAAGCTCCCCGCATTAGCCATGAAAAGTTTAGGTTGCAACCAAATCCATTGAACATCCAGCGGATTTCTTCAACCAAAAGACCAACTATATAGCTACTATATAACTACTGGTTGGTGGTTTGGACCATTTTTTATTTTCCCATATATTGTTAATAGGAATCCCAACTGACGAACTCATATTTTTCAGAGGGGTAGGTATACCACCAACCTGGTAGCACGCCATAGGTTCCCCCCTGTGTTCACCCACGACTCCCCCTAAAACATGTTCGTGGACCACGGCCAGGCTGCTGACAACCGGGATGCTTTGGCACGTGCACTGTACGGGATTGTCTTCAACTTCATTGTCGCTCAGCGCAACTTCTCGGTCACGAAAAATCTGTTCTTCAGCGACTGCCCACACTCAGCTATTTAATTTTGATGTTTTTGGTAGTCTTATTGTATCAGATTGTATCTATACCAGCCCCGGATTCAACAAACACTGGTTCATCAGAGATAATCATAGAGAAAGGCTTAAGCCACAATGCTGAGCATCTACTAAAATAGAACCCCCCTAACAGTAACAGCGGGGTTTACCAATGACAGCCCAGGTGCACAGCACCAACCTGTCCATTGGCTACATCGACGATGTGAAGCTCTTTGTAGGTCTGCCAGTTGGGGAATCCCTCAGGTCGCATCAAAAAACAAGGGAATCCTCCAGAATTTGGGTGATTTCGGATCAATTTCTCCAATCCTGAAGAACTCAGACATTTTCCCAGGTGAATCATTTGTAATTCAGTCAAGATGTACTTTTCCATATTTTTGTGACTCAAGATAACCATAGATAAGCTGGTTGAGTATCTAAGTGTCAGTTATAAATGTAATGGGAGGCCAACTGTGCAAACATAAATACGTTCATGTCTTTGCTCTTGATGTGATGGTATCAGATTTTGGAGGTGTTGCCAGCTGAATTTCAGCGGGCGGGGTCCTGCTTGAAGAAAGGCTGCTGCCCTCAAAGCGATAGGTGTTTTCATCAACACTTACAACTCTCGCACCAACAAGCTGATTATTTGGGATGGAACATTGCAAAGTGGGGCCCCCTAGATAGCTAAGTTGGTTTATAACTCCAATAACTATGGTTTATGGTACTTATAACTCTAGTTATTGGGGCTTATAAACCAACAAACATAACTAATTAGGGGGCTCCACATTGTGTGATTCTGATAGTATTCTCCTCTAGATAGCCGTATAACGTTTTATACTTTAGGTTGGTGTTGGCCCTTCTCAACGTCATGGGGTGATGTTGATATTTCACCACGGGCCACCATGGGGAACCTGGGATTTTGGGCCCTATAACTGGGTGAAATTGGGAATTAACAGCACATTTCAGAATCACATCGTTATTATAATATTAGGGAAAAACTATTTACCGGGTGATATGTATTTTAAACACACACATATAGATACGTATGTATTTTAACACACACACACATATATATAGATACATATACAGTACAGGATGGGGCCCCCAGTCGATAGCGTTCAGTTGCCTTATTTCAGTGGCTGAATTCTATGGTTTATGGTAGATATCACGAACTAGTTGACGGATGTTAATGAGGTTCACAAACCAACTTATAATACAGTAACTGAGGAAAACCATCCCTGTGACCAGAGATTCTGGTTCAGATTTTTAGGGGGGAATTTGAGGTTTCTGCTTTCACCTGAACGTTAATTAATGGGGGTTTTGTGATGGTTCAAAAACGCCAACGTTCACATCACTGGGCCCCTGGGCCTTCATCCAATGAGTTCACATTATGAGTCCCAGAGTCATGTCGCAGGCGTGTTGGACATCTTTGGCTTTGAGTGCTTCAAGATGAACTCGTTTGAACAGCTCAAACGCTCAGCTGGTGAACATTTGTGGTGGGTATTTTACCATCAAACATAGTGAACATGCACAACTTTTAGTTATCATTGAACATTTTTTTTTTGGAATGTATTATTGGACGATCTCTTGCTTTGCTTGTGTCAGAACCTGTTGTTGGCCTGTCAGAATCACATGGCCGCGTTTTTTGTTGTTTATATAAATGCCGATTTGGACCCTTTGTTTGGCAGGTGGAATGACAGTGGTTTCCGTAATTTTTCAAACAGGGTCCTGGGGTTCTGGACCATTGTGTTTTCCAAAAAAGAATTGTCTCGGACAGTTTCGATAACTATCGAACATCCGGCCCCAAATCATGCCCGGGACTCAGCAGACATGGCATTCGTCTTGACAAGAGCGACAGGCTCGGGAGGAATCTACTTTTGGCGTTTGCATGGGCCAGCTATGTTACTTATATACACTCATTGAAGAACGTTTTCAGGGAGCACCCAATTACCGTAACCCCCATGTACATACACATACACATATGAATATGATATCGCATATGCATATGCATATACGTGCGCGCGCACACACACACACGCACTAACACATATACATACATACGGACGTACGACGTCCGTACATACATTACACTACATTACACTACATTGCACTACATTACATTACATTGCATTACATTGCATTACATACAGTACAGTACAGTACAGTACAGTACATTACATTACATTACATTACATTACATTACATTCATACATACATTTATAAACATGCATGTACATATGCACACACACACACACACGCATGTACATATATATACATATATATATAGGTGCATACGTATGTATATAAATCTATATGCACATACATGCACACAAAAGTTCCCTGCAGATTTCCCCTCATTGCATCCCCATCATCCATCACCATGAGGCTGTGCATCAACTTCACCAACGAAAGGCGACATTGTTTTGGGCGCGTCTTGAGTGGAAAGTACTCCCACTGAAAAGTCAGAGGGTACGAAGTAACTGCGGAGATTTAACTAACAAAAATGTTTCTGATTGGTGGTTTGGAACATTTTTTATTTTCCATAATATATGGGAGAATCCTTCCCATTGACTAATATTTTTCAAGATGGTTAAAACCACCAACCAGGTTTGTACAATGAGGATACAATGGGGATATAATGGGAATAATGTAGCAAATCACTGCCATACGCCATCCCTAATTTCACCAGAAACAGGTGGTGATGGAAATCCAATCGATAAAGGCAGGAGGCAACGTATATAAATATAAATATATAAATTTTATAAATATAAATATAAATATATATATATATATGTATATATATATATGTATATATATATATTTATGTATATATACATATGTATATATATATATGTATATATATATATGTATACATATGTATATATATATACACATATATATATATGTATAATATCCATCCCAAAAGCAAGAAACTTGGCTGACTCGATCCACAAATTGACTGGAAACCATCTCCCATCTGACGGTGTTTTCTCATTACTGTCTGGGGTACGCCCCCAACTTGAAGGATTATCATATATGAGTACTATATGAGTTGGATTCTCCATCTTTTCCACCAGGTTGATGGTTAATCAATGGTTAATCAATGGGTAATCAATGGATAATCAATGGGTAATCAGTGGGTAATCATGATCATCATTTTTCCTTTCAACTTGTCATAAATTGGGTTATCCTTCATTTGTCAAGGCGATCTTTGCCCCTCGGCATTCCTTTTTTTTCCCTCCCGGTCTGTGGAAGGGTTGACGACTTGGCCTGGCAAGGCTTCAGCAATTCTTCAACTCCTTCGTCTTCAAGTTGGAGGAACAACTCTATGAGCCGCTTGGAGCTGGTGGGAATCTACCTCGAGGGCTGGCTTTGTGGTGATTTTTGGCGGATTTTCCCTCTGGAAAATCTGGCAAATCCGCCAAACATGGGGAATCTATGTGGAATCATCGCTATTTTCATGGGTTAAACATGTTTAGACAGTGTAAACCTCCATTTTTTCCAGGGGAAATTCCCCATTTTTCGGGGCTTCGTCCCATTTGTCAAGTCTCGTCGTTTGAGGCGCGAGGGCATTCCGTGGGACGCCTTGGACTTTCCAGACAACCAGGCGAGGCGTTGACGAAGCGTAAACGTGGGCCACTTCTGGCTGGAGCTCAAAATCATAGGAAAACCATAGGAAAACCATAGGAAAATGGTGGTTGAATGGGATTTAATGGGATTTTACCCTCTGGTAAACTAACATAGCTGGAGCTCAAGTTATACAAAGTGGGGCCCCCAAACGATAGCTAAGTTGGTGCCAATAACTCCAATGTCACTATGGTTTATGGGAGATATAACGAACTAGTTAATGGGATTTATAAACCAACTTATAACTGGGGGGCCCCACATTGTATGTGGTATATACTGTATCTGGTTGGTGGTTTGGAACCATGGAATTTTATGACTTTCCATATGTTGGGAAGAATCATCCCAACTGAGTAATATTTTTCAGAGGGGTTGAAACCACCAACCATATATATATATATATAAATATATAAGTTCTATAACAGTTATAAGTTAGTTGCAAATTATAAAAGTTGTACAAATTCTATATTCAGAGAACGCGACGATCATCCCATCCCACTGGAACTGGTGATGGAGCGGTTTTTTGGAGCGCTTCGATTATCCAAGGGGCCAGCCATGATCAGAGTTTCCGAACCACGTGATACATATAATATATATATATATACATATATACATAAATAATTAAATATACACACACATATATATATATATACATATCTATACACAGATGTGTGTACCTATATTTAGATATATATATATATATATCACTTACTGTAGATTCCAGCAAGATCTCCAATCTCTTCCACGGATCGTGGTGAATTTTGATCCCTCAAGTCGTGTCGAGGATTCCGTGGACCTGTTGGCGGGGAAAAAGGAAGGCGTCTTCGTGCCAAAGCTCAGCGCTGCGCTGCGCTGGTGCCATGAAACCTATGGAGATGTTGATAAATGATGGTTGATACCCTCTGGTAATGACTAACAGTTTGCTATTGAAAACGGTCATAGAAATAGTGGATTTACCCAGCTATAAAATGGAGATTTTCCAGTTCGCTATGTTAAATTACCAGAGGGTAAATGATGGTTGATACTTGGTGGCGAACTAGCCACGGCTCGTTTTTGTGGGTTAGTTCACCCCAGTGATTTACATGGGATTTTTGTAGGGTTAATCCACTTATAATTGGGGTGAACTAAGCCACTGGTTATGTTGATACCCTCTGGTTATGACTAACATAGCCATGGAAGCCATGGCCCATAGAAATACATGATTTTCCCATTAAAACCTCCATTTATGGTTGGGATTTTCCATGGCTATGTTAGTCATAACCAGATGGTAAATGATATAAATGATGGTTGATAGCTGCTAATTCTGGTGCCATGTTATACCAACGAGTTGTGGAAAGAGGGGTGCTATTTAAAACTCACCAGAAGAATGGGGCCCGGAGTTTCCCAGCGTGACTCATTCGTGACCCAAGGGGAAAAACACATGCTTCCAGGTCGAGTTGCTGGGGTTCAGTTTGGGATAGGTGTCAATTTCCAGGTCAACGTTTCCCAGAATATACCACTTCAGTTATATCATTGTCATAGTCATACGCCAGATAGCTCACTGATTATATTATATTATAATAAGACATGTATTTTTGGGTATATCTTAATTTGGGAACTACAGTCGGATGTCGTAACTCCGAGTGCCAACTAGTAACCCCCACAAGGATAAAGCAGTCAGTAGTTTTTCATATGTTTTGAACTTATTCGTTTTTTTTTTCTCCTGAGCAGTGTTCAACCCCCCTCCCGCCGTTTATTATTTTTGGGGGTTACACTACCCAATATATTGGGGATTATCATCATCCATGAGATGCAGTTTGACACAATACATGACGGTTTTTCGCGGGATTCCCGCGTGACCCACCATCAAAAAATCCTCAGTTCAATACCATCAGAAAATAGTATTAACCAACCAGTCCCTGTGAGGGCGCAGTCAAAAACCAGTATGGGCAGTCTTCAGACTGCTCATGATGCGATTGATGGCTGAGTAATTCCATTAATCCCATTATCTTTCAGTCATTGGATTGGTTTAAGGAACAAATGCAGGGTGGGATCGGTTCGGTTCGGTTCGGTTTCGGTTTCCAGGAACTGGTGAATTTCCGGTTCCCGGTTCGGTTCGGTTCGGTTCCTCGGGATATAATTTAAAAAACGGTTCGGTTCGGTTCGGTTTCCGGTTCCTAACCGGTTTGGTTTCTGGTTCCTAAGCGGTTCGGAGTAAGTCATGGTCTTGGTATTTGCTTTTTACGGCCATTCAAAAAAGCAAAACATGTTCAAAGTTAGTTGGTTGTTATGATTCATGTCAAGGACACGTTGCGTCAGGTGGACCTGGTCGTGGAGGCTGTTTTCGTTTTTCTAGGCTGCCAAAAAAGCAAATCCAACACGAGAGCACAAGGGTTGTGTTTGTGCTTTGCATAAGGGTTGTGCTTTTTCTTTTTTGTGGCTTTCGAAAAAGCACATCCAATACGAGGGCACCAGTTTTTTTTGCTTTTTTGGGGCTTCCAAAAAAAGCAAATGCAATAAGAGGGCACAAGGGTTTTGTTTTTGCTTTTTTGGGGCTGCCAAAAAAGCAAATCCAATAGGAGGGCATAAGGGTTGTGTTTTTGCTTTTTGGGGGCTGCCAAAAAAGCAAATCCAATAGAAGGGCACAAGGGTTGTGTTTTTGCTTTTTTGGTGCTTTCAGAAAAAACAAATCCAATAGGAGGGCACAAGGGTTGTGTTTTTGCTTTTTTGGGGCTTCCAAAAAAGCAAATCGAATAGGAGAGCCCAAAAAGCAAATCCAATAGGAGGACACAAGGGTTGTGTTTTTGCTTTTTTGGTGCTTTCAGAAAAAACAAATCCAATAGGAGGGCACAAGGGTTGTGTTTTTGCTTTTTTGGTGCTTTCAGAAAAAACAAATCCAATAGGAGGGCACAAGGGTTGTGTTTTTGCTTTTTTGGGGCTTCCAAAAAAGCAAATCCAATAGGAGAGCCCAAAAAGCAAATCCAATAGGAGGACACAAGGGTTGTGTTTTTGCTTTTTTGGTGCATCCAGAAAAAAACAAATCCAATAGGATGGCACAAGGGTCGTGTTTTTGCTTTTTTGGGGTTCCAAAAAAGCAAATCCAATAGGAGGGAACAAGGGTTGTGTTTTTGCTTTTTTGGTGCTTCTAAAAAAAACAAATCCAATAGGAGGGCACAAGGGTTGAGTTTTTGCCTTTTTGTGGCTGCAAAAAAAGCAATCCCAATAGGAGGGCAGAAGGGTGTTGTTTTTGTTTTCTTCTTTCTTGGGCTTCTAAAAAAAACAAATCCAATAGGATGGCACAAGGGTTGTGTTTTTTGTTTTTGTGGTGCATCCAAAAAAAACAATAGAAGGGCACAAGGGTTGTGTTTTTGTTTTTTGGGGGGCTTCCAAAAAAAACAAATGCACTAGGAGGGCACAAGGGTTGTGTTTTTTCGTTTTTGGTGCTTCCAGAAAAAACTATAGGAGGGCACAGGGGTTGTGTTTTTCCTTTTTTGATGCTTCAAAAAAACAAGTCCAATAGGAGGGCACAAGGGTCGTGTTTTTGTTTTTTTTTGGGGTGGGCTTCCAAAAAAAACAAATCCAATAGGAGGGCACAAGGGTTGTGCTTTTTGCTTTTGTGGTGCTTCCACACAAAAAAAAAGTCCAATAGGAGGGCACAAGGGTTATGGTTTTGCTTTTTTTGGGGCTGCAAAAAAACAAACCCAACAGGAGGGCACAAGGGTTGTGTTTTTGCTTTTTTGGTGCTGTCAGAAAAAACAAATCCAATAGGAGGGCACAAGGGTTGTATTTTTGGTTTTTGTGGGGCTTCCAAAAAAAAACAAATCCAATACGAGGGCAGAGATTGAAGGGAACGTTTGCTTGAGAGAAACAAACAGAGCACATGCCGGCGGTTCGCATCCGGTTCCTCCCTCCGGTTCGTCCGGTTCGGGAGCTTATTTTATACATTAGCGGTTCGGTTCGGTTCGGTTTCCCAACTGCCGGTTTCTGGGCGGTTTCCGGTTCGCGCGGTTCGGTTCCCGGTTCGCGGTTCGGTTCGCGAACCTTCCTGCAAATGCAGGAAAGCCCCCTATTTAATGCAAAAATCTATGGTGTCCGGTTTCGATTTTTCCCCGAAAAAAGCAATTCATTGAATCAGTGGTTTGAACTGGTAATGGTTTTGAGGCATTTCGCCCACCTTTTTCTGCTGAACTTGGAGGTCGTAGCCACGCCGAGGCCATGTTAGATGAGGAGTGCATCGTGCCTAATGGATCGGACCAAGGTGGATCTGGCCCCGGTGTTTCGTCTCGGATCTCTCTGGTCGGATCTCGTCATTTTTTTCACTGGATTGGTTTAAGGGAAAATCGAAGCCGGAAACCATGGTTTTTACCATCAAATATAGGGCTTTCCGGTTTAAATTTTCCCATCATCCAATTCTATGATTTTTTTGGGTCCCCCATTTTTCGGAGACGGTGGAGATGCTTGGAGGATGGGAAAATTTCTGGAGAACATCGATGAATTCGATCCAGCGGAAATGGGACAGAAATGGAACCTATTCACCAAGTGCCATGAGAACAGAGTGGGTGATCCGCTTCTTATTCTCTTGGTTTGTTTTTTTGGGCTGTGCCGTCTCCTGCGCTTTTTTGGTGGATGAAATCTTGAGAAACCAAAGGGCCTCGCCACAAATTCTGCAAGCCACTTCAGGCTCAGGGTGGTTCCGCAGGGTCGCAGGGTCTAGTTTTGCTGCTCTGACACTCTCTGAGAGGCACCGGATTTCAGGTAGAAAAGGGGGGGAAGGTGGAGAATCAATTTCCGACGTGGGATCTTCCAAGAGAAACCAAGACAAACTTGGCTGGCAACAAGCCGAAGTGGAAGAGCGACCGCTGGGTGGAAATGCCGCTTAAATAGTCCAACGAGCATTTTAAAAGCATGGCTGGCTTTGAAGCAGGTTGTTCCAGATTCGGTTTTCCAATCTGCCAGCATCGCCATGCTGGTTGCACCCGCCAAACCCTGCAGGCTGTGCCATGGGACGTAAGAATCGCGACTCTTCGGACAGCGAATCGGAAAGCGATCGACGTGCCAAGGTGGGTGCTGGCAGCTCACCAGCTATCACCAGCTATCACCAGCTATCACCAGCTCACCAACTGCTTCATGAGGTGTCCATTGCAGATTTTGCGTGTAACCAATGTTTGTAGTTGAGATACTTTGGGGAGCATCTCTCGTGATTTTCCTGTCACCGATGCCACCATTGCTACCATCTACCCCGGGCAGGAGAAGAAGACACGAAAAGACGACAACAAGCGAAAGGCGCATAGAATCACTGGCTGGTGGTTTGGAACATGAATTTTATTTTTCCATCTATTGGGAATAATCATCCCAACTGACGAACCCATATTTTTCAGAGGGGTAGGTCAACCACCAACCAGATTATTATTAACCACCATTAACCATATAATAACCATCATCATTAACCATCATCATTAACAGTATATTAACCACCAACCAGTTATTTATAGATGATTTTCCCATTAATCATCATTAACCATATAATAACCATCATCATTAACCATCATCATTAACAGTATATTAACCACCAACCAGTTATTTATAGATGATTTTCCCATTAATCATCATTAACCATATAATAACCATCATCATTAACCATCATCATTAACAGTATATTAACCACCAACCAGTTATTTATAGATGATTTTCCCAGCTAGAAACCTCCATTTAAAAGGGATTTTCCATGGCTATGTTAGTCATAACCAGATGGTAGATATTAACATTCATTAACCATACAAAAACCATCATCATTAACCATATATATATAATGATATATATAATATGATAGATGTATGCAGATATATATACATATATATATATATATGTATGCATATGTACACACACACACATATATATATATGCCCCAATGAACTCAGAGTTTTTACCAGGCTCAATCTTCCTCCCATTTCATAGCTCATGTTCATGTCTTATTGCTGTTCTCAGCTGCGGTGACATGCGGGTTTACTCGCACTTTCTTTGTGTCACTTGTACTCTTAGGAAGCTTGCAAGACAGCATCTATGTTGGAGGTCTTGCTTGACTTGCATATCCCGATTTTCTCTGACAACGTGTTTGACCATGGTTGCCCCTAGAAGAGAGAGAGATATATATATGTATACATAAAATTAAATAATTATATATACTGTATATATATAATATAATATAATATATATATATATAAATAATATATATATATATTATATTATATTATATTATATATATATATATACATACTTATATTTATGTATTCATATCTTTTACATATGAATATATTCACACATATTCATTCATATCCATGAATATGGTTATGATTAACCATTAATAGTGGTTATGATTGTTATTAATAGTGGTTAGTAACTCTTAATGGTTCGTGATACATAATGGTTAATACCCTACAGGATAGGGCCCCCAGTCGATAGCGTTCAGTTGCCTTATCAGTGGCTGAATTCTATGGTTTATGGTAAATACAACGAACCGGTTAATTATTTACTGATTTGTGGTTTGGAACATGAATTTTATTTTTCCATCTATTGGGAATAATCATCCCAACTGACGAACCCATATTTTTCAGAGGGGTAGGTCAACCACCAACCAGATTATTATTAACCACCATTAACCATATAATAACCATCATCATTAACCATCATCATTAACAGTATATTAACAGTATATTAACCATAGTTATTGGAGTTATAAACCAACTTAGCTATCGTTGGGGGCCCCACCTTTGTGTAATGGTTGATAAACCAACCTTCACATCACTGGGGCCCGTCCTGTACGGACTCGCCAGGAGCGTGGCCGCAGCCGTGGCCGCAGCAAGGAACGCCGCAAGGAGAAGAGCGCCGAGCGAAAGCCGGCGCCGAAGCGCGGACGTTGGGGGTCGCCCAGTGGGGGATGGTCGCACCGGGGGCGCCTGTTGGGGGACCAAACATGTCGGGAAAAACAGGGAAAAATGGTGATTTCATGGCGATTTCATGGTGGTTTGAATGGGATCAAACGGGACGGTGGCTTGATTTCAGCTGTCAGGTTGGTGAATTACTAAAAAAAAGCCTGAAAAATAGCGATTTGACCATTACGAATGGCACGGAAATCCCAATGACTCGTGGATTACCTCTGAGTGGATTGTGGAGAAAAACACTAGTATGGTCTATAGATACTCTGTGTAAACATGAATGAATAAGTAAATACGTGTAAATAAATATGCATATACACGTATGATATGTATATATATATAGGCGCATATCTCTCTCCATGATTTCTAGTACTGTCAGAGTTGATAGCAGCAATCCACTGTACTGATTTGATGCTGCGGCCACCTAACCCTTCTCGGGATCCTTGAAGCCCTCAGGTTCTGAATCTGAAGACTCTGAGTCCAAGTCGTCTGATGATGAGGAGGTTTGGGCCTCGAGAAATGCCAAAGGCCTTTCCTCTAATTAGACTCTAGTGGCGTGGATCATGTTTTACGCATGTTTTCCATGATTAGTTGCAAATGGGATGATGATTACTTGAATCCCAGACTATTATAGTAATAATCATGGAAAACTGGGACTATAGTTATAAGTCATCCCAGACTATAGTAATAAGATATCGTAATAAGACTGTAACTATGATTGTTACTCATTATAACTGGTCAGTAGCTATAGTTATAAGCCATCTATGTGGGATAAGCGACGAATCGAGGACGAATCCGATCCCCCCTGCGCTTTTCACCACTTGCCGCCCATCGGATGCGGCCTGGGTGGATCACATCGTAGGTCCCCAAATGTGGATGTTTTTTTAGTCCCTATTTTCGAGGCGTACATGCCGATTTGGTGGTCGTTTTACCACCATGTCTCATCATTCTTGTTGGTGATGGAACACCATTTTTGTCGGTTAAACCCAACTATTCTTGTTGATCAAACCCTCATTTTGCTTGGATAAACATGATTCAACCCGCATAAACTGCGGCTTTCCCCGGGCAAAAACGCTGGCGATGCTCGATCGTTTGGGCGCTTCACTCGTCTCTCGGACAGGAGATGAAGGAATTCCTGCTTAGCACCGACATGCCCGAGGACCTACTGCCACTATCAGCTGTGGAATAAATTGTGGCTGGGATCGGGGGAGACTAGGAAATTCATGGTGATTTCATGGGATTTAATGATGGTTTCCTGGGAGATGGATGAGGTGGAGTTGACCAGGAGTGATGGGATTTGGATTGGGGGATTATCCCAAAAATAACAAAACTTTTAAGGTCAGTGAATTACCCTCTGGTGAACTAACATAGCAATGGAAAATGGCCATTTATAGTGGATTTTCCCATGAAAAATGGTGATTTTCCATAGCAAAATGTTAGTTCACCAGAGGGTACTCAATATGTTTCTGGTCTACTACATCACCCGCTCAAAGTTAAACTCTTGTCAAATCAACCAGCCACCAAATCATACGTAACCCATATGTAGCCCATATACCTGGAGAAATTCCATGATGTATAGTTACTGGTTGGTGGTTTGGAACATTTTTTATTTTTCCATTCAGTTGGGAATATCATCATCTCAACTGACTTTCATATTTTTCAAAGGGATTGAAACCACCAACCAGCTAAATATATTTCTGGATACAGTAAATAACTTTGGGGGATTATCCCCATATATTCGAGGATTATCCCAATATATTTCATGTACTGTATCCAGAAATATATTTATGTAAACCATCCAACTATAACCAACTATAGATAGTTATGCCCATTGGTAATCATCCGCGAATATCCATGAATATACAGACATATAAGGACCCTCTGGTCATTTAGCAGCTATGGAAGATTACCGTTTATTGTAGTTTGATGATCTAGCCATTGAGAATGGTGATTTTCCAGTTTGCAAACTGTCAAGTCACCAGGGGGTAAAGCCTTCATCCAATTATTCATTATTATATATTCATCAATTCTTCTTGGATTATTTTTACAATAGTCAGTGAAACACAAAAAACTATCCAGAAATGTCATGTAGAATTTAGGCCTACAAGTAGAGAATCTCAATACGCAGCATGTCAATGTAGAAGTGTCTTGTTGGACTAGTTTTCTAATAGTCAGTGAGTTATAAAAATCTATCCAAAAATGATAGTTTATCATCATTTACCCAGAAATGTAGGGTTTCCCTATGTTTTCCTGTATTTTTTTCCCTCACAAAGCGTTCATGGAATGACCAGACGTGCAGGATCAGATGCTCTCGAAGATGATGGGCTTTAGCGCCTTCGATAGCTCCAAAGGAAGGGACCACAGCTGGGGACACCCAGATACAGCAGCAAAGCAGCTACCCGCGCGTTTTTTTTTGGGAGTGGGGGGGGTTAAGTGAAGTGAGTGGTGCCCTGAAATTCTGAGAATTTAGATTTGGAAGAACTCAAGTGGTTCGTGTGATTTCGGGCTTTAGATGATCTTTAATTTTTGACTACCCTGTAGTAATTCAACATTGCGTTGATTTACGTATTTTAAATGATGATTTTCGATAGCTATGTTATTTCTAGCCCTCAATAAACGGTTGACCCAGATACCCGTCACTGCAGGCACCAGCGATCTCAGTGATGTGAAGCGTGCTACCAAGCGTGGGGGGGCCTGTGATTGGCTTCCCGCAGTTTTGAAGCCATGGCTCCGACAGTTGGAAATCACCTGGGATTTGAATGGCCGGAACCAATCATTTCATTCAAATCATGGTTAAGTTCACATTTGGCTATGGATCAATACCTATACATACCATTTTTAGGGGGATGAACATCCATTTACCAGCTATTTTGATGTTCACCAGGGGGTTAGGGTTTTGACCCATCCCCATTTGAAACTGGGGTCAGATGAACGAATATGATTCAACCATGTCTTTCCGGGGCCATGGTCACCATCCCAATTACCCTCTGGTTATGACTAACATAGCCATGGAACATCCCAACCATAAATGGAGGTTTTCATGGGAAAATCATCTATATATAAATGGGCAATTTTTCATGGCTATGTTAAATAACCAGAGGGTATCAACCGTACAAGGAGGCAATTATAAATCATTGTTATTCAATGGAGACCACACTTGTCAGATGGTTTTTCCTTCGGGAATCAAACATGGTTTGCTGGAATATCCACCATTTATATAGATGATTTTTCATAATCACTTTTATGGGATCTCAGTTGGCTCAGTCGGCGTTTCCCAGCTAGCCATGTTAGATTGCCGAATTTTCTGAAGGAATACCTGGAAATGACATCCAAAGCAAGATCCCAAGCAAGATCTTAATCCAAGTCTTACATACCACTATTATATCCCTATGATATCCCAAGAATATATAATTCCTATACAAGTTATAATCCCTATGTCCACTATATACCCTTGTAGAATACTATAAAACCACTATTAAATCCACTATTGGCTGATGAGGCAAGCCGAGGTTTGGGATCCTTCCGGTCCCTCAAAACACCCTCCGCCTCTTAGGTCAATACCGTCAGTACATGAACCGGCGCGGAGGTTTCAACCGACCCTTGGACGCTGCGTTCTAGTCGCGGCGCGGCGGTTGTTACCTACAACGGGCAAGATGCAGGGGACCTCCACTCGCCAGTGCGGCATTTTGTGGCACTTTGATCATGAGAATTGTAGCAGCAACATCTTGTTGCAAAAACAGCGGCAACAGCGGCAACAGCATCATCATCAGAAGAAGGATGATATAGAATCACGAGCACTTCAGACGAGTGATCCCAAAACCACAGCCCCAAAAAGAGGCTGCGTGGCTGGTCAGAGCAGGTGCTGGAACGCAGGCGCTGATGCTTCCAAGCAACCTGCGAACCACGAGATTTCATCCCCAAGACCTCCCAAAGTTGGCCATTTTAGGCTCAGGGCTTGGTCGGAGTTTGGTGCTTTCTCAGGATTCACAGGCTGTGGGAAAAAAACATCTCATGCGCCACTGTTGGCACCTTGTAGATGTTCAGCTATCTTATCTTTTGTGTTTATTTGGGAGGTGTGAAGTCTCTGAGTATATCTCATCAAATGTGCTGAGAAGTGGAACATTTCGGCGGTGCGGTGCGATAAAAATGCTGTGTGCCCAGTGCCGGGGATCTCACATTGCAGTGATGACGTTGGAGAGCGGCCACGACCTGTTTTTTGAACCCGGAAGAAAACAGCAGATGCCTAAATCCGTTTGGTGATGTTCATCATTTTCCACCAGGAAAATGGCCATTTCCATTGAGAGAAAATGCCCGGCATTTTCAGTCACACCCTTTTCTGCTTTAAATCCCGATTCATGGTTACCCTCTGGCAAACTAACATAACTATGGAGAATCACCATTTTTAATGGGTAAATCCACTATAAATCGCCATGTTCAATAGCTATGTCAGTTTACCAGAGGGTAAACCAATGGTGATTTTTTCACCAGATCCCCATTTTGGATGGTAAAACCGGTGAAAAGCAGATTTTCCCCTGGAGGCTTCTGCAATAAGCTGATCAAGCAACACAAAGGCAGATCTGCGCGCCGGAGCTGCCCCCCGTGTTGGCCTTTTTTTCAACGTGTTCAACGCATGGCACGATGTTTGATGTTCGGGGAGTTCATGAGTTCATGAGTTCATGGTGATGTAATGGTGTGTCTTTATAGTGGTGATTAGTGGTTAGTTTAATGGTTAGTTTAATGCTTAGTTTAGTGGTATTTGATGGTATTTAATGACGATTTCGGATGATTACCCTCTTGGCGATTTAAGAGTTTGCTATGGAACATGGATGAACATATTTCTTGATGATTTACCTACTATTTCTTAGCTGTTTTGCCAGAATTATGATCAGAGGGTAGGTGCATGATTTTGTTCCCAACCTCCCATTCAAGACATGGCTTTGTCTAAATCGGCACACCCCTGCCATATTTGTCAAAGGGTTAAACTCAGGTTACCTGAGGATGGGCCATGGGGTTCCACATTTTGAAACATCCCAAAGGTGCGATCTACCCTCTGGTTATTTAACAGTTCGCCATGGGACATGGCCCATAGAAATAGATGGTTTACCTATCAAAAATGGGTGGATCTTTCCATGGCGAACTGTTAGTCATAACCAGATGGTAATCATCACCCCAGCCATAATTCCAATTCTTCCTTTCACTATGATCACCATGCTCCCTCCCAGGGTTGCTTAGGGTTGCTGGGTTGCTGGGCGGACTTAGGTGAATCATCGGCAACAAAAACTGGGCCGAGGGGCCAGGGAAGCTGGGCCCACCCGTTGTGGGATGGTCACATCGGATTTACATCGGATTCTTCCCATTTCATGGTCATATCGATCCAATATATCCCATTTGAAATCCATATCCCATGAAATATCCATTTGAAATTTCCATTTATATCCCATCAGATTGATGATGATGTATCCCGTTCTATATGTATAATGATGTACATATGTATATTACTATTTTTCCATGATATTCCCATGAAATATCCATCAAAACCACCATTGTCACATCCTGACGTGCTGCTTGAAGCGCTGCGCCGCTGCGCGCCGTGCAGGTCACCGAAGGTTTGACGAGATCAAGACCAAACCCACCTGGTGTGGTGGCCAAATCCACCGAATCCACTGGTCCAAGAAAGGGCCACCACCATTTTTTTTTTGGGGTGCATTTATATACATATATAGATATGTATACAGATATGATATGTATCATATATATATATATTTACATATATAGATATTCTATATATTTTTTTAAAATATACCTATATAGAATAGATAACTAGGGAGAGAGAGCACAAGAATTTGGCTTCGAATCTACAGGATTTCGTGTGGCTGGCCTCATCAGAAATCGCTTTTTGCGTTCGTTTTATTTTAGTCTTTAAGTGATACCATGTCTGTGTGTATGATATATATATATATATGCGCGTATGTGTAGATATTATATATATATATGACGTATTATAATATTATATATATATGTATATAGATCCAAGTTGACCGTTGTGACCCCGGGAACTTAGGGAAACATTTCTATAGGCTTGGGCCTCGTCTTACGACATGCTCCTGTAGCATCTTGGCTTCCCGCCTCCCTCCCCTTCGCCTGCTGTTTTGGTGCAGTGTTTCTATACCGCCAGGTCTCCTGGATAGGGGTGGGCGTGGCTGCCTTAATGGTAAAGGGTTGCCTGTACCGTGTACTGGTACCGCCAGGCCAAGGCCTGCGTATCGATGTACAATAGCACGTGAGCGTTGTACGATAGAGTGGGTTCACTCGCTGTGACCCTTAGGCACATTTGACAGCCTTGCTTTGGTCGCTAAAAGTGGCATCTGTGCCTATATATATATATATATGTAAACATTTGTCTATATCTGTACTGTAAACATACATTTCTGTATATGAACTAGATGGAAAGCATCACTGAAATTGCAAAGACTTCACTAAAAGTGAAGTATCGTGGGCATGGCTATGTGCCATGGTGCATCGTTGTCATCCCACCACTAGGGTTAATATTTATATATGGGATATATATATGATATATATGATATATATATATATGATATATATATATATATGATATATATATGATAGATACATATATATAACAATGTTTTTCATATATCATTATATATGCTGCCCTCAAGGAACCCCCATGGTGGGATGAGTTACCCGACCAAGTGGTTACCCCTTGCTACACATCAAGCACCGCACCAAGGTTTGTGATCAAGCACTTCGTGCCGCTGGCGTTCTGAATTTTGCTGTTGACCGGTTATGGGAAGAACAAGTCGTGGGCAGTGGCAGAGAAGATTTGAACAAATTTTTCCTTGGGATGATGGTGGAAGGGAACACATACAGTAAAAATTGCTGGTTTTTCCCAGCAATTTTTGGGGCTTCCCCTAAAGTCTCACACCCCCAATGAATGTTGGCACATAGTTGGGCCATGCAAACACTACTGCAACAGCTTTTCCAAGGACATGGGGTTGCAACTGATGGCCGTAAACTCGCTGTAGATTTCCCTGGAATTTTCCCTGAAACCATTCCAAACTAAACATGTCCATAAGATATTGGGCCCCACAGTTTTGACCAACCCATGGACAATGGACCAATCTTTGGCTCAAGCGAGGATTTCATTTTCTATGGATTATGGCAAAAGTATTCACCGCGTCAGTGTCGCCCAGCCGAGTTGGCAATGGCGATGTCTCAGTGACTATTGTGACTTCGTTCAGTGGTGAAGATGTTTGTAGCTTCCAGATGCCTGGTGGAACACTGGCAGATCTGGAGGGCGTCCTCTTTGATTCAAAGGGACCGATGACTCGGTGTTGTCCTTCTTGTCGCGTTTGTCGGCTCCTTTTCTACACAGAGGATGAACCATCCAGGCCACTAGACCTGCAACGACAGGTTGGTACGTTTGACTCGCTCGTGATCAAACATGGGGATTCCTCGGATGTGGACGCATGGCTGCAGACGTACCCAGACACAGGCAAATTTCTGCAAGCCGTGCTGGGCAAGAAGTTTGACCCTCGGCTGCCAGATTTTGAAATCACATGGACTGCACAAGTAGCAGGGGAAGTTACTTTGAACGATGCTAAGTGCCTTGTTCACGAGGTCCTGAATGGATCACCCATCCACGAAGACAGTGGACAAAATTTCGTTCAGATCTTCGGGAAGCTAGCTGCTTTGGGTGAGTCATGGAGGTATCTCAATTTGCAATTCCTTCAATTTGACCCCCTACTCAAAACGTTCAGACATTGCGTTTTCCAACATTGGTTGGAGCTCGCACGTGTTGCAGCCACCTCAATGATCTCAGAAGCAACACCCATGCTACTTCTCAAGAGATCGAGGCATTGTGACATTGAGGGATGCGGCGTGATCGGGGATGCCTTTCCGGGCAACTTTGATCGTACCTTGCGTAGGCAACTCACTCTGCTTGATGTGGCACCCAATGTTCTGTGGAGCAATGTTTCACGTGTATTGCTTGCACTGGACTGGAATCCCCAAGAAGGCTTGGAAGCCTTGCAAACTCTCTGGACAAAGGTGGAACAAGAGCCCATTCAGTTCCGGGCGCTTCAGCAGCAAGAGGTCTCTCAGATGGTTCAGGTGCAGCTGCGCTTGTCCTGTTGCAGAGTTGCAGAAGTCAAAGGGCCCATCAATGAGGTCTGTGTCAAGATGCTTGCAGAGCTGCTTGCCTACAAGCTTATGATCCTGAGGTTTGAAAGCATGTTGGACTTGAAGACTCAGACGAGTGCCTTCCGCGGTGACACGTATCATCGTGGAACATTGGTGCTCGTAACGGATATTCCAGCTTCTGAGAGGCCAATCTTCTGTGGACCCCATCGCCTGATCCTTTGTTACAATGCCAAAGAGCTATAGAAGGCAGAATGTGGGCCCCCCCGTTATGAGTCAGTTTGAAGTTTGCACACTCAGTCAACTATATACTATTAATTAACATCTATTAACATTTATTAACTACAGTCATAAGCATTATAAACCATAGTTACTGGATGTTATTGGAGTTTTCTCAACCAACTTAGCTATCGTTTGGGGGGCCCTCATCGCAGAAGTCCTTTTTTTTAATCAAAAGCCAAGACCGAAGTCAAGGCCAAGTTGTAAAACGGTTGATTCACTTGATGCTCCGCAGTGCCCTTGTGTTTGAAACCGCTGTAGCCAGCTACCCACATCACCCCCCATCCAATCCATCTTGTTTTTAGCTGGGAGTTATGTAAATGTGTGACACATTGTGTGAACATTTTTCACTCAACAAGAGGAACAAATGCAAAAATAAGAACGTATATTGGTCAGCACCGTTATTTCAGTCGTTAAAGTTATTGATGGTGTAAACCCAATAGACCAATTGGGGGTTCTGAAGTTGGACAACCCTTGAATATCCATATGTTTTGTGTGGTTTATCAATGTTTATCATGGTTCCTCCCTCATATTTGTTGTTGATATCCCCCTATGGCATGGGCTGGATCCGAGAAAAAAACACCGGTCTTTCCATAGTGTTTTCCATCAAAACTTGGGGTTTAGACCGTTTTCCATAGTGTTTTCCTGTAATTTGTTCAAGTTTTCCCATGTTTTTTCCCATCACATAGTCAAATCGCTGCCTTATGTAGCTATATCCTATATCCTGCAGCCATTGACAGAGTTGCTACAACCGATGGGGGCCGCCTCAACAGTAAGAAGCTGCTGCCACGTTCGGAATCGCTGCCTTTGTTCCATGTTTTTTTCCGTGGTTTTTCACCGCGCCAGGCAGGTCCAGTGAGTTACTGCACCGATTCTTTCCTGGACAAGAACCGCGACCAGCTCAGTATGGTGCCTGCTGGGGGCGGAAGCGGAGTGGGATACGACGAAAGATCCGATGGAGAAACCGTTCGTGGGGATCATGAGAACCTACCCTCTGGTAAACATACAAAAAGCTATTGAAAATGGCCATTTACAGTGATTTTTCCCATTAAAAATGGTGATTTTCCATAGTTACGTTAGTTTACCAGAGGGTAAATGGGAAAGCATAATAAAAACCAACTAGTACCATGAGATAGGATAGAGGTATATAAAGGATTATAAAGGTGAATGGCTCACATTTGAATGCTTGGGAATTTTGGGGGGAAAAATCCCCAAATGGCCGTATGACAATGACTATTTTCAGGCTAGCGAATGCATAAAATCCAGCCAGAATGGTTGGGATATGGGAGTCATGCCAAGATTAGCGAACTAACTTCCGGTTAATGAAGTAATGTGAATTATGATCACTTACACTGATAGGCCCAACTGCCTGCAGATTTTTGATGATTTATAGATGACTTTTTGATACTGCTTGACTTTTTTGTTTATAGGCATGTAATTTATTCAACTATTCTTTGCATTTAAACCTAGATGTTCGGATGGTATATAAATTTTCTCAAATGCAACTCATCTCTTTGAGAATAAAACCAACCAACATGGGGATCACATAAGACATAGTTGATATATATAAAAGGTGGATATCCTCTGGGCACATTATAAATAGCAAGCTCGCAGCGAGGTCATTGCAAATGATGGTAAATGATGGGAAGCTAAATGGGAATAATCTCCAAAATCGCTTATTATGTTTCATTTCTGATTTGAGATTTCCAATTTGCTTGGCCCAGATCTAGAAATGGGACAAGCCAATTTGGCCTTTACTTGGACAACAAGTCTTGGTTGATGGAACATGAAAAAGGAAAACACACATGGTGAGAATGGGATATCACTGGGTATGATATTATATGATATTCATGCGGCAAACCGTTTGGTAAACCCTATTGCCGTAAATTTACGACTCACCATTTTAGTTTCCTATATCATCCTATATCTTTGATTTTGGGCTGTGGCCAATGCAGGGCATTAGGCCCAGGCATGGTCATTTGAATCTCTCCATTGGGGGGTTGCTACGAAAAACCATAGCCACACTGAGAAAGTCACCGGACAGCTGAAGAAAGACATCCAACGGATGCAACGGCTCATAGCGGGCGCGGCGGGGAGCAGTTAGCATACAAGATCCATATATAGACATATAGAACGTCCCAACAATCGCCAAGGCCCAGCAGATTTTTAGAATTTCGAATGGATTTTCGATGCTTTTTGATAGCTCAACATAGCAGATTCATTCCCCCAGGCTTCCGAAGCCAAGTGAAATCATGTATAGCATGGGTTGAGGTTTGAGTCCACTGTGAAATGATCAGAGGTTCAACACAACTTCAGGCTAAAAAGGCCCTAAAGGCCACCAAAAAAAAACACCTGCGCCACTCCTGCCATGGCAAAGCGACGGGGCAGAAACAGTCGTGGTGTGGGCAACAAGGAAAAAGACGACAAGGAGAAAGACGAGGAAAAGGAAAAAGAAAAGGAGACTGATTGGACTCCAAAGCTGGCGGTTGTTGCACTTTTTTTTACCCTCTGGTGAACTAACATAGCAATTGAAAATGGCCATTTATAGTGGATTTTCCCATTAAAAATGGTGATTTTCCATTGCAAAATGTTAGTTCACCAGAGGGTACCCTTGTTTGATCGCTAGGAAAAAAACCAGGCTTTCAGATTTTTGGCTTAGGCCCATCTTGGGTGACATCTCCGGTACAACTACCCTCCGGCAATCAAACATAGCAATGGAAAATCCACCATGGATAATCAAATTTCCCAGTAAAACCCTTCATTTTTCTTGGATTTTCCATATATATATATTTGCTACCCTCTGGTTATTTAACATAGCCATGGAACATCACCATTTTTAATAGGTAAACCATCTATAAATGGGCCATTTTCCATGGCTATGTTGAATAACCAGATGGTAATCTTTTCCTAGGATTTCCCTTGAGAAAAGCTCCGTTTAAAACGGGGACGGAGCTCGTTCACCGCCAGCTTTTTGAGGAGCCCGGGGCATCCCAGGGAAGCCAAAAAAAGGATGAGAAGGCACGGGTGCTGCCAAGGCTTTGAATGGATTTGAGGGAACACCTGGAGACCATTTTTTTTGCCATGAAATGGAGGGGCACCATATGTATATATATATATATTTATTTATTTATTTATTTATTTAATTATTTAATTATTTATTTATTTATTTATTTATTTGTTATGTATATACATTATATAATTATGTATATAGTATATAGAAGTGTTTTCATATAATTAGGTATATAGTATATAGAAGTGTTTCCTGATGTTTCCTGCCAGTTTTCATAAATGATCCCATCATTCAATTCCGGGCTTCTATAGCCACTTTTTTTGGCGCCCCATTTTTATGTCCGGAATATAACGTCAGGAGCAAGAGCGTCAGAAACGCAGAAGGAGAGAGAGGAAAGAGCGTGACGTGGCAGGTTTCCACCCCATTTCTAGGTCAATAGATGGGTAAAAACTAATCCTTTAGTCTTTTGGTATCAATGTGATGATCTACCTTCACCAGCTAAGAAATTGTCATTTTTTTGCAGGGTTTCAGGCTGATTGGCCATGATTTTTACGGCCATTTTTTACGCCAAACAGTTCTGGAATATGACGGAGCCCCAGGTTTTAAACAATGGGATTTTGGTGCGCAGTAGCCTGTTTTCAGACACATCCACTTGAGGATGGGTCAAAATCAGTGACTAATGTGGTGCCCCCCGAGTTATAGGTTGCTTTATAAACCCCATTATCTATAGATAAATATACCATAAACATCCATAAACCATAGTTATTGGGGCACCACCCTGCAAGGGTGGCCAGGGTCTTAATGATTCCAAGAATAAAGAGATCCCAGACCAAACCAGAGTTCAGGCACCTGAAAAGTGGATCTGAAATATCTGGTAATCCCACCTGGCTCGGAAATCACCAGTTTTTTCGGATTTTCCATTGCCATTGCTACCGAGTGTGCCACGAAATTCGCTTTATTGCGAGGTGGGTGCCGGAGATTGAGGATTGACTTTTCTACAGCATTCTCAACTTGAGATGTAGCCAAATCAAGATGGTCTCCACATCACCAAGTGAAATTATGATGAACGGTGCCAACGGTGCAATGGTTGCATCTCAGATTGTGGTCAAATTCCCACCCGAATCTGGTGAATCGTGCCAAATGTTTGCCCTTTTTCACTTGCAAGTGGCCTTAGAAATACTTTGCAAGCCCATATATATATATATATCCATATATATATATACATATATATATACATATATATATATCCATATATATATATATCCATATATATATATGTATATCCATATGATATCCCCGGTATATCCACATCATATCCCAGTGACCGATAAGAACGCTGAGGTAAAGAAAAGGCTGGAATCGACCTGGAGAAGGTGGCCAGACAACTGGTGCCTTGAAAATCATAGGTAAACCAACCATAAATGGAAAATCATAGTGATATAACACACACACACATATATGGGTATGGGTCAATACCTATGAAAATACCATTTTTAGTGGGTTATTCACATCCATAAATCCCAGCTATTTTGATGTGAACAGAAGGGGTACATGGTTTTGACCCATTCCCATATATATATATATATATGCATAAAAATAATTATATATATATGGATGTATAGGGATGGTGGTTAAATCCCAGCCATTTCTGTCTTGGGTTTTTTTTTCAACGGAAAATGATATGAAACGGATGGTACCCTCCAGTAAATAAACTTGTTGGCCCTGAAAATCACCAATTTTTACTGGAAACTAGTCTTCCAACCCCGACAACTGGCAGGGTCTATGTTGATTTACTGGAGGGTATATATATGTATATACATAGTTATGTATATAATGGATCTATAATGGATGAAATATTGGATGGTAGTGGTGATCAGTGAATCAGGATGGTGCCCTAGTTCGTTAGCTAAGTTAGTTGATAAGTTCAATATATTGGGCTTATGGTAGTTATAACTATAGTTAGATCAATGGCCATTTCAGGAACCTAAATTGGAGGTACCTACCATATATAAGGCCTATGTAAGGGAATATCCCCACAAAATATGGCCCCATTGATTAGATGGTGTTATAAACCAACTTACAACTGGGGGGGGGCACCACCTTGTAGTTAAAGCATATTAGAAGACGTTTTAGTAGTTACAATAGTTACGGTAGTACTTAATAGTTGTAATGGTTATAATAGTTCTAGTACTTATAAAAGTTTCAGTAATTATTTTTCTTTTGAAAAAATAGTAGTTGTAATAGCTTATTTTTGAGACGTATAGTTGGCTACCATACTGTTATAAAGACTTAATGTATAGTTGATTTCATAGTAATAACTTAATTATGGCTGGGCCAACCTAACGGTTAGCTACAAATAGTTGTAATACTTAATATAACAGTTACATTAGTTAAATGGCTCGTTGCTAATATTTACCAATATTTAATATAATGCTGATAACCTTCATCAAACATGGCGGGCTGCTGGGAAATCCACCAAGCCATGTTACCAGGGGGAAGCGGGGTTGGGTCACCTCATTCAGCCTTTCAACGTTGCCTTTTGGTACGGTTCGCTGACACATTTCGCTGAGGATTTCTATTTCAGTGACGCCAATCTACGTCGAGACAGGTATATGAAGAAAACCTTAGATGAAGGTGCCCTTGTCTGCAAACACGCGAATTTTCGCGACCTAGTTGGGCGTTGAGAGGATCAAGGTTCCCATATGTTTCCATATGACACTGGTTGGTGGTTTGGAACATGAGCTTTTTTTTCCACAAAAAATGAGATAATCCTTTCCATTGACTTTCATATTTTTCAAGGTGGTTAAAACCACCAACCAGAACATCTTGGGTTGTTCCTTTGTCGTCCCCTACTGAATCTACTTTGTGTGCTGGTGCTCTCCTTGTTGACCCTTGCTGACCCTTGCCATGTACTGTGATCTCATAAGGTACAAACGAATCCAACCGGCAGTGAAAATTATTTGGGGTCCCTTGGGACATAGATAAAGTGGATGCCTTTGTTAGGACTTTTTTTTGTTTTCTCCCTCTCTCTCCTTCTCTCTATATCATCTATATCTGATGCCTCTTTTTCTCATTTTTTTCTCCCCATTTCTAGTCATGTGCTTAAACCATGTTTAAACAATGATAGAGTCATCATCTATCGCAATCATGCTAAAACAAGGGGATTCCAACCATTATTAATGGTTCAACCAGTGTTAAAACATGTTACCCTCTGGTTATTTAACATAGCCATGAAAAATAGATGGCCCATAGAACTAGATGGTTTACCGTTCTTAAAAACGGGTGGATCTTTCCATGGCGAACTGTTAGTCATAACCAGAGGGTAAAACAATATACAAATTAAGATATATTAAGTCCCATTAACCCATATTAAGTCCCTATTGTTGATGGATTAATGACTATATTAAACAATCGGTAAAACCTAAACATTTTGTTTAACCATTATTCACATTATTATATAACTATTCACCATCATTAACCATCATTTTGCCTGGCAATTCTTAAAACAATCGGTAAAACCTAAACCCATCCCTAATTTTGCTTGGACTCGCCAGGTGATGGTGCCGTTTCTCTGGAGATTCTGCTGAACTTCAACCGCATCAAGGCGCGAAAACCGAAACAACGCGCTTGCGTTACGAAAACCCCGGGAGGTTCTCCAAAATGTTGGGATGATGCAATGTGGGGCCCCCTAGTTATAAGTTGGTTTATAAACCCCAATAACTATAGTTATAAGTACCATAAACCATAGTTATTGGAGTTATAAACCAACTTAGCTATCTTGGGGGCACCACCTTGATGGAATATGGAAAATTCTATAACTTTTTGGAATTTGATGAGAACTATCCACATTTTTCATGGATGGAATATGGATGGGGGATTTTGATTTTATGGGATTTGATGAAAACCTGGGATTTTCTCGACATTTTTGGGACTTTTTTGGGGCTCGAAAGTTCAGGAGATCCTGGTGTTAACGGGGCTCAAGTGACGCATGTTGGGATATGGCTTTGTCCAACCGGTTAACATTGCCCCAATGTTGTGGTAATTTTAGTAAGGAAAACAATGACAATCCATTGGTTTTTTTTTGGCTCCCGATTTTCAGGAATTGGATCCGTGGAAGAGGAATGCCCTTCATTTGGCTGGGAAACCAATAGGTTTTCCTATAGATATCCCGAAGCAAGCGGGGTTCATTCTTGCAGGCACAGCTGGGTTAATTCCTGATGGTCCTGATGCCTCAAAGGCCTCAAAGGAATTGCTTGGCAGATTTAGTGTTGACTCCAAGGTTGTGCCCCCCAGTTATGTTTGTTGGTTTATAAACCATAGTTCGATATATCTACCACAATAACCCATAGTTATTGGAGTTATGTTCACCAACTTCGCTAACGAACTGGGGCACCACCTTGTATGATTGACTGATTCAATCCCTAGAAAGTGTTATCCAAAAGATCTCTTCAAGTATCCATGGCATACCTAACCAAAGGTTGATAAAGGGCTTCGTGGTTTGGAATCCCAGAACGCCCCCATCATAGCCATCCAAAATTTAATTTGTAGATGATCTACATTGTGTACCATTCGAGCTCTAGACTTTCTATTTCAATCACCATTTTTCTTTGAATATACGTCTAAGACCACATATAAGACCACATATCACTCTATTTCTATGGTTATTGCACCACCAACCAGATATTTATTAACCATTATTAACCATTATTAACCATTATTAACCATTATTAGCCATTATTAGCCATTATTAACCATTCTTAACCATTATTAACCATTAAATTAACCATTATTACTGTAACCATTATTAACCATTATTAATCCCTCAGGCCTCACATCTCACTGAGTCATCCCTCAGGCCTCCACCGGATTCCACCGTCCACCCCGGAGCTCGTTTTTCCAGGCCCTGGGCGTGACGAAGACGTCGCAGCTTCTGGAAGCGGTGCAGTGCAGCGGGATGTTGGACGTCGAAGAGGGGACCAAAGTCAGGCCGTGGCCGTGGCCGGACCCCGTGGGACGAAACGAAACGAAACCCCGGGGTGAATTTTTGGGGTTCAGTTGCTGCTGTTGGTTAATTTTTGAGGTTGATGATAGGAAGTAAGCAGATAGAAAATATCGAAATTATGAAAAATCTGCTGGTTACTTACTATAGTCGATTCTATGCTAGTTTTTTTTTCTTCGTTTTGCAGGGTTGATTAGTAGTTGATGGTTGATTATATCATGAATTATCACTCATCACATCTAATCACCATCAACGGCTTTTTTTTTAAATGACCATGATTGTGGAATCCACAGGGACTATTTTCTTTTATGTTTTTGGAGTTCCTCAAGCAAATCTGGTTGGTGGTTTGGAGGTTTGGAACATGACTTTTATGACTTTCCATATGTTGGGAATGTCATGTCATCCCAACTGACTTTCACTAAATCATATTTTTCAGAGGGGTAGGTCAACCACCAACCAGCTATATAGATCTATTAAGTCCATATTAAGATATAAAATCAGTCCTAGCAAAACCCATTTTTTTAGTTCCTATTGTTCTCTATATGACTATCATAGGTCAACCGCCAACCAGAAATTCAAGTGAATGGAGTTTTGATCATGAAACACTTTAACGGTGTCATCACACCACACCTGGGAAATCCCTGATCGTTACACACGGAGGTGAATCATCGCTGGGGAATCATCGAACTCAATGGGGGGATTTTCCCCTTGTCATGTTTGATAGAAGGAAGGTGATGCTTTAAGCACAATACCCTCTGGTAAACTGTCCCATAAAACTATGGAAAATCACACCATGCTAGTAATGGGTAAAATCCACTATTTCGACTGGGCCATAAACTCAATGGCTTTTTGTATGTTTACCAGAGGGTAAGCACGATAGATGCTTGGGGAGATGTTCAAAAAGTTTTTCTTATAGCATTTTTTTGGGGGCGTCGTGATATTTTTTTCGAACAAATCTGTGTGTGTGTGCTTTTGAAATGAGTTTTTGTTCCTCTCCGATCAAATCAAAAATGAAGATTTTTTCAAACAGCACCTAATTGCCTTTAGTATTGTCCCAAAATGTCCGGAGTATTGTCGGGTATGATTAATTCGGGGTTTTTTATGAATCCTAACTTATCATTGATAAGTTGGTTTATATGCCCCAATAACTATAGTTATAAATACCATAAACCATAGTGAAATTGGAGTTATAAACCAGTTTAGTTATCTAGGGGGCCCCACTTTGTGGGATGTGAATCCCTGGATTGCCCCTGGATTTCTAGGGATGTGGTACGCCTGGAAACCGCCATAAACCTACCGTAGCTCGGAGCCGCCATAGCTCGGATGGTTGAAACCAGCCATCAACCTGGCAGACTAACATAGCCATGGAAAATGGCCGATATATAGATGGATTACCTGGGTTTACCGTTCTTAAAAATGGGTGGATCTTTCCATGGCTATGTTAGTCATAACCAGATGGTATGGAGATTTATGGTGGGGGTATATGAACAACAAATAACACCCCCCATTGGAGTACCTAAATAAAATGAGGGGGCAGAAGCCCCTTTTAAAATAAAAAAATAAACATAAAATGAAAATAAAATGGGTCAGACCCCAGCATTTTATTTTGTGGGGGCATTTTATTTTTTGAGGTGCCTAACCCATCAAGTTAACTGACAGAGATAGCATCATAGCAAAGATGCACAGCTGTGCGTCTTTGTGATGGCTGCCATCCACTAGAAATTGGGGGCCCCTGCATTTTATTATATTTTTTTTAGGTGCCTCACCCTCCCCCCTGGCAACAGACGAGGGTAAATAACATGGGAATATTGCTGGGCCCCAAAAACTGGGTTTGCGATGGAGATGTTTTTTTTTTGTGATTTTCCTGGGAAATGTACTGGCACTGAGGAACTTAAGCTGTTGGGGGGGGGTTGAAATGCGACCAAACATACCCTCTGGTAAACTGACATAGCTATGGAAAATGGCCCATTTATAGTGAGTTTTCCCATTAAACATGGTGATTTTTTCCATAGTTTTATGGGACAGTTTACCAGAGGGTAGGGGAATTCACACTCCAAAATGGGGATGATTCATCCATTACCCTCTGGTAAACTAACATTTTGCTATGGAAAATCACCATTTTGAATGGGTAAATCAACTATTTCTATGGCTATTTTCAATAGCTATGTTTGTTTACCAGAGGGTAGGTGGATCTTGCATCGTTGCTAGCCTCGCTGATAGTCATCAGAACTTTGGGTCGTCCGATGAGGACTTGAAGGGTTCAGGATGCTGTAAGCAACGACCAAGACACCTACCCTCTGGTAATTGCACATAGCTTTTGAAAATCACCAATTTCAATAGGTCAATCATCAAACTAAATGGCATAAATCGGTATAAATGGCGTTGGGTCATTACCCTTGTGCGATATTAAAAGAAAAAAACAATCCGTCCCACCTGTCAGGCGAGACTTCCAGAAGCATCCTCTTGGGACCTACGACCCAGTGTCAAGGACTCTGTATGTCGAAGGCTGGGTGCGACACCAAAATTTGAGCCCAAGCGCGACACCAAAAAACAGAAACGCAGAAAAGTTTCATTTCTGTTAATTCACGTCATTTCCCGTCATTGGTGGTATTGGTTTACCCTCTGGTTAACGTAGCGAACTGGGAAATCACCATTTTTACTAGGTAAGTCATCATAAACAAATCATCTATTTCAATGGGCCATTTTCATCCATTTTCCATAGCTACGTTAAATAACCAGAGGGTACATGTCGTCATCATAAATCATCTATAAATGGGCCATTTTCCATGTTTACTTTCAACAGAACTGGGGCTGGGATCATGATCCCCGAAGACAAACCTTCGAGCAACTTGGGATCAATACCTCACAGTTGAGACATGAGACTATTCCTAGCAGGGTATGGTGTGCAATATTTCCCTGCATATCTATATATATATATATCTATATATGCTCGTTTAACGTTGTTGGTAAGTAATGTCCTTATTTCTTCGGGTTCGCTATTTTGAATCACCCTGAAGGTTTACCCTTGACCCTTGGAGTCGACGACCTCAAGAAGTTCTTCTCTGACTATGGGCAGGTGCAACAAATGGCGCTGGCCAGGGTTAGAAGAAGCCGCTACGGAAAAAGATGCATACAAAACAGTCTTTACCCGGTAATCAAACATGGTTAGCCGGAAAATCCAGTGTAAACGGAGGTTTTGATGGGAAAATCAAGGGTAAATGAGATATTTTTCAGCAAACCATGTTTGATTACCAGAGGGTAGCTTCACTAGTGATACCCCTATCGCGAAATATCTCCATTCCAACTTTTTACAACTAAATGCTGTAAACGTCTAAGCTCCACCTAATCCATATGCATCCGCAACATATATTCCGAACATATTGTTGTATCCCCGAAAAAAGTATAATGATCAACATTGATCAACACTATTATTATTATTATTATCATTATTATTATTACTATTAACGTTATTATTATTATGATTTTTATTATTACCATTATTACTATTATTATGATTATTTTTATTCTTGTTATTATTACTATTATCATTATTCTTATTGTTGTTGTCGTCGTCCTCATCATCATCATCATCATCATCATCATCCTCATCCTCATCCTCATCCTCATCATCATCATCCTCCTCCTCAAGAAGCACTTCAGGTTGGTAGACTATAATTCATCCAGAATCTATATTATACCATTTACCACATTGACCATTCATCTCCCATTAATTTCTCTACAATACAACTTTTTTTTTAAAAAAAATCCTTATTCATATCCTTCAAAATGGTTTTATTATGATTCATGATGATCAACGATGCTCTCCCCCGCAGGTGAAGTTGGTCGAAGTGCCACAGCATCGCGAGACGCGGGAACCCCGAGGATTCGCCTTTGTCGAGTTCGGGGACGTGCAGGTGGGCCGGTGGGCCGGTGGGCCGGTGGGAACCTGGGGGTGTCTGGGGATGTCTGGGGATGGGGATGCGGGTGATTTATGGGGATTTGGGGAACTTGTTCCAGGGGGATTTTGGGGTGATTTCTGGGATGATTTTTTTTGGGATTCATGGGATTTCATGATGGAATATATACGATTTGTGGGATTTATGGGAGGATTTATGATTTATGGGGGTCTATGGGGTTTCATACGGTGTTTTTTTTTTGTGATGGGGTTTGAAGCGACATACGTCACCGTTGACAACGGCCGGCTAATGATCCCAACCGACTTCGGAAGCAACAAACTAACATAGCTACGAAACACGTGGAAAAAGGGGTCATCTGGTCATTGACTTGAGTGATTTAATGGTGATTCAATGGTATTTAATTGCTTTTAATGGAATTCAACATAATTCAACTCTATTTCATGAGGATTTTAGATGATTACTGATGATTACTCTCTGATAATTTAAGAGTTTGCAATGGTAGCCATGGCCAGTTTAGATGATTGCCTATCAAAAACAAAAAACAGTCAAATTACCAGGGTGTACATGTGAATTTGTCTCGTAAGTTCTCCCCTCTGTTTGCTTACATCTGGCTGGTTATCCCCCTATTTGTTCCATGGTAAGTTCTCACCATTTTTTTTTAAAACCATGTTTGATGTCCCAATCCACCATGACGGCATGTGTTTCACCAGTTTTTCTCATTTTTCATGCAAAATTCATGTCAAATCTGCAATGTGGGCCCCCCCAGTTATGTTTGTTGGTTTATACACCCCATTAACTATAGTTATAGGTATAATAAACCGAGTTATGTTCACCAACTTAGCTATCGTTTGGGGCCCCCCACATTCAATGGCAATTTCAGGAACCTAAATTGGAGGTACCTACCATATATAAGGCCTATTTTTCAGGCCTATGTAAGAGAATATCCCCAGAAAATATGGCCTGAAAAATGGTACTAACGTACCTCCATTCTAGGATCCTGAAATGGCCATTGATTAAATATCCATGAATATCCATCAAATATCCATTAATAGCCATCAAATATCCATCAAATACCCTCTGGTAATTTAACATAGCTATTGAAAATGGCTATTTATAGTGGATTTTCCCATTAAAAATGGTGATTTTCAATAGCTATGTTAAATTACCAGAGGGTATCCATTAAATATCCAGGGCCTGATCTTATTGTGTGAAAACCACCAATATTTCAGATAAACATTTAAATATCCTATATATCCACCATATTTCACCCATATTTAATGGATATTTCATGGTTTGACCCCATTTTTTCCACCATTTCTCATGGTGAAAATTTTCCCACGGCGATGCACGGCGATGCACCGCAGGAGGCCGACGCTGCGCTTCGAGGCTGCAACGGGCTGTGGCCCTCCGTGTGGCCGTCGCGCTTTGATGGGAAGAAGTTGCGGCTGATGTGGAAGGCGGAGTGGCACCAGCAGTGCAGCACCTTGGTGATATACATATATATATATATATATATATCTATACATAATTTATACCAGTAGTACCGCACAAGGGCTATCATCACAATGTGGGGCCCCCTAGTTATGTTTGTTGGTTTAGATTCGCCCCAATAACTATAGTTATAAGTACCATAAACCATAGTGACATTGGAGTTATAAAGCAACTTAGCTATCGTTTGGGGGCCCCACTTTGTATATATATATATATATATTATACATGTTTACAATTATAATATATGATATATATCTGTACATAATTTATACCAGTAGTACCGCACAAGGGCTATCATCACAATGTGGGGCCCCCTAGTTATGTTTGTTGGTTTAGATTCGCCCCAATAACTATAGTTACAAGTACCATAAACCATAGTGACATTGGAGTTATAAAGCAACTTAGCTATCGTTTGGGCGCCCCACTTTGTATATATATATATATTATACATGTTTACAATTATAATATATGATATATGATATATATCTATACATAATTTATACCAGTAGTACCGCACAAGGGCTATCATCACAATGTGGGGCCCCCTAGTTATGTTTGTTGGTTTAGATTCGCCCCAATAACTATAGTTATAAGTACCATAAACCATAGTGACATTGGAGTTATAAAGCAACTTAGCTATCGTTTGGGGGCCCCACTTTGTATATATATATATTATACATGTTTACAATTATAATATATGATATATGATATATATCGATACATAATTTATACCAGTAGTACCGCCAAGGGCTATCATCACAATGTGGGGCCCCCTAGTTATGTTTGTTGGTTTAGATTCGCACCAATAACTATAGTTATAAGTACCATAAACCATAGTGACATTGGAGTTATAAAGCAACTTAGCTATCGTTTGGGGGCCCCACTTTGTATATATATATATTTATATATTATACATGTTTACAATTATAATATATGATATATGACATATATCTATACATAATTTATGCCAGTAGTACCGCACAAGGGCTATCATCACAATGTGGGGCCCCCTAGTTTTGTTTGTTGGTTTAGATTCGCCCCAAGAACTATAGTTATAAGTACCATAAACCATAGTGACATTGGAGTTATAAAGCAACTTAGCTATCGTTTGGGGCCCCACTTTGTATATATATATATATATTATATATGTTTACAATTATAATATATGATATATGATATATATCTATACATAATTTATACCAGTAGTACCGCACAAGGGCTATCATCACAATGTGGGGCCCCCTAGTTATGTTTGTTGGTTTAGATTCGCCCCAATAACTATAGTTATAAGTACCATAAACCATAGTGACATTGGAGTTATAAAGCAACTTAGCTATCGTTTGGGGGCCCCACTTTGTATATATATATATATTTATATATTATACATGTTTACAATTATAATATATGATATATGATATATATCTATACATAATTTATACCAGTAGTACCGCACAAGGGCTATCATCACAATGTGGGGCCCCCTAGTTATGTTTGTTGGTTTAGATTCGCCCCAATAACTATAGTTGTAAGTACCATAAACCATAGTGACATTGGAGTTATAAAGCAACTTAGCTATCGTTTGGGGGCCCCACTTTCTATATATATACACATGTTTATAATTATATATGATATATGATATATGATATATATCTATACATAATTTATATGATTTATATATAAGATATGTGCAGATATGTCATAGTACTGAATCAGTACTGAATGGGTTTGGTTGATGAATTGGTGCTACAATGGAGGATCACTATGGATTCGGTACATGACTTGCCGACTTTTTCCATGGCTTTCCTCATGAAACCTCTGGTTTTGAGGGCCCCATTTTGGAAAGCCACATGGCCACATAACATGTCATTCTGAAGGGTATGAATAAGGATAAACAAGTTAGATTGATACAGAAATTAAATGGTAAATGTGGTCAATGGTATATAGATTCTGGATGACTTATAGTCCACCAACCTGACGTGCTTGTTGATGATGATGATGATGATGATGACGACTTGGATATTTGTCAAATTATTGCGGTGTGGTGAGATTTGAATGAGCATTGGTAATTTCATATACAGTATTTTCATTTCTTCACTAAGGTCGGGATGATGGTCCAACAGTGATTCGTATTTGGGGGGTCAATCTGCCAACTACTACTAACAAACCTGTGTTGTCATTTCGGCGCCGCTCCACCAGGTCGAAAGGGGACCAATTTGATATGGTTTAATGTTAGCCTCGGGGCCCCAGGATAATCACCCGTTTGGCCACATTGGGGTAGTCTTGGTGCCCGGAACCGCGTTGTGCCAAGGAGAGTACAAACTTCTGCAGGCCACCTCTCGTGGTCCCACTTTCGAGGGTCGCCCCAAGGGCGACCCTCCAGCCACGCCCTCCCGCATTGTCCCCGCGGTGCCCGACGTCCCCGCGGTGCCCGACGTCCGCGACGGCGCCGGGGAGGCTGCGGTCACTGAGAGCGGCGCTACGGGGTCCACGGAGTCAGCGAGTGCCGCGGGGAGTTCGGAGGTGGTGGAGAAGCCCAGGCCGTCGCGAACGCCAGGCTGGACCTTCATGGAAGTTCCATTGATGGATCCTTGGTGGGGCATGGGCAAAGATGGCCTGTGGTATATGTTTCGTTTATTCAGAAGAATGGCCAGAGAGAGAGAGAGAGAGAGAGCTGCTTCTGCAAGTCTTCTGCAAGTTGAGGGTGGGTGGATGTGGATGATGGGAGTTGGGGGGATTCATGGTGGTGAGATGTGGTATGATTCTGCTGAAAGTTTTTCAACTTTCCCAACTTTCCCCCAGTTGGGAGTGCACTCAGTGCACTCCCCGGCAGGATGCCTCGTAAAACTCACGGGCTTCTCGGGCGACGATGAACTGCTTTGCACACTGGCCATCCGACAGTGTCTTGGGTGAAAAGATGTGAAATGGTGCAACTTGAGGCAGGGCCACAGTTTCATGATGTCAGTTCAAACGGTAAGGTGTCATACCCGAAGATACGAACTATGCCCAAAATTCGAGGTTTGGTATTTATGAATATTTGGCAAATTGTATACTGATTATACTGTACGTATACTATGTATACCAACCCTGGACCCATGGGATACAGTGAGAAGCCCGCAGGAATCAGCGAATCATCCCATAGTTACCTCAGTTACCTCCCAGGCATTGCACATGGTTCATCAGTCGTGGTGAATAAAAACACCCAATGATATACAGAGATTACACATAGATTATACAGGGTATACACCAGTTAGTGAGTCAACTAACATATAGAATTTTCCAGTTTGATATGGAGGCTCAATTCATTCCAATTCAACATGGCTTAATGTGGTTAAAACAATGTCATAAACCATCCACCAGTCATCACCATGTTTATAGGTGGTATAAACTAACCATTCACAACGGGCTAGTTTATGTTTAAACCACATTAATCACTATTAATAGCCATGAATCACTACTTATAGCCATTAATGGTAACCATATCTGATTGGTGGTTTGGAACATTTTTTATTTTTCCATATGTTGGGAATAATCATCCCAACTGACGAACTCCATCATTTTTCAAGAGGGGTAGGTATACTACCAACCAGATATGATTGTTTTAACCACATCTCGACGGCTGAACGGAACCCTTCAGGTTCTCATTGGCTCCCGGTTTGTGCCTCCGCACATCCCCCCAGGTTTGCGGAACACGCTGTGACGGTGGAGTACTGCGACTACGTGCCATCAGCGTCCACTGCGCTGTTGAGACTGAAGTGCCCAGAGGACACGCCGGGGAAACCCGGGGAAGTCTCAGCTGGTGAACTAACATAGCAATGGAAAATGGCCATTTATAGTGGATTTTCCCATTAAAAATGGTGATTTTCCATTGCTATGTTAGTTCACCAGAGGGTAATCGTTGTATACGCCATTCTTTGGGATGTTTGATGGCTCAAGTGTTCCAAATTCCACCTCCAAGTGGAAAGGAGTCCGATCCTGAGATCTTGGGTTTCAAGTAGCCATAGGGCCATAGTGAAATACCCTCTGGTAAACAAACATAGCCACATAGCTATTGAAAATGGCAATTTATAGGTGATTTACTGTACCCATTAAAAATAATGATTTTCCATCGTTATGTTAGTTTACCGGAGGGTAAGACCATATAATATAAGACCCCAGGAATGGTTAGGAACTCACGAGGGAGCAGCTAAGAGTATCCCCTCCCTAGACACTCCAGCGTGTCCATGTGTCAGGATACTGCCACATTGCTGGAAGACATGAAGTTGACTGGTCGAATGTTGGGCTGCCAGCAGCCCACGGCAGAAGTCTTGGGCCGTGAGGATGCTTGGACGGTTTTCTATTCATCTTTTTGAAAGGCACAGGCCATCCTTTCATGCTTATCGTACACGCACACAGAGACACACAAAAAACACCACACACACACATATATATATATAATACCCTCAGGTACAAGAGGGTCTGGAATGGTCTGCCTACAGGTCCAAAAATTCAAGGTCTAGAATGGTTTTTTGATCAGTTTAGACCTTGGCCCGGGATCACTTAAGACCTTTTGACTATATATAAGTAAGGACTGGTAACACCATGTTAGACCTTAGCCTTTTGGGATCATGTTAGACCTTCGCACCCTCTGGATGGGATCATGTTGGACCTTCGCAGTGAAGGACACGGAGATTTTCCAGCCAAATCTCCAAAGCTTCAGATTGAATTCGGAAGGGTCAAATGAGTCAAATACCTGGTTCTAGCTGCGACATGCCCAAACATGCAGCAGGGACGTCTACTCTACTTTAATCCACGTCATCACAACTATTTCACTTACCTGATGGAATTCACTGCGTCAAAAATGGATTTCCCTAGCCCTTATTGCACCCTTTTCCAGGAAAACACCTACGCAATATCAACACAGACCCATCAGACAGAGTTGAGGGAAAATTTGACATGAAACCCGATAGAAGGATATATCATAAGATATCCATATATTTCCACAAATGTTTTCAGAAACCTACATGGAACTGAATGAATCTGTTGGACCCCAGAGAAAGGACAACATGTTTACCTGCTGTAATTCACTGCGTCTAAAATGGATTTCCCTAGCCCTTATTGTATCCATTCCCCAGGAAAACACCTACGCAATATCAACATAGACCCATCAGAGTTGAGGGAAAATTTAACATGAAACCCAGTAGAAGATATATTATAAGATATCCATATACTTCCACAAATGTTTTCAGAACTACCTGGGACTGAGTGAATCTGTTGGACCCGAGAAAGGACAAAATATTTACCTGATGTAATTCACTGGGTCTAAAATGGATTTCCCTAGCCCTTATTGCATCCTTTCCCAGGAAAACACCTACGCAATATCAACATAGACCCATCAGAGTTGAGGGAAAATTTGACATGAAGCCCGATAGAAGGATGTATCATAAGATATCCATATATTTCCACACATGTTTTCAGAAACCTACATGGAACTGAATGAATCTGTTGGACCCCAGAGAAAGGACAACATGTTTACCTGCTGTAATTCACTGCGTCTAAAATGGATTTCCCTAGCCCTTATTGTGCCATTCCCCAGGAAACACCTACGCAATATCAACATAGACCCATCAGAGTTGAGGGAAAATTTGACATGAAACCCGATAGAAGGATATATCATAAGATATCCATATATTTCCACACATGTTTTCAGAAACCTACATGGAACTGAGTGAATCTGTTGGACCCCAGAGAAAGGACAACATATTTACCTGCTGTAATTCACTGTGTCTAAAATGAATTTCCCTAGCCCTTATTGTATCCATTCCCCAGGAAAACACCTACGCAATATCAACATAGACCCATCAGAGTTGAGGGAAAATTTAACATGAAACCCGATAGAAGGATATATCATAAGATATCCATAAAATTTCTCAAATGTTTTCAGAAACTACGTGGAACTGAATGAATCTGTTGGACCCCAGAGAAAGGACAACATATTTACCTGATGGAATTCACTGGGTCTAGAATGAATTTCCCTATCCCTTATTGCATCCTTTCCCCACAAAACACCTACGCAATATCAACATAGACCCATCAGACCCTACCCAGCCCTTCACGAAAGACTCTGCTCAAATACAATCTTTTGAAAAAACATATGTTTCACAGATAAATGAATCTTTTGACATGATTCTCAGGCCTCCTTAGCCTGCTTCCAACGGATGGGTGATCAAAATGAGGCATGCTAGAAATGATTGGAGACGTCGCATGGCCAACCACAAATGACACGGGCCCTACAAACCCCCAAGACGCAGAAACTTTGAGACTGTGTTTGTCTTCAAAATGCAGCAGTAAGAAGAAAGTATAATGCCATCAAGCGATAGCCCAAAGTAGAGTAGACGCCCCTACTGAGGAAAAAACAGAGGTTTAATCTGAGGGGGGACATAGGGGGACCAGGGGCCAGAGGGTCTAAACTGTTCTTAGCGGTTGAGGGTCTAAAGTGTTCCTAGCCAGCTAACATGCTACTGGAAACACCTGCCGAGGCCTGGATCCAGAACCCTAGGGTAGGGTCTGAACACTTAACGAAATCTAACGTTTACTCCCAGGCAAGTCCATCTTAGACCCACCAAAAAAGGTCTACAATGAAAAACCTGAAGTCCCTTGGTTGTAGCTGCCGGGATTATATATATATATATATTTATGTAAATATCACACACACACACACTTATGTATATATATATATGTATATATATATGTATATATAAACAAATAATATATATATATACATACATAGTTATACATATATATATAATGCATACATACAGACACACATACATACATACATTGATAGATACATAGATAGATACATAGATAGACACATAGATAGGTACATAGATAGATACATAGATAGATACATAGATACATAGGTACATAGATACATAGATACATAGATACATAGGTACATAGATACATAGATACATAGATACATAGGTACATAGATATATAGATACATAGATAAATCGATCGATCGATCGATCGATAGATAGATAGATAGATAGATAAATAGATAGATAGATAGATAGATAGATAGGTAGATAGATAGATAGATGGATAGATAGATAGATAGATAGATAGATACATAACATACATAACATAGATAACATACATAACGTACATTAAGTACATTAAGTACATAACATGCATAACATACACAACATACATAACATACATAACATACATAACATACACAACATACATAACATATATAACATACATAACATACATAACATACATAACATACATAGATACATTACATACATTACATACATGACATACATTACGTACATTACGTACATTACATACATTACATACATGACATACATTACATACACTACATACATTACATACACTACATACATTACATACATATATACATACATATATACATGCATACATACATAGATACATACATAGATACATACGTGCATACACATACATTATATATATATGCATATACGATATGATTTGATGTGATGTGATTCAATTTGTTATGATATGATGTGATATGTATATATATATATGCATATGTATAGTTATGTATGCATATATACATATATGCATATATACATATATACATATATACATGTATATACACATATATACACATATGATTATGACATAGGCCTGTCTCATGGTGGGAGCGGCAGGAAGAGGAGAAGTATTGGCAAGATGTCATGCAACGTGCCCAGCAGCGCGGTCCCAAGAGCGACGCCCTGAAAGACACCAAGCAGACGGCGAAGCGCCGGGAACCTGAAAATGTGGTGACCCGCATCCGACGCTGGCGACCGGTGCCTTAGTCCCCAAGAAAACAGTGCTTAATGGATGGTGGTTCATGGCGGTTAGTGGTGATTGATAGTGGTTAAGTCGAGTTTTTTTTTTCCTAATGGGAAATCCACCATTTGGGGAATCTGGATGTTTTTTTTTTTTTTGGAGCCCCTGAAGCAAATTCAAGAGCCACCTAAAGGCCCTGAATGGGGCAGCAAGATGAAATCAAGGGGGCTTTGGGTCGATGACAACTTTGTTTGGTCCATCTCCAGTGGTGACATCTCCCCATTTCCTAGCTTGATTCCCACACATCAATCCAGATAGATAGATGGATTAGATTAGATTAGATTAGATTAGATCAGATTAGATTAGATTGGATTAGATTAGAGTAGAGTAGAGTAGATTGGATTAGATTAGATTAGATTAGATTAGACAGACAGATAGCTAGTTATCTGGGTAGGTAGGTAGTTAGATACTTATATGATAACTTGTATGCATATGCGTCCACAGACAACTTGGAAACCCAGAAGTTCCAGGTAAACATCAATGTATACCACTGACAAAAAAAACATATATCCACATATGATATCATACAATTTGACCATGGGATTAGCCCCGCATTTCTCTATCAATAGGGGCTGATTTTTTAAAGATCCGGATCTCTCGATTTTGGACCGCCATGGAACGGGTTGGCGGGTACCCGGTAGGTGTCCAACCCAAACCGCAGCAAGTTTCGGGCTGGCTTCACGGACACCGCTGGGGGTTCCGCGAACTTCGTGGCCTCTGGCTTTGGGAAGCGAAAGGAGAAGCGTGCGCCGAAGGCGGTTGGATAACTTGTTCAACCGGTGGTTGCGCGGTTCGTCCGGAGAACTGATGGATGCTTATGGTTATCCTCTGGTAAATGGTGGTTTAATGGTGGTTAATGGTGGTTTAATGGTGTTTGATGGAGATTTATCCTCTGGTAAACTAACGTAACTCCTGAAAATCACCATTTTTTTTTGGGGGGGGTGAATCAACTATAAGTCTGCCATTTTCCATAGCTATGCAACAAATTACCAGAGGGTACACAAGACTTGCACCTTTTTGAAACTTCCCGGTGCGAAGTGCCAGGTGATTCCTCCCCGGAAGCGGGAAGAAGAGGCTGGGCCAAGTGCTTCCTCCAAGGCCAAGAAAGTGGAGAAGGAGAAGGAGAAGGTTCCTTTGGTTCCACCCCCGAGCCCTTTCCAATTGCCCGGAACCACCAGGACACAACGGATGTGAAACTTTTGGGCGGTGGAAATGTTGAGGTTTGGGGCTGATTCTTTTTGGGGTTGAGAGGGTGCCCCTTCTAAGGGTTGGTCGCTTGCATCAACTGTTCTGATACTCATATGATTCATATGTTTGAACCCGTCTCTTTCTTTTCCCTTGTATCATAGTGCTTTCGATGGATTATCACCCCTTCCCTACTAACAAATTCCTTCGCTCACGTCAAGCCGGCATTTCCGATTTCGATGGTGCACATTTAAGGGATCATTTGAGTGTCTCTCTAAACGCGTCCGGCTGCACCAAAACAACAAACACCGTCCCCCAGAATGCCAAAATCCCAACATTTCCGAACCACAACACTATGCATTTGGGTCCAGAAATGGAAAAAACACCTTGAACTCGCCCCCAATTTAGTTCGAAGACTTCTTTTCCAAACCAATTGGCAGCATCTTTTTGGCATAAGCCATCGCCATTTCCAACCTTCTGATGGGTTGGCAGCATCTTTTTTCGTAGATTTCCCCAATCTTCCCAGTTTTTTTTTTCAATGGCCATGTCAGGAACCGATTTATTGGAGGTACCTACCATATATTTTTGGCCTATTTTTCAGGCCTAAATTTCAGGGAATATCCCAGCAAAATATGGCCAAACATATGGTACTAACGTACCTCCATTTTAGGATCCTGAAATTCCCATTGATCATATCCCATGAATTTTTCTCCCAATTCTATCGCATGGATTACCCCTGAAATATCCCATGAAGTATATCCCACCAGTTTCCCACAAGGTGGTGCCCCAGTTCGTTAGCTAAGTTGGTGCAAATAACTCCCATTTCACTATGGTTTATGGCAGATATAACGAACTAGTTAATGGGGTTTATAAACCAACAAACATCACTGGGGGGCACCATCCTGCACCATCCTGCACCATTGATATTGTTTTTTTTTCCCAGGAAGCGGCGGAGAGGCACCCAAGTGCCGCCCCCCAGCCCTGCGCTGCCGCCCCCGAGCCCCTGCGGACGGTCCGAGTCCATGTCCCCCGAGTCCGACGCCGCCAGCGCCGAGCCACCCGCGGTGCCGCCGCCAGAGCCACCGGAAGGGGACCTGGAGTTTGATCCGGATGACATCGTCACTTGGGAAAATTCATGGGATACCCTCTGGTAAACATACAAAAAGCTATTGAAAATGGTGATTTATAGTGGATTTACCCATTAAAAATGGTGATTTTCCATAGCAAAATGTTAGTTTACCAGAGGGTATGAATGGGAATATACTGTGGTAGTCATGGGACACATGGAAAATCATAGTGATATGAAGTATTTGATGGAGATATAATGGAAAATTCATGGGATAATGGTTGGAGAATACTGGGAGAATGGTGGGAAAATGAGGGAAATGGATGGGATATGAATGGCATAATGGGAGAATAGTGGGATATTTCATGAGATTAAGGGGTAATCCATGGGATACAATTGGGAGGAAAATCCATGGGATATGAATGGGAACAATGCAGGATGGGGCCCCCATAACTTGTTGGCTAAGTTGTTTATAACATGTTATAACAACAGTGTATGATACGCAAATCAATACATTTAGATGGGGTTCTAAACCAACAAACCTAACTGCCGGGCACCATCCTGTGGGATAATTTCATGGGTGGGAAACTGGTGGGATATAAATCATGGGATTACCCTCTGGTAAACGTTTACAAAAAGCTATTGAAAATGGCCATTGAAATAGTGGCTTTACCCATAAAAACATGGTGATTTTCCATAGCAAAATGTTAGTTTACCAGAGGGTAACCCCGAAACATTGACAATGTTTCATAGTTACCCTCTGGTAACGTTTACATAACAATGGAAAAAACACCATTTTTAATGGGTAAATCAACTATAAATTTTCATTTTCAATAGCTATGTTAAATTACCATATGTTACCATCAGTAAATTTGATATGAATGGGAATGATGGTCAAAATTGGCATAAAATTGTTGTACAAGGGTGGGATGAGAGAGTGGGATGTAATTGGGATTAGTAATGATATGCATTTTCTAATCAGATTACATTCATTTTCGAATGGGATGATAGCTGGATATAATTGGATTAAGATTCATGTCTATATCTGTCTATGGTTTAATGATAGTAATGGGATTCGTTGGTAAATATCAATGGTTGTGAATGGAACTTCAGGGAACAATGGGATACTTACAATATCAGGCTCCACAATGGAGCACTTCTACGGTTTGTTAAGGATAATTCATGGGATATCAATGGGATTATATATATATAATGATAATATCAATGGCATATTTGCCAACCATTTTTTGTTTTAGGGATGGTTTATGAGGTTTACCCTCTGGTAAACATACAAAAACCTATGGACAAACATCACCATTTTTTACGGGTAAATCAACTATTTCAATGGCCATTTTCAATAGCTTTTTGTATGTTTACCAAAGGGTTTTTGGTAGGGCGTAGATTTTTCCCAACTCAAACTGTCCATCCAAGAGGAAACCATGAGATTTTCATGTGGTACACCTGCCACCATCCCCAATATCAATGGGAATTTCATGGCTATTTAATGGATATTTGATGGCTATTAATGGATATTCATGGATATTTAATCAATGGGAATTTCAGGATCCTAAAATGGAGGTACGTTAGTACCATATGTTTGGCCATATTTTGTGGTGATATTCCCTGAAATTTAGGCCTGAAAAATAGGCCAAAAATATATGGAATCGGTACCTCCATTTTAGGATCCTGACATTCCCATTGACAATAGAGATGCCATAGAGGTTTATGGCATTGGGTATGCCCGCATGACGGTGCAAAAATGACCAATGGTTGGCGGCTGGGATGGTTTATGGCATTAGGTTTTGATGAATGGAATTATATACCATCTGGTTATGACTAACATAGCCATGGAAAATCCCAACCATAAATGGAGGTTTCTAGCTGGGAAAATCATCTATTTCTATGTGCCATTTTCCATGGTTATGTTAAACATCCAGAGGGTAATGGTTTAATGGGGCTTTAGTGGACTATCCAAGACTTGCCGAGCTGATGAAAACATATGGTTCTGACTGTTTCGATGTCACAGTTGGTTCAGGTTTTTCGATGTCACATGGGTCTGAAAATGAACTATATATACTATACCCTCTGGTAAACGTTTACATAACTCTGGAAAATCACCACTTTTAATGGGAAAATCCACTATTTCGACTGGGCCATTTTCAATAGCAAAGCGTTAAAATACCAGAGGGTACCCCCATTGATGGCCATTTTAATAGGGAACATGATGATTTTACCCGGGATTTAGTGATACCCTACAGGGTGGTGCCCCTATTTTAAATCTAAGTTGGTAAAGATCATCCCCCTGATCTAGTTCGTCAAAATCCCGCATTTTTAAGCCATCAGTTATCGGATGGCCCCCCCCAGTTATAAGTGGGTTTATAAACCATTATAACCCCTATTAACTACAGTTATATACCATAAACCATTGTAAAACCACTTATAAACCAACTTAGCTATCTTGGGGGCCCCATCCTGTATCGGAGTTTGTTTTTTTTTTTCATCAGCCAACTGAGCAAGTCCTGGCGCCCCAACAGTGTCGAGGTCAGCATGATGGAAGATTTCTGAGGGCTCGTACCTGGAGGTTGCAAATCGCCGTACCTGGAACAGCCGAACGCACTTCCAAACGCGCAAACGATCGAACTGAAGCGGTGCCCCAAAAATTACGATTGACTGAATTCTATGGTTTATAGTAGATATAACGAACTAGTTTTCATGGGGGTTGTAATGGTGGTTTATAAACCAACGTTCACATCACTGGGGGGCCCCATCTTGTAGATGATGTATGGTATTTCTGGTTCATGGTATCACTGGTATCAGACTGTGCAGGTCTCTGATTTTGCGCATTGGGTATGGCGATTGTAGGAGTTGCGGGACGGCCATGCGCGTGCGCGAAAAAATGGTCCAATGGGTGTCGATCCGCGCCTTGGGCGATGAGAGGTTCTGCTGACTTCCCATTCCTTCACCTTCATCATCTACAACAAGCGGATCAAAAAATCCAATGACAGAGGGTTCAAACCTGACATGAACATACATACCCCTACAGGAGGGGGCCCCATAGTTAGCTAAGTCGGTTTATAAGTCCCATAACTATGGTTTATGGCAGATATAACTATAGTTAATGGGATTTCCAACTTATAACTGGGGGGACACACCACCTTGCACGAAGAATTTCTGACACTTGGTTTCACAACGGCTGGGAGTAAACCTGGTGGGCCAGGATTTGCTGGAATGCGTTGGGAATAGCTCCAACGAGCTGCTCGGAATGGGATCAGTTTTCTGAGTTTTTTCGACCCGTTTCCGGTGGTTTGGTGCTGAAATCCTCAGAAGACCATAGAAAGTGGGGCCAATCCCCATATTTCAATGGCCATATTAGGGAATATCCCCACAAAATATGGCCTTATATGGTACAGTACCTCCATTTTAGGATCCTGAAATTCCCATTGACCATATTTCAATGGTTTTCAATGACTCATCAGCATTGATGGGTAGGGGGCCATGAGCTGCACCATTGGCAAGTAGCTCCCCAACGAACATTGACCCTAAAATCGGCGATTCTCAGGGTCTCTTGGAATTTTGGGGTACATTTTTGGCATGGCTACTTGTAACTAGGCTCACCGCGTGACACAACAAAAGGCTGGCGAATAATCGTCAGGATCGACCGAAATAGATCGCCAACAATGGGGGATTTCAAGGGATTTCACCACCAAAAATACCGCGGGGATCGGGTACATCCTTGCCCTACCCGGAGCCAAGGTTTGTGGCCGAGCTCTTTAGGAAAGACCCAAAGTTTGCAGAGTCCTTTGTCAAAGAGGAGGACGCGTTGTAATCGACAGATTGGCTTCGAGATTCTGGCTTCATTTTATGAAAATTCGAGATGTAAATATAGACATGAAATGAGTGGAACACTGTAGAATCATGTGAAATCATCTAAATCAATATGGAAATACAAGAGGAAATGACTGGACATATGACATAAATCTGACTTCAGGATGACTGTCCTGCTGCCCTTTACAGCTGGTTCTCCTCTGTTCCACGCCATGGGTTGAGCTCCGCCGCGTCGTCGCCGTCGCGCCTTCAACTTGGCGCCGTTGGCGGTCCGTTGCTGCAAGCAGCGATGCAGGTGAAACGCATCGCCAATAAGATCACCAAGCTACTCGGCAATGGCTCAATGTGGCTCAATGTAAGGTACAGAACCATCAATTTACATCAATTCACTGGAGTTTCATGGGATTTGGTGGGGATTTACCCTCTGGTAATTTAACATAGCTATTGAAAATGTACCATTTATAGTTGATTTACCTATTCAAAATGGTGATTTTCAACAGCTATGTTAGTTTACCAGAGGGTAACCATCATTTTATACACATCAATTCACTGGAGTTTCATGGGATTTGGTGGGGATCTAATGCTGGTTGGTGGTTTGGAACATGAATTTCATTTTTTCCATATATTGGGAATAATAAAAAAACCAACTGACTTTCATATTTTTCAGAGGGATTGAAACCACCAACCAGCCATCAATTTACATCAATTCACTGGAGTTTCATTGATGGTTGAGCCATTTCATTGGTGAATAACATTAATTACATTGCATAAATCCCGAATTACATCCCATTACATTCCCACATTCCCATAAGCATCGATTTGGTAGGGATTTAATGGGATGTCAATGGGGATTTTTGCTTGGGATTTTTCTGAGGATTCATGAGGTAGAAGCCACATGAAACCACGAATCATGGGCTATTTTGATGGGTAAACCGCTTATTCAGCCGGATGTGCGGACGGCACGGACGGCAAATCCGGCTACCGTTTTGCGGACGGCGAAGTTGGTAGTTGCGGACGGCGCTTTTCAAAAAGTAGGAAGTCAATGGGTGTGCAACCAGATGATCATGACATGGGTGTGTCTTCAAACGTTTAAACTCAGAGAGCCACAAATTGACGCGCCATGTTTTGAATGCGAAGAAAACTGCACCGTAAAGCGAACATGTTCGGAGTATTGGGGCCGGATCAGAAATCCGGAGTACAGACAGTTTTTTTCAAGGGCTGCATCTCAATGCAGAAAGCATCATGCGTTCTTTTTGGCCGCTCTTTTCATTTTTTGAGCACAAACACTCATGTGCCTACCTAAATGCAACTCCCTTTTTTTTCCCTGGTGTTCTGTTGTTCAATCAATCCCTGAGATTGATATTTTCTTTTGGATCAACATGCTTGAACGCGCCAAAATTGCCGAAGTGGAATTCTGGATGTTTTAGAATTTGTTACGGGCTCTGATTTGCTCAAAGTTCACAAAAATCCGAAACACGAACCCTTCATAGAGATTCCCCAACTGGGGTTTGGTTGATATTCTTGCACATGATCATAGGCTATTTGCAGATCATTTTCAGAAACCAAGCGTTTTAACCACATCTAAAATTGGTACGTTCAGGCAGATCTCAGTGATCTATAGTGATCTCAGGTCCTATTTGATGGATCCTTATGCCATGATGATGCACTACAAGCGCGCCTTCAAACTGCTCAGTGTCATGAAGCAACACTCCGCCAAGGTCCTGATCTTAGGCCGCGGCGAAAAAAAATTGGGGAGTCCATGGGGATTTCATGGGCAAAAAAACGGGTCTGGTGGGGGTTCACCATGGTTCACCGGGTTCAGGGTGTGCTTGAAAGTGGCGTATGACATATGTGACATATGTGCATAAAAAATTGCAGTACCCTCTGGTTATGTCAAAATAGCTATTGAAAATGGCCATAGAAATAGTGGATTTTCCCATTGAAAATGGTGATTTTCCATAGTTATGTTAGTTTACCAGAGGGTAGATCAGTTGCTTCATCTGGCAAAGTACTGTAACTTCCAATGTTGGAACATATTTGCATCACTACATTGCCAGAATCATCCAGAATCCCCAATAAATGTTTTTGGCAAAACCAGCCTTTCCTCCGGTGACATTTTGATGGGGAATTCCCGCCCCAAGGTGACCCAGGTGACCATAAAATGTGGTGGTGAAGATTCGCGCAAAGATGCGCCCAAGGGTCACCTAAAGGGCTTGGTGAAATCTGGCATGGGAAAAGGAAGAGATCCGAGGTTTGCTCAAAATCTGCTTGGTGGTTTGGTTCACATGACTGGATTATTTTCCATTTCATATATGGCATGTCATCCTTCCCATTGACGAACTCCATCATTTTTCATAGGGGTTGGTCAACCACCAACCAGATTATTATTAACCATCATTAACCATATATTAACAGTATATTAACCACAATGGTAGGTCAACCACAATGGTTTTCTTGATGGGAACTCGGTAACCTGTAGGGAACACCAGCAGATCCAAACAGATGATCCAGCTTTAAAATAGCGCCACTTTTCAGGCAACAAGAACCAGTTCGGCATCAGTTGGAAGGGTCGTTTCGAAGGTGTCGAGTTTGACACCGGCGTTGTAGATGAGAAACTGATCTCGAGCGCGCCCAAGCACTATGACACTTGGGAATGATGGGAAAATTATGGATAGTAACCATCTATCTATCTATCTATCTATCTATCTGTCTATCTATCTATCTATCTATCTAAATGGGATTTAATGGAACGATAACGGAATAGTAATAGGAATGTACTGGGATGTCACCCTCCGGTGTCCTCAGTTCCATGGCAAGCCGGGAAATCTCCAGACTAAATGGAGGTTTATAGCTGGGCTGGGAAAATCATTTATAAATGGAATACCCTCTGGTAAACTAACATAGCTATTGAAAATCACCATTTTTAATGGGAAAATCCACTATAAATAGCCATTTTCAATAGCTATGTTAAATTACCAGAGGGTATTTTCCATTGCCACGTTTGATTACCGGAGGCTATTTGTCATTACCAAGTGGGTTCTTATGGTAAGAGCTGGTAAATGCTGGTAATATTATGGATTAAGTACCATGGGTTAGATAGTTATATCCGTAGTATGGAATAGTTGTGGACGTAGCTATGGAATAGTTGTGGAGTTTTTTGAGCAATACCATCCCCCTAAGATTAAATATGGTCCCTCAGAATGAACAGATTCAATGCCAAACTTACCAAACCGGGATTTTGTTTTGGGGTACTTAATATATTCTTTTGGGGAAGGGATGAACTTGGATATACTGTAGCTATTGCAGTACTAATTGGAAAATCATCCTGGGACATGGGGGGCTGACGCGACGTGTTTCACGTGTTTGATTGCCAGATATGGTAAAACGCTGGCGGATCTTGGTTATTCTGGTTGATGCGTTTATAAGCTACATTAACTGCTATATCCATAGCTATCCTAGAAACCAAGTTATAATTATATAGACCAGCTTGGCAAATGGTTTAGACTTCACAAGGTTATATAATGCTATATAAAAACAATGGAGTCTTGGAAAATCACATTTTTTGCTGAAATTCCTTGAAGGTGGTGCCCCTCAGTTATAAGTCGGTTTACAAACCCCATGAGCCATACCCCAATGCTCCATCCATGGAATATTGACCGACATTTACACCAAACATAGGCCAAATGTAGGTATATCTTCCATGAAAAAAACACCTGCTTGGTGGTTTGGTTCACATGACTTTTATTTTCCATTTCATATATGGGTTGTCATCCTTCCCATTGACGAACTCCATCATTTTTCAGAGGGGTTGGTCAACCACCAACCAGATGAGAGATTCACCGAAGCGAAGTCTTGGAGTTTTCTCAGCCAACTTTTTGAGCGATTCCTCCGACGGCATCACATTTAGGTAGGAGCGCCGGAGATGGCTACGTTTTTTTTTAAAAATATACGACTACAGTATAGTCACTATATCAATCTGATTGGTGGTTTGGTTCACATGACTTTTATGACTTTCCATATGGGAATGGAACATCATCCCAACTGACGAACTCACTCCATCATTTTTCAGAGGGCTAGGGCGAAAAACCACCAGCCAGATATTTATTAACCATCATTAACCATCATCATTAACCATCATCATAAACCATATAATAACCATCATCATTAACCATCATCATAAACCATATAATAACCATCATCATTAACCATCACCATAAACCATATAATAACCATCATCATTAACCATCATCATTAACCGTATAATAACCATCATCATTAACCATCATCATTAACCATATAATAACCATCATCATTAACCATCATCATAAACCATATAATAACCATCATCATTAACCATCATCATTAACCATATAATAACCGTCATCATTAACCATCATCATTAACCATCATCATTAACCATATAATAACCGTCATCATTAACCATCATCATTAACCATCATCATTAACGATATAATAACCATGGAAATCCCTATTAAGATATATTAACCATGGGAATGTCATAACCCCAACTGACGGACGTATTGTGATCATGGGATCTCGGGGGATTCCACGTATTGTTGTCGATGGCAGGGAGCCTTGTGCCTTCTCAAAAGGTCCCTGAAAACGAAGCCCAAGAATAAACCCATTGGGGATAAATATGGGATTATAGATATGGGATTATTTATGGGATTATTTATGGATCTTTGATGGTAATTTTTGATGGGATCAAAAATGGATTCTTCTGCATATGTTGCATATTTTCCTAAATATTCAGCCCATTCCATCAGAAGCTAAGCTTCATTTTATTCGCGTGGGGCAATAGAGGACGGTTTTTCTTTATTTTCACATTTCATCGTCTTTTCTCCGCATTTTCAAGCATCGCCCTCTTAAAACGGCAGTTATATCAAAGTTGTATCAATATTTCACGCTCTAGAAAAAACAGTTATATCAAAGTTTAATATCCCAGTAATATCCCAAGTATAAAAGTTATATGAGCTACAACCAAAATTTAGGTTAATGTAGAGTAGTATTCGAGCGGTCTCTATTTTTTGGAAATTGAGCTGGGGCTTGGAAAACGATAATACACTCATCAAAAAACGATAATATTTACTTATATGCCAAAACCTGAAAAACGATAATACACTCTTCAAAAATTGATGACTTGGAGCTATATACCAAATATTGACCGTGGCCCATATAAAAGTTTATATCCCAAGTAATTTCCCAGAAAAAAGTTATATCAAAGTTATATCAAAGTTTGATATCCCAGTAATATCCCAAGTATATCAGTATATCCAAGTTATATCAAAGTTTAATATCCCAAGTAATATCCCAGAATAAATAGTTAGATCAAAGTTTGATATCCCAGTAATATCCCAAGTATATCCAAGTTATATCAAAGTTTAATATCCCAAGTAGTATCCCAGAAAAAAAATAGTTATATCAAAATTTGATATCCCAGCAATATCCCAAGTATATCCAAGTTGTATAAAAGTTTATATCCCCAGTATTATCCCAGAAAAAATAGCTATATCAAAGTTTGATATCCCAGTAATATCACAAGTATATCCAAGTTATATAAAAGTTTATGTTCCAAGTAATATCCCAGAAAAAATTAGATCGAAGTTTGATATCCCAGTAATATCCCAAGTATATCAAAGTTGTATCAAAGTTTGATATCCCAAGCAATATCCAAGAAAAAATAGTTATATCAAAGTTTGGTATCCCAGTAATATCCCAAGTATATACAAGTTATATCAAAGTTTGATATCCCAAGTAAAATCCCAGAATAAATAGTTAGATCAAAATTTGATATCCCAGCAATATCCCAAGTATATCCAAGTTATATCAAAGTTTGATATCCCAAGTAGTATCCCAGAAAAAAAATAGTTATATCAAAATTTGATATCCCAGCAATATCCCAAGTAAGTCCAAGTTATATAAAAGTTTATATCCCAAGTAATATCCCAGAAAAAATAGCTATATCAAAGTTTGACATCCCAGTAATATCACAAGTATATCCAAGTTATATAAAAGTTTATGTTCCAAGTAATATCCCAGAAAAAATAGAGCGAAGTTTGATATCCCAGTAATATCCCAAGTATATCAAAGTTTTATCAAAGTTTGATATCCCAAGTAATATCCCAGAGAAGAATACTTATATCAAAGCTTGATATCCCAGTAATATCCCAAGTATATCAAAGTTATATCAAAGTTTGATATCCCAAGTAATATCCCAGAAAAAATAGCTATATCAAAGTTTGATATCCCAGTAATATCCCAAGTATATCCAAGTTATATCAAAGTTTAATATCCCAAGTAATATCCCAGAATAAATAGTTAGATCGAAGTTTGATATCCCAGTAATATCCCAAGTATATCCAAGTTATATCAAAGTTTGATATCCCAAATAATATCCCAGAGAAGAATACTTACATCAAAGTTTGATATCCCAGTAATAGTAATATCCCAAGATATCAAAGTTATATCAAAGTTTGATATCCCAAGCAATATCACAGAAAAAACATAGTTATATCAAAGTTTGGTATCCCAGTAAACCATCCAATTTTCCAAGATCAGCCTGGCTCATCAGGATTTCCCACACCGGGTGGTTGTTTTGATGATGGGAATCCCAGCCAAGCCATAAAAAGGCCTAATTTTGGGATGGTTTATATACTATTGCTCTACTAACATTGTTAGACATGATGGTTTTGATTTCTATGGTTTATTCATATGGAACACTGAGCTCCAAACGGTTAATATAGGATGATTTATTGTTGGGCAATGTCAACCCCGGAATAACCAACCGTGGTTTATTAATTATACAGGGGGTACTGGTACTCCCCCAATAGTTCCAATCTGATACTTAAATGCTACCCCTCAATCTGCAAACAGCCATTAAAACGGTTGTTCATCCAAAAACTTGACATTCTATTACCACATTGTAGTGACCTTAGTCTTCAACTCACGCTATGAGATGATTTTTCTGAATTGCATAGTGGTTTATAATCCATAGCTCAATCAGAAATGGACAAAACCATAGATGCCATAGCTATGTTCGTTTACATCTTACCCTCTGGTAATTTAACGTTTTGCTATTGAAAATGGCCCAATCGAAATAGTTGATTTACCTATCAAACATGGGATTTTCCATAGGTTTTGGTATGTTTACCAGATGGTAAAATCCCATTAAATCCCCATGAAATCTCCATTACAACCCTATTAAATCCCATTATAATCATTAGATCCCCCAAACAATCTCCATGAAGTCACCATCCTCTATTAAATCCTCTATAAATATGTTTGCCAGAGGCTTTAATATTGGAACATGACTCTTATTTTTCCATATATTGAGAATGTCATCATCCCAACTGACGAACCCATATTTTCAGAGGGGTAGAAACCAACCACCAACCAGATTATTATTAATCATCAACCATATATTAACCATCATCATTAACCATATATTTGCGCGTTTTCCCCAGAAAAATGGTGATTTTCCACAGAAATTGTGGATTTTCCCATTGAAAAATGGTGATTTTCCATAGAAATAGTGGATTTTTTTCCATTGAAAAATGGTGATCTTCTCACGCCTTTTTAAGGCGATGATTTTATGCCTCGATCCGGTGCTCTACTGCCGTTCCCTGCGCAAGATCAACCTGCCGGTGATGATGTGCGCCACCTTGAGGGAGATCACCGAGCACCCGGAGATCTTGGATGTGCCGCGCCGTTAAAAAACCAACGAGAAGCCTCTGGTAATTTAACATAGCTATGGAAAATCCATTATACATGGAGGTTTTATTGGGAAAATCATCTGAAAATGGTCCATTTTCCATAGCTATGTTAAATTACCAGAGGGTAAGCCTCTGGTAAACATACAAAAAACGATGGAACATCACCATTTTTAGTGGGTAAATCAACTATTTCTATGGCAATTTTCAATAGCTATGTTAATTTACCAGAGGGTAACCGTCATACACATTCCACTCATCATGAATTCCAAGTATAATCCCATTCACCAGGAAAATCATAGCCTAAACTTCAACTGCTCGTCATTTCCGGAGGCTACCCTCTGGTAATTTCTAACGTTTTGCGACATAGAACATGGCCATCGAAATAGTCGATTTGCCTATGAAAAACATGTGATTTTCCATAGGTTGTATGTTTACCAGAGGCATCAAGGCGGCTAATGATGATCCTTAATGATCAGTAATAACCAACAGTGCACATTTGTTCATATGTAAATCAATGGACCAGGTTCGATGGGGCATAGCTGCCATAGCTATCTTCAATTTCGGGTACGGCCAAGCAGATGATCAATGGATTGGTTTAAGGGAAAATCGAAACCGGAAACCATAGATTTTCCCATTAAATATGGGGCTTTCCTGTAAATTTTCCCTTAAACCAATCCATTGAGATGAAGCCCAAAATCCCCAACATATAAAAAAATGGTGGATTTACCAGAAAAAATCAAGGAATCACTGGCTCATCCAATCTAAGAAAAAAGCAAATCCAGGACAAAAAACCGCAGCAACAGTTTGATTTTAATCAGGCAAGTCAGATTTTGACTACGAATGATTGGATTGCAAGCTGGATACTTCCTGGGACCCGGATATCTTCGATTTTTTCACCAGAAAACGCCTGCATTTTTGGTTCACAAGATTGGGTTTAGGGAGATTTTGACAATGAGAAAAACATAGAAAACGGATTACTATGGTCTATGGTAGATATATCTGTAGTTTTTCTGGGATTTATGGTAGATATATCTGATATATCTATGGTTTGAATGGTAGATATATCATGATCTATCTATACTTACTATGGTTTATAAAGCAACAAACAATACTTGGGAGGGCACAACCTTGTAGGAAAAAAAAGGTGAAACAACAGAACAGTCATGGGCTGGGCGGTGAACACGCTGTGAACACCTCACCTCCCCACCTCTGGGTGATGTTCCAAGGTGAGCTTCCCCACACGTTGGTTTTATAACTGGATGATCTATCAATGGGATTGATAGTGATTAATAGTGATGAATTAATCGTGGTTAATAATGATTTTCCTGGTGACTCATAGTGATGAATGGTAAGCTATGATGATTCAATGGGAGATCTTCAGGATCCTAAAATGGAGGTACCTACCTACCATATAATATATTTTTGGCCTATTTTTCAGGCCTACGTAAGGAATATCACCACAAAATATGGCCTTATATGGTACAGTACCTCCATTTTCGGATCCTGGAATTCCCATTGAATCTATGGTCTGTGGTAGCAATTTGACCTTTGCAATGGGAAAAAAATAGCTTCGAAGCCATGGCGCTTTGGGGTTTTCATGAAATTGTCAAACCACAAAAACAATGCAACATTTCGTACACAAACCCCAGCACATTTTGGGGTTGCTACAACCATTGTTTGATCCTATGCTGGATGATGTAGATTGCTAACATACTATCCTGTTATTTGATCCTCTAACTTTTTTAAGCATCCCCCTAAAAAATAGGAACCGTTTGGCTTTCCAGTAAAAAAAACACTGTTCAAGTAGGATTTAGCCCGATCATCCCCAGGTGAGCTATGCAGCTATTCAGCCATCACTTATCAGTCTATGGAGGTTGACATTTGGGAACATCTTCCATTTTCATACAAAGTGGGGCCCCCAAATGATAGCTAAGTTGGTGCCAATAACTCCAATGTCACTATGGTTTATGGTACTTATAACTATAGTTATTGGGGCGTATAAACCAACTTATAACTAGGGGGCCCCACATTGTAGGGATTTCTTTTGATCAGATGAAAGCAACTCAATTTTCTGGGATTCAATCATGTTTCTGATCCCGCCAGCGCCAGCAGGTCACTGACTACTTGTTGCCATCTCCCACCCGTCGGCATGATGCCGCACTACGGGCAATGGTGGGTCTGGATATCTTAGGTCACTGGGTTCCGATCGGAAGATCGAAATTCAGAACAGTTGGAAGATGTGTCATCGCTTTTCTTCTATAATATGGTGCGCACACGCATATATACATATATATAAATAAATGCACATTATCTTGCTAACATGCACATATACTTATACATGTCCATGTATATGTGTACGTGTACCTGTGCGTGTACCTGTACCTGTACGTGTATGTATAAGCATGTATACTGTAACATGCGGGATGTTTACGATATGCCTTATAGCAATCCAGATTTTCAGAAAAAGTGGACACCTGATAAACCTGATACTGATAACTATAAAATATGAGGTATCATCAATGTATCATCTATACAATGCATACTGGAAAGACTTTTCTATCTCTTTTGGTGACCCTTAGAATCAAAGCTTGCTGTGAAAGAACCAGTTTATTCACCCCGCTTCGCGTGGGGTGGCCGCCCACACCGCAGGTTTATTTCGGTCCGTGAGAGGGGCTAAGGGTGGTTTTCCCCCGTGGGGGCTCCCCAGGCTAAGAATTTTCACTTTCCCCCCCCCGTGGGGGCTCCCCAAGCTAGGGAATTTTCACTTTTCCCCCCCGTGGGGGCTCCCCAAGCTAGGGAATTTTCACTTTTCCCCCCCGTGGGGGCTTCCCAAGCTAAGGAATTTTCACTTTCCCCCCCCCCGTGGGGGCTCCCCAAGCTAGGGAATTTTCACTTTTCCCCCCTGTGGGGGCTCCCCAAGCTAGGGAATTTTCACTTTTCCCCGCCGTGACAGCTTCCCAAGCTATGGAATTTTCACTTTTCCCTCCCTTAGAGGCTCTCCAAGCTGCGGAATTTCAAATAGCTAGACAACGACGCCTAGATAGTCCCCCAAATCCCGTGTTCTTTGAATGTGTTTCCATGTTTTTGCAATGGTTTCCTTCAAAGCACGGTACTTTACACTTTTGTCGCCATAAAACCTGTCGAAAACATCATGTTCGACAATGCTTCCAATTCCCTTATCTCCCCAACCGTTGAAAATACCGCTATTTACAGTGTTTTCTTCAATTTTTCCATGTGCCAATGCCGGTAGCCAACTCCAACATATATATATATATATAAGAAATCCTTCCAAAACATTGTTTTTGACAGTGTTTTTCTAATGTTTCCAGTCAAACAGACGGTAATTTACACGTTTTTTGCCATAAAGGCAGTAAATCCTTCCAAAACATTGCTTTTGACAGTGTTTTTGTAATGTTTCCAGTCAAGCATACGGTAATTTACACGTTTTTTGCTATAACGTCAGTCCAAAACACTTGTTTTTGCGGTGTTTTCAATGCTCTGGCATCCAAAAACCCTGCAAAATCTTGCTATGTACAATTTTTTTTCATTTTTGGCCGTTTTTCCATTGCCGGAAAGCTACCAAAATGACCCAAAATTCCATTTCAATACCTTCTTGCGCTCAGACACCCAAAAATCCTCGAAAAATGTCGAAAACACCACCGTATTCTGGTCTCGGTGCGAAACCGTTTTTGGGGTCTGGTCTCGGTGCGAAACCGTTTTTTGCCCCCCCCCCAGCTAAAGCTGATATAGCGACTGCTATATTAACAAATGTCATTGAGCATTTAGTGTTGCTGTTGCCCCCCAATAAGCACGCCTTCACCGCCAAAGCGGTGTGGGCGGATTTTTGGGGTGGACGATGATGCAAATCTTGTCACCTTGATTGAAGCATGATTCGATGGGTTAGCACCATGTATTCCCTTACAAGTTGGCAAAAGACCACAGAAAGTGTCGTTCTCCGCGGGAATCCGGGAGGAAAATCCGAGCTATGGCCAATTATACACTTCAAACATGTTGAAATGTTGTCCATTCCTCTTTGGAACAAGGGCAATCGATATATATATATATATTAACATAGACCCGGGCAAGCCGGCGGCGGAAGTTTCCCAAACATAAATGACCTATAGTTCAAAGACACCCTGTCCCGACCGTGTCCTTCCCTCGACAACCGTTTGATTTTTTCAGCGAGAGACGAAGCAAAGTCTTCACACTCCACACTCCACACTGCACTCTTCGCACTCCAAACTTCAAACTTCACACTCCACACTTCACACTTCACACTGCTTCCTTCACACTCCAAACCTCACACTTCACACTTCACACTTCACACTGCGCTCTTCGCACTCCAAACTGAAACTTCACACTTCACACTCCACACTTCACACTTCTCACTTCCCACTGCTTCCTTCACACTGCACACTTCACACTGCACTCTTCACGCCCCACACTTCACACTGCTCTAAACCTACGTGCAACAAAAAACACTAGCGCCAAAATGGAGAAAATCTGCTAACAAATCCATTTCGCAGCCTTCATGCAGCCAGTCCAAGACGATTTACGAGATCCAGCTGCAAAAGACATTACGCATGCAGCCAAAGCAAGAAGCAACCTTGACGCAGCCATTCCAATGCGATCTGCTCAGACTGAGTTGCAAAACACAAGAGAACTACGCGCAATGGCGTCGGAAATTGTAGCTCCAAAACCGGATCTCGACGCCAGAGCGAAAAAAAGACGATTTTGAAGCATTTTTTAAAAAGATTTTTAGAAGGAAAATCACTAGCGCCAAAATGGAGAAAATCTGCTGACAAATCACTGTTCATGCAGCCACTCCAATACGATTTACGAAGTCCAGCTGCAAAAGACAATAGTATTACGCATGCAGCCACAGCATGAAGCAACCTTGACGCAGCCATTACAATGCGATCTGCGGAGACTGAGTTGCAAAACACAATAGAACTATGCGCAACGGCGTCGGAAATTGTAGCTCCAAAACCGGATCTCGACGCCAGAGCGAAAAAAAAGACGATTTTGAAGCACTTTTTAAAAGGATTTTTAGAAGGAAAATCACTAGCGCCAAAAACGCATTTCGTGCGAGACTTCCTTCAAAACTCCATCGGCAACTCCTCCACCAGCACCACTTGCAACCCCATTTACAGTGAGGGAACGATCCTAGAGTTGCAAATCACAATGGGAATTCCATCGGCAACTCATTCACCAGCACCACTTGCAATCCCATTTACATTGCGGGAACGATCCTACAGTTGCAAATCACAATGGAATTCTGTCGACCGCACATGCACGAAAAACACTTGAAACCCCATTTGCAATGCGGAACCGATCCGACCATGATCCGAGAATATCCGACCATGATCCGACCACACACGAGACCGTCTCGCACCCGTCGCACCGCAGAGGTAGATCATCGGCGTTCGGGGACGGACTTTGTATGGAAAAACACAGGGTTTGGTGCATCTGCTATCTCTCAAAAACGCATTTCGTGCGAGACTTCCTTCAAAACTCCATCGGCAACTCATCCACCAGCACCACTTGCAATCCCATTTACAGTGAGGGAACGATCCCAGAGTTGCAAATCACAATGGAATTCCATCAGCAACTCATCCACCAGCACCACTTGCAACCCCATTTACAATGCGGGAACGATCCTACAGTTGCAAATCACAATGGAATTCTGTCGACCGCACATGCACGAAAAACACTTGAAACCCCATTTACAATGCGGAACCGATCCGAGAATGATCCGACCATGATCCGACCACACACGAGACCGTCTCGCACCCGTCGCACCGCAGAGGTAGATCATCGGCGTTCGGGGACGGACTTTGTATGGAAAAACACAGGGTTTGGTGCATCTGCTATCTCTCAAAACCGCATTTCGTGCGAGACTTCCTTCAAAACTCCATCGGCAACTCCTCCACCAGCACCACGTGTGAATCCCATTTACAGTGAGGGAACGATCCTAGAGTTGCAAATCACAATGGAATTCCATCAACTCATCCACCAGCACCACGTGCAATCCCATTTACATTGCGGGAACAATTTCTTTGACTAACTCGTTCCCTAACGAACACTTTCTTTGCTAACTCTTTCTTTGCTCTTTCTTTGACTAACTCTTTCCCTCACTAACTCTTTCTTTGACTACCTCATATATCCTGACTAACTCTTTCCCTCACTAACTATTTCTTTGACTAACTCTTTCCCTCACTAACTCTTTCTTTGACTAACCCTTTCCCTCACTAACTCTTTCTTTGACTAACTCTTTCTTTAACTAACTCTTTCCCTGACGAACTCTTTCTTTGCTAACTCTTTCTGTGACTAACTCTTTCCCTCACTAACTCTTTCTTTGACTAACTCTTTCCCTCACTAACTCTTTCTTTGACTAACTCTTTCCCTGACTAACTGTTTCCCTCACTAACTCTTTCTTTGACTAACTCTTTCTTTAACTAACTCTTTCCCTGACGAACTCTTTCTTTGCTAACTCTTTCTGTGACTAACTCTTTCTTTGACTAACTCTTTCTTTGACTAACTCTTTCCCTCACTAACTCTTTCTTTGACTAACTCTTTCCCTGACTAACTGTTTCCCTCACTAACTCTTTCTTATACTAACTCTTCTTTACTAACTCTTTCTTTGACTAACTCTTCTTTGACTAACTCTTTCTTTGACTAACTCTTTCCCTGACATTCTAAAAGTCCGTAACACGGAAGTTTCTCCCCCTAAACTTCCTTTGATAAACTATACAATATGTATATATATATATATAATAATAATGATAATAATAATAATGATAATAATAATCAAAATAATAATAATAAATAATATATATATATATATATTTACATACACACTTTTCAATAATCATTGGGTGCTTCAGTTGCCAACGGTTGAAGTTCTATGGATCATATCTCCCAGATTCAGATATTTGCCATCTGTCGCTACTGAATGAGGTGCTGAACGAGGTGAAGCCCCACAACGAACTGACGCGGCAGCGCCTTCTTCCGCCGGGCTGATCGAACAAGGTGCGCTGAGGAAGACGGGTCCGGGTTGGAGCGTAGATCAACCAATCCCATCTTGGAGAGTCATCCCACGGCGATTGTCGGATCTTCTCATTTGGTGTTGGGGGAATGGGATTGCCAGTGCCCCATGGATTTTGGTGCATGGGAAGTAGCGATTGAAGACTGGGAAGTCCATGGCAACCCCTTTTTTTAATGGAGGGGTGTAGAACGGTTAGCTTTCGGACACCCTGGTGATGTAACATATTATGGAACATCGCCCAATTTTTTGATGATTGATGATGATTTACGTATTGAACATGGTGATTTATCATAGCCACGTTCAATTTCCAGATGGTACCGCGTTAAATTACCAGGGGGTACCATCATGTCATTTCATAGTACCATCTGGTTAACTAACATTCAGCTATGGAAAGTCACCATGCTATTAATAGGTAAACCATCTATTTCTATGGGCCATCTATACGATGGCGAAGTGTTAGTCATAACCAGATGGTAATTTCCAACTGAAAAAACCCGCTAAAATTGCGTTCAACCTTTTGGGGGTTGCAACATGCTACGCGGCACACGGCCACATTGGAAACCAACGTGGAGCTCCAAATTTGTAGGGAATTCCTCTGTAAACCATTGTAAACCAATGATAAATAGATAGTTGAGGCTTTTTGGCTACGCAAATGGCTGGGATCCATTTACTTCCCTAGTATTTATAGGTTGAATCACGTTCTTTCCGGGCTTGATTGCAACATCCACCAGTTTGGATGGTTAGATCATGTTAGATCTTAATTGTCCAATTATATATATATATTATATCCTTTAAATCATACTAAACTCAAACAACATGTTTACTTTAATCATCACTTTAGGGATTCTATCCCAAGAAACCTCCACTGAAAAATCCAAGCTGGGCCGGAAAGGTGCTCCAAAGGACGAGCCGACGAAAAAATCTGAGGAGTAGGGCAAAGATCGGATCTTTCTGCAACAAAATGTATTATCAAAGAATTGGAGAGTTCACTTTCAATACTAAATATACCAAACAATGAAGAAAATCTGTTCCCAGTGTCCCAGGACCTTAATCCGTTTTTGATTCACCGATAGATCGGATCTTCAACGAAAAGCGCTGGACCGTAGAAAGCGAATCAGTGTTACCCTCTGGTAATTTGTTACGTAGCTAGAGAACATGGCCCAGTCGAAATAGTGGATTGGCCCATTTTTCAGTCATTTTCCAGTTCGCAACATGTGAATTTTCCCCTCAGGCTACTCCATCGAAATCAGGGGGTAACCAACCCGCGACCGCGACCCACCATAGATCATCAGCCGGACGTGTCACCGTGGAAAAAAGGGACGTTTTTTTCCGCTGTTTCCGCTGGACCTGGATGGGGATGGCCGGGCAGACCATTGCGATTGCTGTCCCGCGGGATGTAGGCCATAGGCAAAAAAGGCGCTACCCTGTGTCAATGGATTGGTTTAAGGGAAAATCTACAGGAAACCATGGTTTTTACCATTAAATATGGGGCTTTCCTGTAAATTTTCCCTTAAACCAATCCATTGACTGTGGTAAACGTTTACAAAAAACGAACTGGAAAAATCCACCATTTTTCATGGGAAAACTCATTATTTCTATGGCCATTTTCAATAGCTATGTAAACGTTTACCAGAGGGTAATTCTAGGCCACAGATTGGAAGGGAAAGCCTGGAAAAGCATCAATGGTAAAAACCAATGGTCTCGAGTAAAATGTGCATTAAACCAGCCCAATGAGCTACAGGTAAGTTATGGTGATTCAAGACGCCGGGTCTCTGGAATGATCGTTGACCACGTTTTCTTTCTCTTCATGACCTGGTGCATCGAATCTGACATGGAGCTGGATCAACCTATATCTGTTTGGAACATATTTGAGGGGTCTATTTGGGAGGCCCATAGAAATGCATGATTATGACAAATTGTAACGGATCCTCATTTCTTAGCGTTTCATGTGAAACTTTTCCGGTTTTGCCCCTCACGTGATACATCTCGCAGGGTTGGACATGTTTTCTGCGCGCTTGTTTTTACCTTCGACCTACTTTGCAGGACAAGAAGACAAAGAAAAAGAAGTACACAGTCGCAAGCTCGGTTGTTGAGGCCACGTGTTAGTGGATGCCGCATGGAATCAACGACAAAAATGGAGGTTTAACAAACTGGTCGTAATGAGTATATTTAGTAATATGACTACAATATAGTATAAACAACATGAATGATATCGGTTATGAGATAGCTTTATATTGTTATATAACAAAGTTATTTGAATCAATCATGATGAATATCCCAATACAACAACCGGAAGAACTATAATAAAAAACCAAGTAATGATTCGAACATCCCTTGAACTACGAATCATCCCAAGTACGATATATAATGGATGCACACATTTTTCTCCGCCACAATTCTTGTGGATGGTGATAAATTGCAGCTAGATCCCCCAAGTGATAGTGGTTTAGGATGGTTTAAGTATCCTCTGGTAATCAAACCAATGGACATCAATGGACAATGCCCCCAGATTGCAGAGGATTTTTCCCATTAACGCCTGCGACTTTTTCAGTTCGGAGATTTCTCCGCTAGCCCATTTTGATTATCAGTTAAAGTGCCCTCTGGTAAACGTTTACATAGCGAACTGGAACATCATCATTATTTTTATGAGGTAAATCAACCATTTCGAGTGGGCCATTTTCAATAGCTTGTTGTATGTTTACCAGGCCGGGTGCCCCTCAAAATGTCCAGTTGGTGCCAGTCTCATCCTAAAAGAGAGGTACTGTACCATATAAAGCAAAAATTTGGGGATATATCCCCTGAAATTTAGACCTGAAAAATAGGCCAAAAATATATGGAATCGGTACCTCCAATGAACTCCAACTATCTCCAACTTAGATATATAACTATAGTATTCATGGGGGTTATAATGGTTTATAGTGGCCCCAGTTCGTTAGCTAAGTTGGTTTATAACTCCAATAACTATGGTTTATGGTAGATATAAACTATAAACCAACTATGCTATATTGGACATACATCTATACTTATCTGTACTTATCCATACGTATCTATACTAAACCAATGATACTATTTTTTTTTCTCCTATACTTATCTATACTATTCCTATGTTTTTTTCCTAAACCAAAGTTCACATCACGGGCGGGCCCCAGGGCCCCATCCAAGTCCCAGGTGTCTTCGGAGTTCAAGGATCAGTTGTCCAGTCTTATGGTGTCTCGGATCCATTTGAGGTGGCAAGCGGCGTTGGGGAGTCGCTTCAGCAGCTGGATAAATCCCTATTAAAATCCCTTTAAGGTAATCTAGCCTAGCGAACTGGAACATCACCATTTTATAGCTGGGTAAACCAGCTAGAAAGATGGTATGTTATTATACTATTTTAATGTTTAATAGATGCGTGTATAGCTGATTTAGCTATTACGCACGGTGATTTCTTTTCTATAACAGCTGTTAAATTTTACACAGGGTGCCGAAAAACGAAAAAAAACAGCCCACATAGAAAAGCACATGGAAACATGGGGGATGTGAGCCATCCATTTTAGTGGGATAACAATGGATTTTTGAAACACCCACAGTGTCAGCCTCGCTTTAGTAAATCCCTAGGTTGTTTAATTGGAGCACCAATTTTCCGCAGCAGATCGCTTATCACTTTTTGCGTGGGGCCATGCTAATTTTTCAACCAGAGTTTATGAACATCCGGGGTTGGCATGAATGTCAACCCCGGATAAATAAACCATGGTTTATTAATTAGGGGGGTACTCCTCCAATAGTCATTTCATCTAATACTTTTTTTTGGGGGGGGTACCCTACCAAGTAAACAGCCGTTTGGGGTTTATTAATCCGGGGTTGATATTAACTGGCTTTTATCTCCACTTACCATCTGGTTATTTAACATAGCCATGGAAAATCACCATTTTTAATAGGTAAACCGTCTATAAATAGGCAATTTTCCATGGCTATGTTAAATAACCAATGCCATCCAAGATGATAACAAAAGGATTGCCTCAATGGGAAGCTTTGCCATCACCGCCCAAATATTTTTTCTGTGCCACAGTCTAGCCTTATGGGGAAACTCCGAAATCATGTCAATCCCATTTCAGTGCTCGACTTTCAGAAGAAAAACATCGCCATATCATCTGGATTACCCTCTGGTAAACTAACATGACTATGGAAAATCACCATTTTTATTAGGTAAATTAACCATAAATGGGCCATTTTCCACAGTCATGTTAGTTTACCAGAGGGTAACAAACACATCGCCATATCATCTGGATTAACGACCTCATGACGCGATGTCAGGAAGTAAATCAGAGGATTTCAGGTCAGTAAATCATCACAAAGTCTCCAGAAATATCTCCATCTCCATATATAAACAATACAACTACAGATAATTGTAGCCATTGGTACCCATTCATATCCATTTAATACCAAGTTGATACCCATTAATAGCCATTGATATCCATTAAATATCCATTAATATCCAGAGAACATCCCTTATTGAGGGTCTGCTACTTCTGGAGCATTTAGAGCAAGTCCCGTTGTGTTTTTCACTGAGGATGTTGTCGACTTGACCGAGCCTCACTTCATCCGATGTGTCTTGGCCCGGAGATTTGCAGCATCGAAGTAGATCCTGGTGAAATAAGCCTGGTAAATCAAAATCTGGTTAGTAAATGTTAGTACAAAGTGGGGCCCCCAAACGATAGCTAAGTTGGTGCCAATAACTCCAATAACTATGATTTATGGGAGATATAACTATAGTTAATGGGGTTTATAAACCAACTTATAACTAGGGGGCCCCACATTGTAGGTCCCCGAAGTGAAGTCTCCCATTTATAGTGGGTGTTATATCTCTGGTGGTTATATCCTGGTTAAATAACCCTGGCGATGATTAGGTTCCTAAGTCAGTGATCCCATTTATAATGGGTTATGTGTTAAATAACCCTGGTTAGTAAATGTTAGTATATAAGTGAATGATCCCATTTATAACGGGTTATAACCAGAGTTACTAAGCACTTAGAACTCGTCAAGGGATTTCAGATTGAGTCCCGTTCTGGCTTCATCAGTGGTTTCAATGACCAATTTCGACCCAAAATTTTAAAAAAAGATGGGACGATGATCCCCAACGACGATTTCAAGGGGGATTGAAGCCACCAACCAGCTATGGTTTCTAGTGATGTGTTGGGGTCCTGATTCGAAAAACACATATGCCAACTGTAGTTGAATCTTTCCAATATATGGGGATTATGATAGGGGTACTGTCAGGTTTGATATCTCCCAGTTTATTAATGTACGATGTCTTGTGCCTATGACACCGAAACATTTACATCTCTGCGAGTGGCCCTTCTGTTTATCAATTGGTGATCCCCAAAACAGTGAGAAGCTCATCCCTGTCATATGAAACTCCGAAATGGTCGCAAAGATCAATGGGAATTTCAGGATCCTAAAATGGAGGTACTGTACCATTTTTCAGGCCATATTTCCTGGGGATATTCCCTTACATAGGCCTGAAAAATAGGCCAGTGAAAAGAGGTGTTTTTATCCCCTACCAAAGCATGGTTTTTTCCTAGGGGTTGTTTGAGGCATCAAATCTATGGACCATGTTTGGTATTGGAACTATTCATTTCATGGTGCCTTTTTGGGGATCTCTGGTACACTAACATAGCGAACTGGAAAATCACAATTTTTAATGGGCAAATCAACTATTTCGACTGGGCCATTTTCAATAGCTATGTAACAAATTACCAGAGGGTAGATCATGTGCATCGGATGAGCCATTTCAGTTGAGTGCAAACCCATCATTCTCCTTAACTGCGACAGCGATGCGGTGCACCCCTCCAGGCATTAAGCCGAACCCGCAGAATGTGCCGGACCTCTTTGATCGGAAGGCGTGTGCTGCGTGATGCACCTTTCTGAGTGCAGGATGGCTTGGAAGAGAACTTGTAGAAGCTCAAAAAATCCTAAAGGACGGGTGAAATTGCCAACCATTTTTTAGATACCCTCTGGTAAACTAACATAACTATGGAAAATCACCATTTTCAATGGGTAAATCCACTATAAATGGCCATTTTCAATAGCTATGTTAGATTACCAGGGGGTATGCCAGCAAACTGGCAGTGGAACCAGGAGAAATGGTGATAGAACCTCACCCACAAGTCCGATAGTTCAAACATATTCCAACCAAGAAGAGCTTTTAAGTCGCATTTTTGAAGCAGCCATTGGCATCAATAAGCATAACATGTTTTTTGGAGAGCAAGAAGCCCCCTCGATCTGAATCCACTGGAGAGATTTTATCAATAGCTGCTGAATACTTCATGAAATGAATAGAACCAATCAGACATTTTATTCATAGGAATCTACGTTTGAGAGTCAATTTTAAATCGTCAATGATCTTCAATGAATGGATTGGTTTAAGGCAAACATGAAACCCACCCGCAAACACAGGAGTTTCCTGCAGATTTTCCTTGTACTAGTAACCATTTCTAGGATTCAATGCGGGCCGCCTGCCCTCCGGTTGCATATCCCAAGAAAAATCCCAATGAAATCCCTATCAAATCCCCATTGTTGGTGTTTTAAATCCCATAGTTATACTACCCTCTGGTAATTTTAAGTAGCGAACTGGAAAATCACCATTTTAAATAGGGATTTATCATCATATATCATCATACATCATCTATAAATGGGTTATGGCTTCCATAGCTATGTTAAATAATCAGAGGGTAAGAGCCCCTGAAACCACGTATTTTAAGCTAATCCCGTCGTGATGTCAGGGAGTGACTGAGCAATTACGCTATGGTGGTGTGCTGCAAGTGGTCCAAGTCAGCTTGGAACTCGAGTGGTACTTTCAACCTCTAGTGGTTGCTGGCTTACTAAGTTGCTTGAGAAAACCATAGGAAAATGGCGATTTAACCAACAAACATGGTGATTTAATGGGATTTACAGCTGTTTTGACATAGGAAAACTTGGATGGGTGATTTTGCGCTTTAAATCCCTCTATACTTCAAACGAAATATTTACGAACCCGCTTTTTGCGGCTGATAGGTGTTTCTCCATGTTTCTCCCCAGGGTATTTAGCCGTGCTACTTGGGTCGATGTGCAGAGTAATAGATGCCTTTGCGGCAACTTCTTTTTCAATGTTTGTTGTTTCGCCATAGAGGGTTACCACAATTGAACAACCAATGCGAACATGGTACCCCAAACAATCATTGCTTCCTGAACAATGAGCCAGTGAAGTATTGTTCAGAATGATGGCCGGGATCGAGTGGATCTCATGGGGTGTCGGACACATTAAAACCCATGCAGGGCTTAACGTTTCCGTTCACGTTGAACCCAAAAAAGGGGGACCAATAACCTACTAGCCTGGGGTGAACTTCACCAAAGCTTCAAAGTAGCAGATGCCATTGAGAGACTCACAAAATCTACCAATATCGTTTACACCACTAGTTGGTGAGTTTTTGTTTCAAAAAAGTGGTGTACTCACTCAGTTACTACCCTCTGGTAAACTAACATAACTATGGAAAATCACAATTTTTTATGGGAAAATTCACTATTTTATGGTGATTTTCCATAGATATGGTAAATTACCAGAAGGTAACAGATCTGTTTTTTTCCTCCCCCAAAATCCCAGGATCATCATTCCAGCCCAGGTCGCGCCGGATATCCGGTGCGTATCAACCACCAGGCAGCGCAGGGTGCTTGGGAAATGGAGAAGTCAATCCACCGTGAGCCATGCTACCATCGTTGAGATTGGTTATGAGGGATTATACATTATACTAGCCGGTTTTTCATGATGTGTAATGATTGTAATGGTGATTTTTTTTGGAGATTCCATATTCGGAATGCCTTTCTGAATATCTACTAACCAGCCAGCACGATGGGATGGGCTTTGGGATATTTTTCATAGCTCATTTGGATTATGAAATTGGGTCCACCAGAGGGATGTGATCAGAATGGCAAAGGGAAAATCCGCCATTTAGAGATGGATTTTCTCGACTAGAACCTCCATTTCTACAGGATTTTCCAGCTTCTGATTGTGTGACAATCAGAGGCTAAATCCTGCTAACATCTCCGTCATATCCCCATTATATCCCCAGAATATCTCCATTATAATCATTACCCTCTGGTTATGTCAAAATAGCTATTTTGAACATGGCCATTTAGTTCTAAATCGTTGATTTACCCACTAAACATGGTGGATCTTTCCAGTTCGTTTTTTTTGTAAACGTTGACCAGACCGGGTGTTTTCACTATCCATTGATCCACCCTGACCACATCGGATCATCCGCTTCAGGAGTGTTGGGATGACTACAAAGTCATCGGAGCCCCTAAGGTGGTCTCGGAATTGCGGCATATCCAGGTGCCGAAAAACGGTGGGAGCGCCACTTGTGTTACGTATCTAGAAAACGACATGTTATACATACACCATCACACGCAGCTAATATACGTGTATATATATATATATACACACCTATTGTGCATACATACGCACACACACATATACATATATATATATGTATATATGTATATGTATCTATGTATGTAAGTGTGTGTGTGTGTTAAGGTTGATGTATAGTAGATAGACACCTAATGATTGACACTGGATGGATTGTAGCCACACACCTTGATGATCGATGTTTAGTGTTTTTGGGGCTAGATGAGTCTACTACATCACCCGCTCAAAGTTAAACTCTTGTCAAATCAACCAGCCACCAAATCATACGTAACCATATATAGCCCATATACCTGGAGAAAGTCCATGATTTATAGTTACTGGTTGGTGGTTTGGAACATGGGAATGTCATAGTCCCAACTGACTTTCATACAGTATTTTTCAGAGGGGTAGGTATACCACCAACCAGGTTAGGTGATGATGGGTTATTTCATATGCTTACCCATGCTAACGATTCCTGGCATGCCCCTTTCAGTTGGTGATTGGCTAGGTCTGAACATCTCCATAGAGGAATGCGGGGTATCACTACAAGGTTGTGCCCCCCAGTTCTAAGTTGGTTTATAAACCAGAGTAAGTATAAATATATCTACCATAAACCATAGTTATTGGAGTTATAAACCAACTTAGCTAACTATGGGGCACCACCTTGTAGGTATCAACAGGTGTCATGGTTTGCACTGCTCACTTGACATTTTTCACTGGATAAGCCTAGTTTGGTGCTCCCAAATTCAGCGAACCATTTAGTGTCATTTTGGATTGGGCAATTACCCTCTGGTAAATTAACTTGTTGACCCTGAAAATCACCAATTTTGAGTGGAAACTCATCTTTCAAGTCCTATCTAAATTAGCGTCATGTTAATTTACTGGAGGCTACTACTGCCTACAACAATCACTGTTAGGTCTGCATTTCTGACAAGAATCACAGACCTACTTGGGCTTTCAAGCATCCCTGCGGATGGATAAATCATAGCGACTTCCAATGGGAGTCCTTACCATAGATGATGATTTTCGGAGGCAAATCATTGCCTGAATTAGCAGGTCTTGTTTCAAAATTCTGGATGCCCCCCCCAGGTTTTTGGAAACTTGAATGGGAAACTTAAACTGAAATACATAAGTTATTTTCCCCGATACTTATCTATCTTTGGATGTGATAACACACCTAGCGCAGAACCAGCCGCACCCGGCAGGATCCAAAGATTAGGGCGCGGCACCCCAGGAACGGGATTATGTGATGTTCCCTCACTTTTTGAGGATTGTTTGGTGGGGTTGGTTGTTTGAGGTCAAGTTACGCTCTGGCAAGCTGACATGGCAGATCTTTTAAAGTCGAAGTGCTGCATGGAACCAGTAAAATCACCTGGCTTTGGCGGATGTTTTACCTCTTTGGCAGATGATTCCATCTTCATCCATCTTCAATGTCATGCGCACATCCCAATTTCCCAATCGCCAGCTTGCAAACCCAAGTTCAACTACTAGAATTGGTGGAACTCTTATACCCTCTGGTAAACGTTAACAAAAAACTATGGAAAATCACCATGTTCAATGGGAAAATCCACTATTTCTATGGCCATTTTCAATAGCTATTTTGACATAACCAGAGGGTATATCTCTTCCATCCGTGGCATCCCTGGCATCCCTGGCATCCCTGGCATACCTGGCATCCCTGGCATACCCCGCGGCAGGATGGAATCCTCACCAGCCGACACTGGTCCGCTTCGTATCCAATCCCCGTTCTATCCCTACTATTATCCCTAATTATTATACCCATATATAATCGCACACACACACATATATATATATATATAATTATACATACATACATACATACATACATACATACATACATACATACATACATACATACATACATACATACATACATACATACATACATACATACATACATACATACATACATACATACATACATACATACATACATACATACAACATACATACATACATACATACATACATACATACATACATACATACATAATACATACATACATACATACATACATACATACATACATACATACATACATACATACATACATACATACATACATACATACATACATACATACATACATACATACATACATACATACATACATACATACACACATACATATATATATATAATATACATATCATTATATATATATAGATATACATATAAATACATATCATTATATATATATATATAGATATATATCCATTATATCCCTACTATATCCCTATGAATCCCCGTTCTTGGCCTGTTTCGTTTTTGAAAAATCTGAGGCGCAGAAGCTGCTGGATCATCTGGACAGCGAGCTGAACCTTCCGAAACCGAAGCACCGTGGACATCAAATGTGGCCTGGGAAAATCTGATGATTTGCCGAGGGCTAGACACCTCCAGTTTTTGGGTGGATCAATGGGATTGGTTTAAGGGAAAATCGAAACCGGAAAGCCCTTTTTTCTTGATGGGAAAATCGATGGTTTCCTGTAAATTTTCCCTTCTCTTAGACCAAGTGGTGGATTTTCCAGGTGGGTAAGTGGTGAGGAACTGGTAGATTTGCCATTTTTTGGTGGATTTTCCGTTTTGATAAATGGTAACTGGGGTGAGATTGACTTACTGAGTGGGAGAATCCTATAGGGGTATTGACCACTTATACTAAGTGGGATGGTCCTCCAAGTAGTAACCCTCAAAATAGACAAAGAATTGCGGTCTAATAAGCATGAAACATGGTGAGAGATGGTGATTTAATGGGCAACCCGACAACCTGGGCAAGCCAAGGTCGCAAACAACTATCATGACTGTAAGCATAAGACAAGGAAATGGGGTCTCTACCATCAAAAATTGTGTCAAATGAGGATTTCACAAGCAAAAGAGAACAGTGGGATGTTTCTTCATGTCGTGTATTCTTCTAGGTCAATGTAAATGAGGGTACGCACCAACCAGATAAAATTATATCCATTTTTTTTTTCTCTCTCTCTCTCTCTATGGAAACCTGATGGAAGCGTGACGGAACATCCCCACAGGCTATCCCTAAGACCAGATGTCTTCGGGAACCTCCAGCCCTAGTCATTGAGTCATTGAGGGCTTATGAAATCTGAAACAATACTAGATCATCTTGAAACATCTCAAACCTGAAACATCCTTGAATCATATTAAAGCATATTATAATATATTATATATATAAACCATAACAAATCCATATCAAACCATATTAAAGCATAGAACACCATTAAGCATCCTCAAAATTTTGGCACCCTTCACTTTCCGAATGTTTCCATGACCTTTCTCCACGCCCGAGGCATGGGCAATCTTGGGCGGTGGGCAAGACACTGGTGTTCTTTAAACTGCCAGCCTATGCTCGGGTCCCCGAAATGCAATGCGTGCACTGCGTGCACGGAAGGTCTCTCCCCGTGGCTGGGGATCTTGGTGTAGTGTACACTAGGAACATTAGTGATTAATTTTTTACTGTTTTTTAGTGAATTGTAGGTATATTATATATATATATATTTGTGACTACATATGTTCTTTCTAGCCAGCTCCACATGTCAATGACATGTCAATGGCTTCTTTTCCTTCATTTTTTTGGTGGCAGGTAGCTAGGATTCGCCATGTGAACTTCGGCATGTGATGCTCGAAATTGGGTGGTGGGAAATCACTACTTGGGGGTGCAGTTCCACTCGTAAATTGGCTATATTTCACCATAGTTGTAGGGGCTATGCTTATATCCCAAGTTATGGAGGTTATACCATAGTCATACCCATCAATCATATTTAATCGCCACAAATAGCTGTGGTATGTTGTATATCCCATTGTACCCATATCAAATCCTATTAAATCCCTATTGTTGCTGGTCAAAATGCCACAGTTATAGCCATAGCCACTGACCTGCACCCCTAATTAACATCGATTAACCAAGAATCAATAGACTGGTCTAGGGGAAAATGTGCAGGAACCCCCTATATTTCATGGGAATAAAACCATCGTTTCGTGTAGATTTTCCCTTCAACCAATCCATTGAAAGAATATTTGTACGGCGATTTGCTTTAGCCATGGGCTAAAGCAGTGATATTCATCGCAACTTCATATGCCCAATGGAGATACAATGGAGATACAATGGGGATATGTATAATGGTTTTAGCCTCTGGCAATTGGAAATCCATTCTAAATGGAGGTTGATAGCTGGGAAAATCAACGAAAAACACCGGGTCCCATTTTCCACGGCGTCCACGGTTTGATGACCGGATTGTAACGGCCAAAAACGTCGTGACGTCACCGTTTCTATGGCAGGTTTTGGAGCCCAGTTACTTCTATCGATTCTATGCCACCAAAAAGAAGATATTAGAAAAGGTTGAATCTATAGATGGCATAGAATCTATTATCAAACATAGATGCCACCAAAAATAACATTTTTGTCGAAAATCTACCACTGTGTGAAGATCTGTTTGAAGATCAGATGTTATTTTTCTACACTCCAGCCGTTTGAAGTCTCTTTTCTTTGCTGTAGTTTGGCAGTTTGGCATTTGCGTCGCCACTGACTTGGGGTCATCTTGGCGTGGCCGGTCTCAGGAGCGCATCAAGTTCGCTCGTCTGAAGCTCAGTTGATGATAGTTATATCATATATCCTTGGGTCCTTGGGTTTGTGAACAAGTGATGTCAAGTGATTGTTCATCTTCATGGGAAAGCCACTATTTTGGGGGAATATGTATATCGTCTATATATATATATAAGTCGATGTATATTTATGTGTGTTGTTGCAGCCTCTTACGTAAATCCAAGCATAGGTAGGTGCATGGACGGGTGGATGGATGGACAAAACGGGTAAGCTAATCAGTGGCTTATTGTCACCACATAATAGGTTGATTTTGGTTCCCACAAATGGATACAAATGGAGGAATATACTAGCTGGTTGGTGGTTTGGAACACTTTTTTCCCCATATATTGGGAATAATCATCCCAACTGATTTTCATATTTTTCAGAGGGGTTGAAACCACCAACCAGCTAGTTAGCCAACTTTATTGAAGTTTTCTGCACCCAGTCGGTTAGTCATGGCATGGGATTTCTGAGAAAGGGCCTTTTTGAATTTTTGTTTCACCACTTCTCCACTTTTCCAGTGGGGTTATGTAGCCCTGATAACCAGCTTGGACTATCAATCCCATGGAACGAGGTCAATCTTACATTGGATACAAACTAATCCTCTAGTCTTTTGGTATTAATGGGAATATCTACGTTCACCAGCAAAGAATTTGTCATTTTTTGCAGGGTATCTGGCTGATTGGCAATGGGAACTGGAGGTTGGGTTCCCAGCTACTGGAAACATCAACAGTTTCGCTGCAGCTTGGGCGATGCCGCGGAACCCGACGAGAAAACATGTCCAGCATTGATGTAATGTACCCGGCCTGGTAAACGTGTACATATCGTGTACAGAACGAACTGGAAAATCACCATTTTTTTTAGGTAAATCAACTAATTATAAATGGAGGTTTTAATGGGAAAATCAACTAGCTGGTTGATGGTTTGGAACATGACTTTTATTTTTTCATATATTGGGAATGATCATCCCAACTGACGAACTCATATTTTTCAGAGGTGTTGAAACCACCAGTGATGTAATGCAATGGAATGTAATGTGGTGCACTCTCCTGCACTGTACTGTAATGTAATGAAATGAAATATGTAATTTAGGTAGAGTGTGCCTATCTGGGAACATAAACATACAAAATATCAGAAGGCTATACATATGCACGAGAAAACAGTACATACGTGCATACACGTATGTGTATATACGTGTATATATATATATGTATAGCATATGCGGACATGCGTAAGCGCACGCGCACACACACACATGATATACGTGCACAATATTTACACACACACACAGATATATATATATATATACACATACACATACATAACATGTAGGCATTGATGTGTTTGTATCATCCTTCTATTTTCAGCCAGGTGAGCCGAGGAAAAGTATGTATCATGTACAAATTTATATATGACAGAGCTACCAGATGGTAATCATTTTTAACAACGTGAGTTTTTGCCACCTCATGGCACCGGCGGGGCGGCCCCGTGTGGGCCCTCATGAGTCCTGGTTATGATGCCGGCGCAGCAGACATCGCTGGTAGCGAGCTGCAGAGCGTTTTGGAGGCGAACGAGGCGGGATTTCCGCAGGGGTGGCTGGAGTGGGATGCAGTGATTATTCAGCAGGTAGCAGGGTGTAGACAGCTTTTCTGAAACCTAGAGGTATGCATCACCAAGAAAGATGTTAAATATGTTCCCCCCTTGAAGTGGCCATTTGGGGGTGGTTTCCTTTCAGACACACCCATATTTATCATTATTCAATGGAGGGCTAATTATTTTAGGATTTTTTTTTTGATCAGGTTTAGGAATTATTTTTGGATTCCTGCTTCTCTGCTTTTCCTGCTTTTCCTGCTTCTCTGCTTTCCTGCTTTTCCTGCTTTTCCTGCTGCTTTTCTGCTTCTCTGCTGCTTCTCTGCTTCTTGCTTCTGCTTTTTTGCTTTTCTGCTTCTCCTGCTTCTCTGCTTCTCTGCTTTTCTGCTTTTTTGCTTTTCTGTTTTTCCTGTTTCTTTGCTTCTCTGCTTTTCCTGCTTTTCCTGCTTCTCTGCTTTTCTGCTTTTCCTGCTTCTTTGCCTTTCTGCTGTTTTGCTTTTGTGCGTTTCCTGTTTCTTTGCTTCTCTGCTTTTTTGCTTCTCTGCTTTTTTTTTTTGCTTTGCCTGCTTTAAATACTTGATTTTCATGTAAGATGCATTTTGCACAGTATTTACATCCCTGAGTATCACATGACCAACCTTCTCTTGAAAACTAGCAACGTAACATGTGAGAAGAGGTGCTTGCATTCTGCTTTGGGGGGAGGCGCTGCGCCCTCCCCCCAATCCCCCCCTCCCGCTTTTTTTTATTTAAACTTAAACCCAAGTTACATTAGTTGGTTTTTGCGAACTAACCTTCTCTGGAAAGCTGACAGGATTACATGTGATAGATAGATAGATAGATAGATAGATAGATAGATATATAGATAGATAGATAGATAGATAGCCGATAGATAGCTTGGTAGATAGATAGCTAGATAGATAGATAGCCAGCTAGATAGATAGATAGATAGCTAGAGAGATAGATAGCTAGATACCTCGATAGATAGATGGCTAGATAGATAGCTAGATAGATAGATGGCTAGATAGATAGCTAGATAGATAGATAGCTAGCTATAGATAAAGAGGTAGCTAGATAGATAGCTAGATAGATAGATAGATAGATAGCTAAATAGATAGGTAGATAGTTAGCTAGATAGATAGATAGCTAGATAGATAGCTAGCTAGATAGCTGGATAGACAGCTGGATGGCTAGATAGATAGATAGCTAGATAGATAGAAAGCTAGATAGCTAGATAGCTATATAGATAGTTAGCTAGATAGCTCGATAGCTAGATAGCTGGATAGACAGCTGGATGGCTAGATAGATAGATAGCTAGATAGATAGAAAGCTAGATAGCTAGATAGCTAGATAGATAGTTAGCTAGATAGCTAGGTAGGTAGATAGATAGCTAGCTAGCAAGATAGCTAGCTAGATAGGTAGATAGATAGCTAGATAGATAGATAGCTTGCTAGATAGATAGCTAGCTTGCTAGATAGATAGCTAGCTAGATAGCTAGATAGCTAGCTAGCTGGATAGATAGCTAGCGCCCTCCCTCAATCCCCCCCACCCGCTTTTTATCTAATCCCAAGCTTCCGCATCTGTAAATATTTGGGTGAACATGCTCACATGTAGAACATCCCATGCAAAATGGAAGGTGAACATGCCAAAATGTGGCAAATACCATACAAATTGGACGGTGAACATGCCCACATGTAGGAAATCCTATGCAAAATGGAAGGTGAACATGCCAAAATGTGGCAAATACCATACAAAATGGAAGGTGAACATGCCCACATGTAGTAAATCCCATGCAAAATGGAAGGTGAACATGCCCAAATGTGGCAAATACCATGCAAAATGACAAATTCAAGTTCCAAACCGTTGCAAACACTAGGCAAATGGTACCAGCCAAGAAATCCAAAAAAAAATCCCAAACCTGCTCAAAAAAAAATTCCTAAAACTATTTCACACCCTTATTCAATTGTTGAATCCCAAGTTTCATGGTTAATCGTTAGCGGTTAACCCCCCACTTACTACCAATAAATCTCCTTTAAAACCACCCTGGCCATGATGGCGAACCCCTGGTGTCTCCGTTTTGGCATGTTTTGGCCACTGTGGCGTCCGGGTTTTTCATGGACAGCCAGGAGTTTCACAAGCTCTGGTTTCCTAACCAGGAGCAGCCAAATAGCACCTTGGGATACCTTGGATGGAAAGTGGCCTGTGAAATCCGGGCTGGAAGGCTTCCAGTGGATTTTTCTCACGCGACGTGTTTTTACATCTTTCGCACAAAAAAATCGTGGTGACCTCTCCAAAATGTGAACGTTTTGCCCGACTGGTATATAATTATTATACAGGATGGGGCCCCCCAGTTATAAGTTGGTTTATAAACCATTATAATCCCCATTAACTATAGTCTATAGTTATATCTACCATAAACCATTGAATTCAGCCACCAACATGAACCAACTGAACGCTATCTAACGGGGGCCCCACCCTTTTTGGTTTATTTCTCTGTTTTTTTGCTCATTTAGTTCAAGATTGGGGACCCATATATACCCTCTGGTTATGTCAAAATAGCTATTGAAAATGACCATTTATAGTGGATTTACCCATTGAAAATGGTGATTTTCCATAGTTATGTTAGTTCACCAGAGGGTAACATTTGTTTTTACAAAGGTCTTCGAATGGAAACCAGTTGTGTCCTGGTCCGAAACTGATGTAGGACCCCGAGAATTGCCCATTTTGAGTCGAAAGTAGTCTTCCAACCCAGAGTCAGGTCTGGGTCTATGTTAAGAATGGTAGTCATACTGATAATGATGTTACCCTCTGGTTATTTAACATAGCCATGGAAGCCATGGCCCATTTATGGATGATTTTCCAATTAAAACCTCCATTTATAAGGGATTTTCCATAGCTATGTTAAATAACCAGATGGTAATTTTAAGAACTATTTATGTGTGTATCACTGATCACGAGGCTTGAAAAAACGTGGATTTGGATGGATGGCTACAATCGTTAATGATTACAATCGCACATTATAAGTTATAAGACCATACAACACCATTACAACCTATAATCCAGGTATATGTATACATATATAAATATATTTATGTATATATATATATAGCAATATCTAAATTATCATGGCTAATGCCATTCCTACATGTCAATCTTATATATTGCCAATTGTGGCAAAACATTGCGAATATCAGTCGGATCCTTCCAAATCAGTACAATCTTTGTCATTATCAAGCATCAGCACAGACCATACAACACCACCGTTAATATAGATCGTGATCAATCATGATCTATCATGATCAATCACTATCATTATCAATTTTTGTCAATCATTTCTGAAAAGATTGTACCCTCCAGTAAATTAACATAGACCCTGGCAGATCTACAAACCAGCAAAGAATTTTATTTTTTTGCAGGGTATCTAAGATTGGCAATGTGAAAAGATTGTATCTATTGTTCATCATTCGGGCCTCATCATTTTTTATTGTTAATTAAACTCCGCATATCATCCCAAATGCCCACTTGGATGTGCCAGGCATCGTCAGACTGGCCCTAATAAACTTGATCTAGCCCAATACCCGGCCTGGTAAACATACAAAAAGCTATTGAACATTGCCATAGAAATAGTGGATTTTCCCATTGAAATGGTGATTTTCCATAGTTTTTTGTATGTTTACCAGAGGGTAACCCATGAATCTATATATCTGGGTAAATTATAGCGACCTCACTGTTCTCCCTCACTGGGAATCATGCTTAATAAGGGCAATCATCCCCAAATGGCCGAACTATTCAGGTTAGTGAAGTATTATAATTTACCCGGATATATGACTGGGGTATTTCATATCCCATAGGATCCATGTATGGAATATTTACCTACATTGGGATTATTTGGAAAATTACTTTAGGGGTCAATGTAGGTAAATATTCCATACATGGATCCTCTGGGTATGGTTAGTATCTAGAAAAATCGATCCCTGGTCCCTGCACATACTTAGATGACTTAGACTGAGCCACGGGATTGGCGATTCCTGGGGACAGTCGTGGTGATTTGACCCACCACCCAACAATAATTTACTAACTAACCAGGAGGTACCCTCTGGTAATTTAACATGGCTATTGAAAATGGCCATTTATAGTGGATTTTCCCATTAAAAATGGTGATTTTCCATAGCTATGTTAAATTACCAGGAAACTAACTTAACTTAACTATCCAACTAACTTAACTTAACCTACAACTAACTAACCATGAATCTATATAAGTTAACTAACAAAAAACCCACAACATCTCCGAATGATAAGAATGATCATCCACTTACGAATTACTTGGTGGCTCATCCCACTTAGTAAGTGGGTTATAACCCCAGTTATAAATGGGATTTTTGTAGGGTTAATCCACTTATAATTGGGGTGAACTAACCCACTTACGATTCGTGGGTAGTTCGCCACCAAGTAGTTACCTTCACAAGGCCTCCACGGTCCCGTCCCGTCCCGTCCCGTAGCCCCAAGGTCTCCAGGGCTTTTGGTTCGGCGCCAAGCGCCCGCGCGAGCGAAAGCTCTTCCGTTTCCTCCATCAGCGCCTGGACGCGGCGCTGCGCCGTGCCGCCAAGTGCATCCAAGGGGTGGAGCTGACGTGCCGCCACGAGAAGGGGCTGGAGCTTTCGGGCTGGAGATGTGGCAAAGGAATATGCAATATATATATATTATTATGATATATATATATATGATATACATATATATGATATATATATATATGATATATATATATATATCTTTTAATATAATACAGTAAATATATGTAAATATAATATATATATATACACACTAGTATGTAATAGGATATTTATATATATAGAATATGTAATACATAGAATAGGAACATAAATCGACATCCTACTAAAAATCAGACCCAATGAAGTCAACTTGCATACATAGACTATTCCTGGTTTACCACATTTGGATGCATTATGATGCATTCTAAAATTGACAGAGGGGCTAAAAGCGTTGACGGGTAAAAATCATTGGGCTGGCTTAGTACGGGGAATTTAAATTTGGTAAAGGTGGGGGTGTACAATGAGAAAATCCGCCAACAAATTGGACATTCATCACGCAGCAAACATGGCAAGTTGTTATGTTGAACCCTGCCAAATGGATACCCTCCGGTAAACAAACATAGCTATTGAAAATTGCCATTTGTAGTGGATTTTCCCATTACAAATGGTGATTTTCCATAGTTATGTTAGTTTACCAGAGGGCAAACTTGGCGAATTTAAGAACCAACATGAAATGCAAGCGACCATGTTCCAACTTTGCTGACTTTGGACATTGCCATGTTGAGAAACTTGAGCTGGAATAGATCAGTTGAAATACGTGACACCCGACATATCACGGCAGGAACCATCACGATGTATCACGACATATCACGATGATTTTGAGAACTTTCAGTATTCCTACACATCCTACACCATACTTTCATTCCTTCAAGTTGCATCTGCATTCTGTTGCCGGAGCTGCAGATGGGCAGAGCACGTGGCCAGTGGCTGGACCAAGGTTGCCTCAGCAGTTTCAACTGAGCATTTTTCTGGATCAGCAATCGAGAAATGCACGCGCCGTGGTGGCGGAAGATGACAAGCAGGAGTTGTGGGTCCGGGGATGGCAGACTCATTGGGTTTAGACCGGAAAATGGCTGGAAAATACCCGAACGAACCATGGAGGTCTGGTCCGCTGGGAAAATCATCGATATCATCGTCATTTATAGTGGATTTACCCATTGAAAATGGTCATTTTCCATAGTTTTTTGTATGTTTACCCGAGGGTAGTTCGGAGGTTTACCAGCTTGCCACCTTTGAGGACTGAAGGGTAAGTGAAAATGCCTGGTTGCGTCCCCTTGCAACCAAGCAAGCAGGCGGCGACAAAACCGTCAACAAACAGGAAGGGATGTGTCTAACAGTAGCCAGCACGCAGGCAACAGAAGAATTGGTTGTACAGCACAATGGGTTTAACTGATTTATCCATGAAATGTGGTTGTATAATGGGCATATAGTGGGAATAGAATGGATAATGATCTGGACGACATAACGGGAATATCACGTTTAATGATCTGGATGAATTATAATGACCTCACTTTGATCTCCCCCTGCAAACGCCGCTTCAGAAGTGGATCTATATTCATTTTGGGGTCCCCCAAATGGGGGGTAATTTCATACCAGGTGGATGGGATTACTAGACAGATTATAGACTTGTATATGCACTCAGGGCTTTTAAATCATCCCTATCCACCCTTAACTTTACCAGCTGTTCAGATTTTCAATAGTCCAATGGTTTTTGGCATTGGGTTTGCCACATGAATCATCGTCAAAGCCAGATTTTCTCCTAAAAGGAATTGTAGCACCATTTGTAGGTATTTAAACCGCATGACTGTTGCGGAGGAAGGGGATTGATCTTAAAGTATCTTAAATGTTCAATATATAACCATGAATAATTCATATATCTATCTATATCTACACATATATATATATATGCGATGGTTATATATACAACTGTATATATGTATAACATGGTAATATGGTGATATATACATATATCTTTACATGGAACACATTTTCCACATACATAATATACACAGAAAATACAGTTAAAACTATGGTGATGTAGATATAAAACTATACACTCTTTACATGAGTTTATATCTTTACACACACACACACATATATATATATACACCATTATCTGGGTAAATTATAACGACCTCACTGCGACCTCACTGGAATCATGGTTAGTAAGGGGAATCATCCCCAAGATACCCTTAATTCAGGTTAATGAAATATTATAAGTTACCCATATATATATATATATAAATACCATTATATACCGATAAAACTCATCTGTGGATGGTCCAGTTCCACTGGCAGGAGGTGGAAGACTTGATCGAGAGCTGTTCGAAGATCGCTCGGCAGCTGGCGGAAGAGGTGGGATGGTGCGAACGCGAAGGGAACGTTCGGTGGTGCCATGAGGTACCCGGGATAACCTTGGGATTTCATACGGATTTCATGGGATTTCATGGTATTTCATGGGATTTCATGGGATTTCATGGGGTTCAATGGGGTTTATGGGGTTTAATGGGATTTCACAAGGGATTTCATAAGGGATTTCTAACTGGTGATTGACGGATATATCTATATCTATATATATATATGATTGAAGATTCATGGAGATCTTGCTGGATGACGATTTTTATGATGGTTACCCGGTTACCCTGTCCTCAGTTCCATGGCTGGAAATCCACCAAAAACCAGCGGTTTTGTTCGATGATTTTCCCAGCGGACTAAACCTCCATGGCTGGATCGGGAGTATGGCTTGTGCATGTTTATGAATTCCTCATGATAGCTAGCTTATGAATTTCCATGATAGCTAGCAAAAATTGATATATCCAGCTCATTGATATATCCAGCTTGTTGATATACACCTAGGCCTATGATATATCCAGCTTATTGATTTGTTGATTGGAGAGGTTTGTCGAATTTTTCAGTGAGCTAAATGAATCAATCCCATCCCCCCTCCGGTGTCTCATACCATCAATTTGTGGGCACCCAAAGTGAATACGAAGAGCTCCAATACTACCCTCTGGTATCCTCTGGTAAACTAACATAGCTATTGAAAATGACCATAGAAATAGTTGATTTTCCCATGAATAGCATGGTGATTTTCCATAGTTTTTTGTATGTTTACCAGAGGATAAAAGGTGGTATATGTTCTTTTCTCCGTGTTTGGGGGGAAGGGATTTCTGAAATCCAGTTTAATTCCACCCGTAAATAGGTAGATAGATAGATAGGTAGGTAGGTAGATAGATAGATAGATAGATAGATATACAAATATATAGTTATTAAACCGAAAATTAATATATGAGGGTCTTTTAATCTCAGGTTGACATGCAGCCTCTGATTCCACAAGAGGCTTTCAAGCTGGTTACATCCTGATATTGGAAATCAGTCGGGCATCGTCTTGGGCCTACCTTCTGGACATGTTTGGCGCCAACCTGTGGTGTTTATCTAATTGTAAGGTGTCCATGTTGATAGCCATTGATCACTTTGCCAATTATTCTCTGTTTGGTGGTTTGGAACATGAATTTTATGACTTTCCATATGCTGGGAATAGTAACCCCAACTGACTAATATTTTTCAGAGGGGTTGAAACCACCAACCAGTAATTATATAATTGACTGGGGTTTATCAACACCTCACCGCCAAAGATGGGTGCGGAACCCACTTACAGTAAGGGCTGGTGCGACCGAAAACGTCGCGGCAAGCTGACTGATTATATAGCAAACTGGCAAACTGGAGTAGAATGAGGCTCTTGCATGCCTTCTTAACAGTGTGATGCTGATTTTCCACCTCGCATTTTGAGCCGTAATCAGTTTCGTTTTACTAGTGGTTATGAATGGAAATCATGTTTTGGCTGAGTCTTTGCCCCATCATTGAACATTCAAACACCCAAAAACCTAATTCCCCCCAATATTAAGTCTACCTATCCCCAATTCTTGGGCACCAAAAAATGAACATATCCAATACCCTCTGGTAATTTAACATAGCTATTGAAAATGGCCATTTATAGTGGATTTTCCCATTAAAAATTGTGATTTTCCATAGTTATGTTAGTTTACCAGAGGGTAATTCAATACTAAAGTGGGTTTCAAACCCAATTTTGGATGATAAGACTTTGATTTTGGATTCTTAACCCAATTTTGACAGAGTTTGTTGAAAAAACATATCCCATTTATATCATTTATCAACCCCCATTTATCCGGATGAATTATAAAAAAGTCATGGCCTTTTCCGCGGTTTTCACTGGAATAGTCAGGACTCGGAGAATCTCCAAACTGGCCTTATTTTAGTTATTTTCAGGTTGCGCAGGTTGGTGAATTCTTATCATACGTAAGCCATATATAGCCCATATACCTGGAGAAATTCCATGATGTTTGGAGTTACTGGCTGGTGGATTGAATTATCTAATTGGCGCCAACCTGTGGTGTTTATCTAATTGTAAGGTGTCGATGTTGATAGCCATTGATCACTTTGCCAACCTCTGGTTGGTGGTTTGGAACATGAATTTTATGACTTTCCATATGTTGGGAATAATAACCCCAACTGACGAACTCATATGTTTCAGATGGGTTGAAACCACCAACCAGTAATTATAGAATTGACTGGGGGTTATCAAAACCTCACCGCCAAAGATGGGTGCGGAACCCACTTACAGTAAGGGCTGGTGACTGGTGGGACCGAAAACGTCGCGGCAAGCTGACTGATTATATAGCAAACTGCCAAACTGGAGTAGAATGAGGCTCTTGCATGCCTCTAACAGTGTGATGCTGATTTTCCACCTCGCATTTTGAGCCGTAATCAGTTTTGTTTTACTAGTGGTTATGAATGGAAATCATGTTCTGGCTGAGTCTTTGCCCCATCATTGAACATTCAAACACCCAAAAACCTAATTCCCCCAATATTAAGTCTACCTATCCTCAATTCTTGGGCACCAAAAAATGAACATATCCAATAATTCAATACTAAAGTGGGTTTCAAGCCCAATTTTGGATGATAAGACTTTGATTTTGGATTCTTAACCCCAATTTTGACAGAGTTTGTTGAAAAAACATATCCCATTATATATCATTTATCAACCCCCATTTATCCGGATGAATTATAAAAAAGTCATGGCCTTTTCCGCGGTTTTCACTGGAATAGTCAGGACTCGGAGAATCTCCAAACTGGTCTTATTTTAGGTATTTTCAGGTTGCGCTGGTTGGTGAATTCTTATCATACGTAAGCCATATATAGCCCATATACCTGGAGAAATTCCATGATGTTTGGAGTTGCTGGCTGGTGGATTGAATTATCTAATTGGCGCCAACCTGTGGTGTTTATCTAATTGTAAGGTGTCCATGTTGATAGCCATTGATCACTTTGCCAATTATTCTCTGTTTGGTGGTTTGGAACATGAATTTTATGACTTTCCATATGTTGGGAATAATAACCCCAACTGACGAACTCATATGTTTCAGATGGGTTGAAACCACCAACCAGTTATAATTCAGCCAGAAATTTATGAACCAAACATATACTAATATATTGGCTGATAGTTACTATAAGTCAGCCAGGTTGGTGAATTTAAGTATTTTTCAACTTGGCGTTTTCAAATACTTTCCACCGGGGCGGCTGCAGGTCTTGTCGCATCTCCCCTCCGCCAGCGAGATCTTGCGCGTCATCGGCGCCAGCGCGGCGCAGCTCTGCTTTTTTACGCTGACGTTGCGACACACCCGGCAGTTGGCTGATGTGAAAACTGCTCAACGACTGCTACAGGACTCAGTTTGCGACGTGGTAAGCGGGGAAATCCCCGATTTTTTATGGGGGTTTATAGTGCCAGCTGGGAAAATCATGGAACTAAATCCAAATGGTGGATTTTTCAGCAAGCCACAATTGATTACCGGAGGGTAGTTTTCATTCCATGGAGTTGCAGTCAAAAATTTTCCTGGGAAAAACCATGAAGTGAGCCATGGTTTGCAGACAGGGAAAGATGGTTTCTGGTAGAACTGAAAGGGGATCCGGGGCCGGTACCCTCTGGTAATTTGACGTTTTGCTATTGAACATGGCCCAGTCGAAATAGTGGATTTACCCATTGAGAATTGTGATTTTCCATAGTTTTTTGTTAACGTTTACTAGAGGGTATGGTATAGGTAATCTAGCCCACATATTTTCCAGCTTCCCAACTCTTCACAACTCTTCGGCTTCCCAAAGCGCCTGCCATATTCGCTGATGGCAGTGGATCCAAGGACCACTTGTTTGGATTCGGCCTGGGGCCGTGCCCCCAACCAAAATGTCCAGCTGATATCATCACTTTTAACGTGGTCAGGTCCTATCCAACCGTGCCCGGTTTCAGGATTGATCCATCAGGCTCCATCAGAAGCGGTCGACCCCAAAAGGATCGAAACATGGGAAACCTAGAAATACGGTGGATGGAAGAAATCCTTCACCAGTTGGGAACTATTAGGTACCTCTATGAGACACTGTAAATTATGGGATTATAATGGGATAAACCACCTATTAACTGGTGCAGGATTTCTTCCATCTACAGTATGTACATTTTTTTTTGGGTGCATAACCACCTAGACATGCTTTTCCATCTTTTTTGGGATGTCTATACATGTCTTCTGATTTGCCTGTTTGTCCATCTTCCTGTCTCTTTACAAAGGCGCCTCTCCCTATCTCTCTCCCCCTCTCCGCGAAAAGATGCAGATGTGTTTGTCGCCAGCATACCCAATTCTTTTCACAGTTTTTCCAAGTGCATCAGTTAGTCTACACTCTAGTCGACAACTACATCCCCACATCTCTTGGTTAAACTGCCATATTAGTTGGCAAAAATCCTTTTGGCAATCCTTTCCACTAGAAATTCTGAGGCATTTCTATTTCTTGTTAGTTAAGTTGTCATGTTGCCTCTTAACCTAAATTTAATAATGGATAATAATTGATTTTTCAAGAATATTTGTTGATTCTACTGGTTTGACTGTGGCACAGGAAGTTCAAGTTGTGTGTGCGCCTGATGCCTCTGAAGTGGTCGAAGCGTTTCTGAAGCACAACTCAGAGCCTTGGCGTTCTCGGCTCTGGCGGTAGGAGGTTGTGGTGAGTGGGGTGAAATCATCCGAACCTTCTGCCTAGGTCAATCTTACATGGATACTTTAATCCTTTAGTCTTTTGGTATTAATGGGAATATCTAGTAACCAGCAAAGAATTTAATTTTTTGCAGGGTATCTAAGATTGGCAATGCTGCTAGCAGCATATCTCAGGTGGGTTTTTCTATTTTAAAACGTGATTCCATAATGAAAATGGCTTGATCCTGTTGATATGGGGATTAATGGGAGATATAACCAACGAAAACGGAGAAAACGAAGCATTTTGTGGGGTTTTTCAACGGGGGATCCACAATATTTTTTTGGGGATTTAACATGGATTTAATCATGATTTTTGATAGGCTTTAGCCATTTAAAAAAAACACAGTTATGATATCAGCTGGACATTTTGGTTGGGGGGCACGATCCACTGCCATCAGCGAAGATGGCAGGCGCTTTGGGAAGCCGAAGAGTTGTGAAGAGTTGGGAAGCTGGAAAATATGTGGGCTACATTACCTATACCATACCCTCTGGAAAACGTTAACATTTTACTATGGAAAGATCCACCATTTTATAGCTGGGTAAATCAACCTATTTCGACTGGGCCATTTTTTCAATAGCTATGTAAGAAATTACCGGAGGGTAATCCCATCCAACACTTTTGGGCATCTTGTTGAGGCTTGGTTACCAAGCACGTAGGGGATGATTTTTACAAGAGCTCCCACATGGTGGAAATCTAAGGTGAACTGTGAAACTGTGAAACTGTGAAACCCATGGTCTTTCAACCTCCATTTTTTAGATCTGTCCGTTATTTTGCCGTATCACAAATTTTTCCAGAAGAGTTTCTAAGCTGGAAAAGTAGACCCCGATAAAATCGGCTTCACCAGATTTTTGTCCCAGACATGCCCTGACGACGACGAAAAGGAGACCCTTTGGCGCCTGGAATCCTACGCCTATGCCCTGGATGCCAAGGAGACACACCAGCCCTCGCCTTGCCCCTGGAACCCCAGGGGTTCGGGCGATGGCGCACCACTGGACAGGCAGTGCTTGGCGCCCAGATCCGGAGACCTGACGTGGCTACAGGGCGACTGCTGGCGTGACCTGATGTTTCGAGGGAGAAAACCATGATGATATGGGCATAAAAACACGGGATTTTCAGGGATTTTGAGGTCATTGATGTAGGGTTTTGATGTCATAAATTGTAGTAAAAACAAGTAAAACCATTATATAGTCACTCAGAAAAATCATAGGGGTCGAAACCCCAAAATGGTAGATTGGAGAGATTTTACCAGCACGATACGGTCTGTTTTTTTCTGAAAAAAACATAATTGTGATATTGAAACCCAAAACATGGGAAATGATGGTTGGTCTCGCCAAAAGAATATGGCGATGCTGTGGTAAAACCGACGAATCTGAGTCCTAGGGTATATTGGGGTATGGTCATTAGGACCCGCCAGATGGTTTGTGGGTAGATAAGTGGGATATGGTATGCTTAAGTTTGTTGGCTTTTACCGAATTAGATTTTAAGCGGCAGGAGATGGCCCCCCCGAAAAAGAGAAAGGTAGGGCGATTTTCGGGGCAGAAACTCACCTGCGAAGGCGAGTCGCGAGATTTATTTACGATCACATCCGCATTTTGTTCCTCAAAATCCACAACTTTGAGTAGTGAAACTTTCATCACTCGGTTGGTCTCTTAGCTGGCTGATGCTGAGGTGAGATTTATCAGAAGCCCATGTGTTCAGAGATCCTCGGCCGAGTCGGTGATTTTTTCGGCTCAGTTACTATCCTTTGATGGGGTTCAACGGGTTCAACGAGTTACAAAGCCCAGTAACCTGCGGTTCACGTTGGTTTGTTTAAGGCTTAAAGGATCTTTAAGGTGATGTTTTTCTGTTCCGACCCCTTTTTTTCCAGCAATCTTCCAGCAATCTACTGGGGTTGTTTTAATCCTTTAATCCCATCCCTTGGAAAAAAATATATTAAACACCCCATTAAATCATAAATTTTACCCTCTGGTAAACTAACATAGCTATAGAAAATGGTAATTTATAGTGGATTTTCCCATTGAAAATGGTGATTTTCCATAGTTATGTTAGTTTACCAGAGGGTAAATAGTATGACAACTAATTGAATTTATCCCCTACTAAGCATGGTTTCCGGGGAGTGTTGTTTTTACGGGGAACGGGCTTTTTAAATATTTTTCATTTTTGGCCAAGCAAATCATCAGATCCATCAGATCCAAGGATGCAATCCAGTCTTGAAGAGCATGGCTTGTTCACCCCATCTGCGCACGTTCTTCTCTCGTATTCGGGTGGCGTGGATAGCGCCTCAGTCGATGAGACGACCTCAAGATTTAGCCTCTGGTTATGTCAAAATAGCTATTGAAAATTGCACATTTATAGATGATTTACCAATTGAAAATGGTGATTTTCCATAGTTATGTTAGTTTACCAGAGGGTAAATCGCTTGTGAAGATGTAGGGAACTATCCCCCAAATTCATGACCTCGAATCCTGATTTGGGAAGTGAGCATCGTGTAATTTGAATCTTGAGATATCCAGAAATCATCACAAATCCAGACTTCGCTTGCTAGAATGGGATATCACCAACAAATAGTAGAGAGATGTATATGGTGGGATTGGCTCAAGTTGATTCAGGAACTTCTTCAGACAGCCAAGTACCAACTTTATGCTGAGATTATGCTGATCCGATAGCCGGTTGAGTCATCAACCGGTGGTCAACCGTGGGTGTCTCTTCCAAAAAGTCTACCCTCTGGTAAACTAACATAGCTATGGAAAATCACCATTTTCAATGGGAAAATCCACTATAAATGGCCATTTTCAATAGCTATGTTTGTTTACCAGAGGGTATTTCAAGGGGACGCTTTTGTTTTTTTTCAAATGGAACCCTCCATTTCCTTATTCTAATTATTCTCGTCGGCTACACCTGCATGATGTTGTTTAGCTATACAAAGCACTAAGACTGTACCCATTTTGTTGTTTCCCCACTGTGCAGCGGAGGGTTGGCAATTGTTGGATGAAATAAAACATCCAAGTAGCTTGCTACTTTGGCATTTCATCTTCAAACTCCATTTGGTCCAGTTGCCATACCCTCTGGTATTTTAACAGTTTGCTATTGAAAATGGCCCATAGAAATAGTTGATTTACCGAACTTAAAGATGGTGATTTTCCAGTTCGCGAACTGTAAACGTTTACCAGAGGATAAATCTCCATCAAACACCATTAAACCACCATTAACCACCATTAAACCACCATTTACCAGAGGATAACCATAAGCATCCATCAGTTCTTATCACCAACCGCTAGCCACCACCAGAGGGTATCACTAACCATCACTATTAATCATTAACCAACTACTAACCATCATCAACCACCATTTTCCTATGGTTTTACCAGATACCCATCTGGCCTGGCACCGAAACGCCAAGAGTTTTTCCGAGGCACGGCGCATCTTCTTCTACTCTTGGCCTTGCGCCACTGTTGTCCCGAGGCCCCGAGGATTTCATGCTTGCTCTTGTCGTATCCCAACCGAGCCTAGGAGGGATCTGGTTGAACCGGGGGCGAACCGGGAAAGAACGAATGGTTTTGGTACTTGGTGGCTCATCCCACTTCGTAAGTGGCTTATAACCCCAATTATAAGTGGATTAACCCTACTTATCCCATGTAAATCACTGGGGTTATAACCCACTTACTAAGTGGGATGAGCCACCAAGTAGGGAAACGGTTGACCAATGCTGGGTTTTCATGGATTTTTCTCTGTGTTCATTGATGTTCATTTACTGGAGCATAGTTCTAACAGCCCAAAACTGAGAAGACCTCCATTTATTGCCCTGATGTGCCCCAAAGAGCGAAAATCGTTTGTTCAGGCGCCAGGCCGTTGATCTGCGCCATGGGATTTTGAGCCCGGAATATCACCCCCTTATGGCTATACAACCAGTGGAACTGTCCAAGTCGCGGGAAGTATTTCATGCCCCCACTATCTTGATCGACATCGACTTCTAAGGAGAAGTCGGAGAAGTGAAGGCTGAAAAGGACGACTCTGGGTGGAGTGGCGGTGTTGTACCTCCTGGAATGCTGTGGATGGTTGCGAAGTCCTGCACCACCTTGGATGGTTTTAATAAGCCTACAAATAATGGGATAAGCAAAATCTATCAATTGGCGCAGGATTTCGCTGGCCCATCCACAGTATGTTCAATGACATGATTTCATGTGGAATACCCTCTGGTAAACTAACATAGCGAACTGGAAAATCACCATTTTCAATGGGAAAATCCACTATAAATGGCCATTTTCAATAGCTATTTTGACATTTCATGTGGAATAATTTGTGACGGCTCACTGCCCCCTTTCTCCTTTTGGATGCACTGACAGTATTTCGAACTCGTCACTGTCATGGCATACGAATCTTCCGGAGGAAGTTGTTTCCACACTTGGTGGCTCATCCCACGTAGTAAGTGGCTTATAACCCCAATTATAAGTGGATTAACCCTACTTATCCCATGTAAATCACTGGGGTTATAACCCACTTACTAAGTGGGATGAGCCACCAAGCATGCTCAGAACACACTGGATTGTTGAATTATGGTATATAGTCGTATAGTCAGCACTGCCCCATATCTATAAACACACAAAAATAGATACTTTCTATAGTAAAGTATAATGTGATATACACTATATTCAAACATACTATTTCTTCTGCGTGATATATTGTGTGCCAGATATATTCTATTAAATACTGATATTATGTATTATATACAATATACTTAAAGATAGATATGTCTGGGTAAATTCTAACGACCTCACTGCGACCTCACTGGAAATCATGGTTAATAAGGGACATCATCCCCAAATGGCTTTAATTCAGGTTAGTGAACTATGCTAATTTACCCAGATATGTAAAATTCATATACACTACAGGATGGCCCCCCCAGCTATAGAGAGAGAGAGATAGATAGATATATATATATATATTCATGCATTGAGTTTGGCAGGCTTGGGTGTGCATGTGTCATCTTTAAGTGAGTCAATGAATGCTTTCATTTTGGCTCAAGTGGAGCTGAGCCAAAATAGCATTCATTGCTGTTTCTTTCCTGGCCCTGGTAAGGGGTGACCTTCCTAGACCTTGATTGAGCGGCTCACCACATCAATAACCAGGGGTGACCTGGTTGGTTACAAGCATCGTAAGGGGTGACCTGGTAGTTGCAAGGGGAGACCGTGCATGCAGCGTAAGCTTCGTGGGAGCGATATCCCGGCGGCCACCGAGGCGTCGCTCCTCCATGCTGCTGTGTTCCTGGAGTTCAAGCAGCACGTGGCGAAGCGATGCATTCTTGCTGCAGCAGTCCTTGGAAGACGCCAGAAACGGTTTTTGTACACCTCCTCTGCGGCGAGCAGAGTTCCTCAGGGACATTGGCGGCCGGGCACATCGTCTTATCCTGCGCTGTGTGACCACCCAAAGTTCGGGGAAACAACGAGTCATCGACAACGGTGACACCGGAGGGCAATCAGACCTTTCTTCCGATGCCAACATGCTTACACTATGTAGTCGCCCATAAGCCTGGTTATGCGTCGTTGGTCTGAGGACGAGGTCGCCGAGTTTTGTCACCATGATGCCTGGGAGACAGGCTAAGAGGACCTGCCGTCTGCCTACAGGTACTGCCCCATGTCAGCAGGAGAGCTTAGGCTGCGTTGTCGTCTGGTTTCACTGATGAGTGGCAAACTCCGGTATCCCAGGTCTATGCAGGCCTCTTGTTTAGGCTCCCCCTGGCAATCACTTCGTTCAGCTGATTTTCCCAGACTGTTGGAAGCGCTGACTCGCTGGTATTGCCAAGTTTTGACATCCCTGTACTTTAATGCCGCGATCACTGATGTCCGCTCTGCCAAGGGCTCCGGGCAATGGGCGATGAAACAACTATGCCTGATGATCGGATCTTTATTTGCGGAAGACAAAACGCAGACCATGCAGAGCACTGGCGCTTCTTTGGGACTTACCCATGACCTGAGTTGCATCAATAAGACAGGTCATCTTCGTTTTTGGGCCCGCACCAGACTCCATGGCAAAGTTCGTGATGTCTTGCCACAGCACGTCAAGCAGGCCACTTTACTCGAGGCACAGCTTCCAAACTTTATAGACTTGCAATCTTCTTGGAGCAAGGTATTTCTGGGCGAGTCGGGTATGGCGGTCTCATGGCCATCAAGGCACGCAACTGGAGCTCTCTATGGTGTTGTGCGCCTTGATCGAGCGCCCCGACCTTTTTCGACATCGACATGGTCTCTGGTTCCTCGACAACGTTGCCGCAGTCATGACCTTGGTGAGAGGGCGCTCTAGCAATTCGGGGTTAGCAAAGCTCGGCCATTTGATCCATTTGGCTCTGTTTGCACTGCGTGCCCAGCACTTGAGGGTTCCCAACACTTGCCATGCATATGAATTGACTTTTTAAGCGAGTTTCAGTTTCCAAGTAGGGGTGATCCTACTTCTGGAAACCTGGATATTTGCGATTTCAGCAGCGCTGGCTGCTGCTGGTTTTGACTTCCCCAAGCAAGCTGGGTGTCGGCAGTGGGCACAGAAATGTGGGCGTTTGCTGTTTTAAGCAGGTTGGGTTTCCAGCAGGAGGTGATCCTGCTTGGTGTGGCCGTACTTGCTTTCGTGACATATATTGGGGTCCAAGCGGGGGTGATCCTCCTTGATGGCGCCCAACACTTGCCATGAGTATTGCTTGGACCACAGGGGGAGTGACCACACGGCTGTGGGCCTCTGCGTTCTCAAGTAGGTTGGGTTTCAAGCAGGAGGTAACCCTACTTGGTATGGCCGTATTGCTTTAGGGGCATAGGGTTTGGGTCCAAGTGGGGGTGGTCCTACTTGAGGGTGCCCAACACCTGCCATGAATATGGCTTGAAGTTTTAAGAACAATTTCAGTTCCAAGTAGGGGTGATCCTGCTTCTGGGCAACTTGGTTTCTGGCCATTTCAGCAGCTGGAGGCTGTTGGTTACTTTGACTGCCCCAAGCAAGCTGGGTTTCCAAGTAGAGGTAACGCTACTTGAGGATCACAGGTTGCCCACTGGCACTGCCAGGGAGTGAACACAGGGCTGGGGGCCTCCGCTGTCTTAAGCAGGTTGGGTTTCAAGCAGGAGGTAATCCTATTTGGTGTGGCCGCACTTGCTTTCGTGACATAGTTTTGGGGTCCAAGTGGGGGCGATCCTACGTTTTGGTGCCCAGCACTTGCCATGATGAATCTGGCTCGAATTTTTAAGCGAATTTCAGCTACCAAGTAGGGGTAATCCTACTTCTGGGCACTTGTGTTTTTTTTTGCAAATTCAGCAGAACTGGAGGTTGTTGGGTCTGACTTCCCTCCAGGAGGCTGGGTTTCCAAGTAGAGGTAACGCTACTTGCAGGCCACAGGTTGCCCATCGACACTGCAAGGCAGTGACCAGAGGGTTGTGGGCCTCTGCTGTCTTAAGCAGGTTGGGTTCCAAGCAGGGGGTAATCCTACTTGGTGTGGCCTTACTTGCTCTAGCAACATAGGTCCGGCGTCCAAGTGGGGATTATCCCACTTGAGGGTGCCCAGCAGTTGCCATGAGTATGGCTTGAAATTTAAGCAAATTTCAGTTTCCAAATAGGGGTGATCCTACTTCTGGAAACTGGATTTTTGCAATTTCAGCAGAGCTGGGGGCTGTTGGTTTTGACTTCCCCAAGCAAGCTGGGTGGCGGCAGTGAGCACAGAGATGTGGGCCTCTGCTGTCTTAAGCAGGTTGGGTTTCAAGCAGGAGGTAATCCTGCTTGGCGTGACCTTATTGCTTTAGTGACATATGTTTTGGGCCCAAGTGGGGGTGATCCTACTCGTTGGTGCCCAACACCTGCCATGAACGTGGCGTCAGTTTTTAAGCGAATTTTGGTTTTCAAGTAGGGGTGACCCTACTGGTGGAAACTTGGAGGTTTTCGTTTTCAGCAGAGCTGGAGGCTGTTGGTTTTGACTGCCCTAAGCAAGCTGGGTGTCGGCAGTGCGCACAAAAATGTGGGCGCTTGCTGTTTTAAGCAGGTTGGGTTTCCAGCAGGTGGTGATCCTGCTTGGTGTGGCCGTACTTGCTTTAGTGACAATTGTTTTGGGTCCAAGTGGGGGTGATCCTACTCGTTGGTGCCCAACACTTGCCATGAACGTGGCGTCAGTTTTTAAGCGAATTTTGGTTTCCAAGTAGGGGTGACCCTACTTGTGGAGACTTGGAGGTTTTCGTTTTCAGCAGAGCTGGAGGCTGTTGGTTTTGATTGCCCCAAGCAAGCTGAGTGTCGGCAGTGCGCACAGAAATGTGGGCGTTTGCTGTCTTAAGCAGGTTGGGTTTCAAGCAGGAGGTAACCCTACTTGGTGTGGCCTTATTGCTGTAATGGCATAGGTTTTGGGTCCAAGTTGGGGGTGGTCCTACTTGAGAGTGCCCAACACCTGCCATGAACATGGCTTGAAATTTTAAGGAAATTTCAGCTTCCAAGTAGGGGTGATCCTACTTCTGGGCAACTTGCTTTCTTTTTTTTTTGGCATTTTCAGCAGAGCTGGAGGCTGTTGGTTTTAACTGCCCCAAGCAAGCTGGGCTTCCAAGTAGAGGTAACGCTACTTGGGGATTACAGGTTGCCCACTGGCACTGCCAGGGAGTGACCACAGGGCTGTGGGCCTCCGCTGTCTTAAGCAGGTTGGGTTTCAAGCAGGAGGTCATCCTACTTGGTGTGGCCGCACTTGCTTTCGTGACATAGTTTTGGGGTCCAAGTGGGGGCGATCCTACGTTTTGGTGCCCAGCACTTGCCATGAATCTGGCTCGAATTTTTAAGCGAATTTCAGCTACCAAGTAGGGGTAATCCTACTTCTGGGCACTTGTGTTTTTTTTTGCAAATTCAGCAGAACTGGAGGTTGTTGGGTCTGACTTCCCTCCAGGAGGCTGGGTTTCCAAGTAGAGGTGACGCTACTTGAAGGCCACAGGTTGCCCATCGACACGGCCAGGCAGTGACCAGAGGGTTGTGGGCCTCTGCTGTCTTAAGCAGGTTGGGTTCCACGCAGGAGGTAACCCTACTTGGTGTGGCCTTATTGCTTTAGTGGCATAGGTTTTGGGTCCAAGTGGGGGTAGTCCTACTTGAGGGTGCCCAACACCTGCTATGAAATCCTACTTCTGGCAACTGGATTCTTGCAATTTCCGCAGAGCTAAAGGCTGTTGATTTTGGCTGCCCCAAGCCAGCTAGGTCTCCAAGTCGAGGCACCGCTACTTGAGGCTCACAGGTTCCCCATCGACACTGCCAGGCAGTGACTACAGGGTTGTGGGCCTTTGCTGTCTTAAGCAGGTTGGGTTCCAAGCAGGAGGCAATCCTACTTGGTGTGGCCTTAATTGCTTTAGCGACATAGGGTCCTTCCAATTGGGGGTGATCCTACTGGTGGGTACCCAACACTTGCCATGAATATGGCTTGAAGTTCAACCGAATTTGAGTTTCCAAGTAGGGGTGATCCTACTTCTGGAAACATGTTTTGTTTTTGCAATTTCAACAGAGCTGGAGGCTGTTGGTTTTGACTGCCCCAAGCAGGCTGGGTTCCCAAGTAGAGGCAACGCTACTTGAGAAGCCCAGGTTGCCCATCGACCCTGCCAGGCAGTGACCACAGGGCTGTCTTGAGCAGGTTGGGTTCCAAGCAGGAGGCAATCCTACTTGGTGTGGCCCTAATTCCTTTAGCGACATAGGTTCGGCGTCCAAGTAGGGGTGATCCTACCTGAGGGTGCCCAGCTGTTGCCATGAATATGGCTTGAATTGTTTAAGCGAATTTCAGTTTCCAAATAGGTGTGATCCTACTTCTGGAAACTGGATTTTTGCAATTTCAGCAGAGCTGGGGGCTGTTGGTTTTGACTTCCCCAAGCAAGCTGGGTGGCGGCAGTGAGCACAGAGATGTGGGCCTCTGCTGTCTTAAGCAGGTTGGGTTTCAAGCAGGAGGTAATCCTGCTTGGCGTGACCTTATTGCTTTAGTGACATATGTTTTGGGCCCTAGTGGGGGTGATCCTACTCGCTGGTGCCCAACACTTGCCATGAATGTAGCGCCAGTTTTTAAGCGAATTTCGGTTTCCAAGTAGGGGTGTTCCTACTTCTGGAAACTTGGATTTTTGCGGTTTCAGCAGAGCTGGAGGCTATTGGTTCTGACTGCCCCCAGCAAGCTGGGTTTCTAAGTAGAGGTAGCGCTACTTGAGGATCACAGGTGGCCCATGGGCATTGCCAGGCAGTGACCACAGGGCTGTGGGCCTCTGCTGTCTTAAGCAGGTTGGGTTACAAGCAGGAGGCACTCCTGCTTGATGTAGCCCTACTTGCTTTTGTGACATAGGTTTGGGATCCGAGTGGGGTCAATCCTACGTGGTGGTACCCAACACCCGCCAGGAGCCTGGCTCGAAATTTTTAAGCGAATTTCAGCTCCCAAATACGGGTGCTCCTACTTCGGGACACCTGAGGTTCTGAGCATTCAGTAAACTGGAGGCTGTTGGTTTTTGACTTTTCCCGAGCAAGCTGGGTTTCCAAGTAGAGGTAACGCTACTTGAGGGTCACAGCTTGCCCACCGGCACTGCCAGGCAGTGACCACAGGGCTGTAAGCCTCCGCTGTCTCAAGCTGGTTGGGCTTCAAGCAGGAGGTAATCCTACTTAGTGTAGCCCTACTTGCTTTAGCGACATAAGTTCGGCATCCAAGTGGGGGTGATCCTACCTGAGGGTGCCTAGCGATTGCCATGAATATGGTTCGAATTTTCAGCGAATTTCAGTTTCCAAGTAGGGGTGATCCTACTTCTGGAAACTTGGATTTTGCAATCTCAGCAGCGTGGGCTGCTGTTGGTTTTGACTCCCCCAAGCAAGCTGGGTGTCGGCAGTGCGCTCACAGATATGGGCCTCTGCTGTCTCAAGCCGTTTGGGTTTCAAGCAGGAAATATTCTGCTTGGCTTCAGTGACGTAGGTTTGGGGTCCAAGTGAGGGTCCTACTCGTTGGCACCCGTTTTTTTTTTCTTCTTTTTTTTTACGTTCTCAGTAGAGCTGGAGGCTGTTGGTTTTGACTGCCCCAGCAAGCCAGGTTTCCAAGTAGAGGTAACGCTACTTGAGGTTCACAGGTTGCCCATGGGCATTGCCAGGCAGTGCCCACAGGGCAGGGCTGTGGGCTTAAGCTGGTTGGGTTTCAAGGAGGAGATGATCCTGCTTGGTGTGGCCTTATTGCCTTAGTGATTCAGGTTTGGAGTCCAAGTGGGGGTCATCCTACTTGCTGGCACCCGTGTTTGCGTTTTCAGCAGAACTGGAGGCTGTTAGTTTTGCCTGCCCCAGCAAGCCAGGTTCCAAGTAGAGGTAACGCTACTTGAGGTTCACAGGTTGCCCATGATCATTGCCAGGCAGTGGCCACAAGGCTGTAGGCCTCTGCTGTCGTAAGCAGGTTGGGTTTCAAGCCGGAGGCAATCCTACTTGATGTGGCCTTACTTGCTTTTGTGACATAGGTTTGGGGCCCACGTGGGGGCGATCCTACGTGGTGGTGCCTTCCACTTGCCATGAATCTGGCTCGAACTTTTAAGCGAATTTCAGCTTCCAAGTATGGGTGCTCTTACTTCGGGAAACTTGAGGAGCAGGGCATCTATGGGCGAGTTGGCTATGGTGACCTTATGGCAGTGAAGGCTTGCCAGGACGAGAGTGTCACCAGCTTGACTTCAGAGATTGAAGAATGCTTCGAGGTGATCGAAGCAGTGATGCGTTTCGAGCCAAAACGTGAATTTACAGTTTTGTTGCTACCAATTGCGAAGAACTACAATTCCTGTGGCAGCCTGCAGAGACCCACATTGCGCAGTTGGAGCTCTCCATGGTAATTTACACCTTGAGTGAGAGCCCTGGCCTTCTCCGCCATCGACACGGTCTATGGTTCCTCGACGCTGTGGCTGCAGTCATGACCTTAGTGAGGGGACGTTCTAGCAATTCGGACCTAGCAAAGCTAGGCCATCTGATTCCTTTGGCCCTCTTCGCACTGCGTGCCCAGGGCTACTGGGAGTACGTCCAGAGCAAGAGCAACTGGGCCGACGACTTGGTGGCGCTGCCATGGATCTAGCTTTCATTCGTCGTACCTCCCCACAATCTTTTTCCAGTTGCCATTCGTTGCAGTCATTCTCACCTTTGAATTCCTCTAGTGCTTTGGGTGTTTGAGTGCATTGGGTGATACCTGCAAAGGCAGGTCCCAACCTGGGGTGACCAGGTTGCTGACCAGAGGTGATTCGGTCTGGGGCTATGTGCGAGTCACATTGTGACACATCCAAAGCAAACCTGAGGAGAGCAGGTGAAACAGACTGAACTTTGGTAGGTGGTTGAAAAAGAGCTGTGCGCGGAAGACGTGGTGAGTTCTTCATATGTCACTTTGAGATGTATTCATGCATTGAGTTTGGCAGGCTTGGGTGTGCATGTGTCATCTTTAAGTGAGTCAATGAATGCTTTCATTTTGGCTCAAGTGGAGCTGAGCCAAAATAGCATTCATTGCTGTTTCTTTCCCCACCCTCCCAACCCTAAGAGCCGACCTCCCGTGGAGATGTCCGCCTAGGTTAGGGGAGCCTGCATGGCAGGCGAGTACATAGCCTCTTTCGGGGATACTCTTTTGGGGCGACCAAAAGAAACTTCCCTCCCTTAGGTTAAGGGACGGGTGATACCTGCAAAGGCAGGTCCCAACCTGCGGTGACAGGTTGCTGACCAGAGGTGATTCGGTCTGGGGCTATGTGCGAGTCACATTGTGACACATCCAAAGCAAACCTGAGGAGAGCAGGTGAAACAGACTGAACTTTGGTAGGTGGTTGAAAAAGAGCTGTGCGCGGAAGACGTGGTGAGTTCTTCATATGTCACTTTGAGATGTATATATATATAAAATCAATTTGTATCGCAAATTTGATGGTTGCAGTACCCTCTGGTTATTTAACATAGCCATGGAAAATGGCCCATTTATAGATGATTTTCCCATTAATACCTCCATTTATAAGAGATTTTCCATGGCTATGTTAAATAACCAGATGGTAAGTCAAATCTCCACGTTCGATGATTTCTTGCTGCCGAATCCGCTGAATCTGGCTGGGAGGACTGGGCCTCCTGGCTCTGCCATCACTTGGCCGTCGACCTCTTCATCTACGACGTGAAGTTGGCGCGTCCTCACGAGGGAGACGGGGCAAGTGGCAGCGGCCTGACGCGGGAAGAGTACGAACGCTTCACCAAGGCCATTCGCTACAGGACAGGGGCAAAAAAGATCAAAAAAACATTTTTTTTTAAAGTAGGAATGGCCTGTCCTGAAGTGGGCATGTGAGTAAAAAGGAATACCATTTTAGTAAATAGTTTTCATAGTTGGTGTACTTTTTGGTTGGAATCAAATGAACATGTTGAAATAGGCATGTTAGTAAAGCATAGTAAGGCAATCATTAGGAAGTAAACTATCTCCAAGTTTACCATTTTTTATGGGTGCTGTAAAGCATCAACATATGGGTGGTTGATTGTTACTTTACTAAAATTACATGGGTTTAAATAGGAGGTTTTCATGTTGCGTTCTCTTTTTTGTGGGGAAGGGTGACAAAACCAGTTGTTCCCTCATTGAAAAAGAAGAAATGGATGATTTTAAGGGTTCCGTTCAACAAGTTGTTTGATTCATTGTTTGGCAAAGCTGCCCACACTTTGTGCTACATGTTCATGTGTTTTTTGTGGTCATCACTCTTCACAAAAAGAACCACGTCCCTTTCCCCCCGTGCAATTTATATCCGTATTTGTTGACGATTTCCTCATGGAAAATCCCCCATGAGATGGTCGTTCCGTTTTGCCGCGATGTCAATAAATAAACAGCATTCCACTACATCCCATACAATGTCGCATGAAAAATCGCATGATATTTCATGGATTATCCCATACTTGGTGGTTTTCACTACCCAGTTAGTAAGTGATTTTTTTTTACCCCACTTATAAGATCTTATAAGTGGGATGAGAAGGCTTAAAATGCACCTAAAGGGTTATAACTAGTTATAACTCACTAAGTGGGATGAGCCGCGTACCATCTATCCATCTCTTCAGTGAGTTCAACTGTTCCACCGAACCACCCAGGATGTATCGCTGTTTACTGGCAGAACATCCAGGAAAAACCGCAGTGATTTTGGGTCATCATCAGGACGACGTGGATGAAAATCGCTTGGTGCCTTGGTGCCTCATCGCCTGATAATGTTTTCTGCCTAAGTTTTCTGCAAAGAATTCGGAGAAGCCGAGTTTTTGAGTTGGCAATTTAACATACCCTCTGGTTATTTAACGTAGCGAACTGGCAAATCATCATTTTCAATAGGTAAATCATCATTTTCATCATCTACCCTCTGGTAAACTAACAGTTTGCTATTGAAAATGGCCCAGTCGAAATAGTGGATTTACCCAGCTATAAAATGGTGGATCTTTCCATCGTTTTTTGTATGTTTACCAGAGGGTATTTCAATGGGCCATGGCTTCCATGGCTATGTTAAAAAACCGGTAACTGCTATGTAAAATCATGCCCATGGGGATGCGCCGGGTGGTCGACTCCCATTCAAAAACAGCTGGGGATTCAGATAAAAAGATCAAAATACAGTTAATGTCAATCCCGGATTAATAAACCATGGTTTATTAATTGGGGTGGTACTCCTCCAATAGTCATTATCTGATACTTAAATGGTAACCTTCCAATTAAACAGCCTAGGGGTTTATTAATCCAGGGTTGACATATGTTGACATTAATATATATATATATTTATATGTAAATACCATCTAGATCTTAGCCTTTAAATCAGGTATACAATCATGTAAATAATAAATAGTTAACTAACTGAATAGATAAAGGAATAAATACATAGATACATAAACAAATGCATACATAAATAAATAGATAAATAAGCAAATATACATACAGACATCCATCCATCCATCCATCCACCCATCCCTACACATACACACACACACACATGTATATAATATATAATATTCTTTATCCAGAAACATGATCTTTTTCCAGAATCCATATGGCAATGTGTCAAAACCTTGTACCCCTGTAGTTCACATCAAAATAGCTGGGATTTATGGATGTTCATCCCACTAAAAATGGTATGTATAGGTATTGATCCATAGCCATATATTGCCATGTTCCGTGTCAACAAAATTAAACCGTCGCATGGTCGCCCATCAGGATCGAGGCTGGGGTGTTTTTTTCTCCATAGCCATATCTCCCAGCCTAAATTTCAGGATCATTTTCATACCCTCTGGTTATTTAACATACTCTATACATGATCTTTTTCCAGAATCCATATCTATCCATATCTCCCAGCCGGCCTATTTCAGGATCACCTCATGAAGGGCCACTGCTTGGGCGACGTGGAGGGCATGTGGCGCTGGCGCGAGATCCACCAGGTGCAGCTGCTGCGGCCGCTGCTGCCGCGCCGCAAGGCCCACTTCGTGCAGCTGCTGGAGGAGTTCCCTACGCCGCACTTCAGGGATAGCACGCCAGGTGGGGCTGGTATGGGATGGTGGGGAAAACCATAGGAAAAGCCATAGGAAAATGGGAAAGTCATAGGAAAACCCATAGGAAAACCCATAGGAAAATGGGAAAATCATAGGAAAGCTATAGGAAAATGGTGGTTAATGATGGTTAGTAGTGGTTAATGATTAATAGTGATGGTTAGTAGTGGTGAATCATGGGTTATTGGTGGTTACCCTCTGGTAAACGTTACATTTTGCTCTGCTATGGAAAATCACAATTTTTCATGGGTAAATCAACCTATATCAACCTATTCTATGGCCATTTTCAATAGCTATGTTAAATTACCGGAGGGTAAGGGATGATTCTAAACAATGGTAAACATGGTTGGTTGATGATTAGTGTTTTTTTTCATCATGGTTACCTGGTTAATGATGATTCGTAATGATTAATGATGATTAGCAATGGTTAATTATGATTTTAAATGTGATGATTAGTAGTTCATAATGATTAGTAATGGTCAATATTGATTAATAATGGTCCATTGGTGCTAATCACTGGGATTTTCTGGGTGATTGGACTCTGTTTTGGTTCATAGATGTGAATAAATGACACTTAATATTACCGGCGAAGGTATGGGGGAATGTATGGGAACTGTATGGTTTCAATCCTCATGTGCAATGATGGTTCATTGCAGTCAATATAGGGCATAGATGTCCTTTTCCCATTGGTTGGTTGATTAACAACAGGTACATGATGATAGATGGTATACCAAACCGGCCCCTCTATTTTTACCAAAAGGACGTTATTGATATAGGGGATCAATTTCCAAGTTTATGGTCAATCATTCTTCACACAGGGTACGTGGGGAAAATGGGGGAACAATCGACCAGGGTTTTCCCGAGGGATGATGGCTGAAGCTTGGGACCTCCCAGGGATTTCTTCAACTGAGAAATTCGGAATTCCCCCACTAATTGGAGGTATTATCAGTGGGAAAATCAACTACTAGGAATGGATGATTTTCCAGCAAGCCACATTTGAGTACTGAAGGGATCCGAAGGGTAAACAAATTCCCATAGTTTCTCTAGCTGGGATTCTACACCCAAAAATTACACATTGCAATGGACTATACTGGATTAAATTTGGAACACCTGAACTTGCATGATTTAAAACGACTGAAGTTTTACCCTCTGGTAAATTAACTTGTTGACCCTGAACATCACCATTTTTTAGGGGAAACTCATCTTCCAACCCCGACAACTACCAGGGTCTATGTTAATTTACTGAAGTTTGAAAAAACTTGCCTACAAAATGGGGTTGTTTGAACATGGGGTATATACCCCCTGTACAAAGGTGACAATGGCAAATCCCCGTGGACGAAGCATGCAGGTTTCGTCGGCGAAAATCCTCCGACATGGTGGATTTTCCAGCAATGAATGGTCGATGACGAGGGTAACGAAAAACCCATGATTTAATTCCGGGTAAACGTTTACATTTTGCTATGGAAAATCACCATTTTTGATGGGTAAATCAACTATTTCGACTGGACCATTTTCAATAGCTACTAGTATGTAACAAATTACCAGAGGGTACCTCCTGGTATTTTAACACATAGATATCCTTTTCCCATTGGTTGGTTGATTAACAACAGGTAAATGATGATCGATGGTATACCAGCTCCCGGCCCCTCTATTTTTTCCAAAAGGACATCAAATTGCTTTAACATAGCTATGGAAAATCACCATTGGTCACAGGTAATTCCTCATTTTATGGATTTTTATGGGGCCATGGTTTCCATGTGAAATGACCGATGACCGGGCTATCATCAGGGGCACCCGTCGCCATGGTTTCCATGGGGCGTCCCTGACAGGTTGGTCAGTGCGCGGTTCCACTCGTGGGGCCCTGGATTCCATCGATGGAACTGTGCGCTCGCGGCTGATTGCGAACTTGCAGAGGTTTGGACGTTTCTGGTTTGTGAAAAAGGGGGCGGTCCAACGGTTGAAGTGGCAAAAAAAAGTGTGGTTTCACAAGGAAAAATGGTGATTTAATGGGATATGCAATGAAGAATGGGGATGGAAATGGATGTACACAAGGATATTTGGAGATGATGCTCTCGTCAATCATGGCGAGCTGGGCATCAGAATGGGAAAAAACATCGAGAAATACCCGGCCTGGTAAACATACAAAAAGCTATTGAAAATGGCCCATTTATAGTGGATTTATCTATTAAACATGGTGATTTTCCATAGTTATGTTAGTTTACCAGAGGGTACGTGATTTTTCCATTGCCATGTTTGGCAGGATTTAACTCCCTATCCAGGTGACCATGAATCACAGCAACCTCGTCGTTTTCCGTCACTGGAATGATGAGATTTGGATTTGGGCTATCCCAAAATGGGCGAAATGGTCAACTCAGCTTCGTGAGTCGTGACTTATTTATCTGATTTTTACTTATCCAAATAGACCTTCCGGTTAAGATAACTATGGCTAGACAATGGCCCATGTAACGATGATGATGACTTACCCTCTGGTAATTTAACGTTTTGCTATTGAAAATGGCCCAGTCGAAATAGTGGATTTTCCCATTAAAAATGGTGATTTTCCATAGTTATGCTGGTTGGTGGTTTGGAACATTTTAATACATTTTATATTTTTCCATATGTTGGGAATAATCATCCAAACTGACGAACTCCATGATTTTTCAGAGGGGTAGGTCAACCACCAACCAGATTATTATTAACCATCAACCATATATTAACCATCATCATTAACCATCATCATTAACAGTATATCAACCACATAGAAACAGTGGATTTTCCCATTAAAAATTGTAATTTTCCATAGTTATGTATAGATGATGATGACTTATTATATTCCAATGGTGATTTTCCATCAAGCCGTCAGTACCAGAGGCTATCCAGCCAACTCGGATGGTCAATGCTGCGCCAAAGATTCTGCGGTGAGCTAATTGGAATGCTAGCAACGGGCTAGTATAACACATACACGTGACATACACTATACATTTTACATACACTTGACATAGACACACACACACATATATATATATATATAGACAATCGGAATTCCATTGCATTCCATTGCATTCCATTGCATTCCATTGCATTCAATTCCATTCAATTCCATTGCATTCAACATGTCATTCTGCTATGCTGCTGCAGTAAATACATATACACAAAGAGCCTCTCCATATCCATGCACAATGCATCAGATATTTCTATTGCATCGGAAATTCAGTTCCGTATGTCCGACTGCATATTTTCATCTTTTTGGCAACTGCAAAATGTTCGTCGCCAACAAGTTGGACACCTGGAAATATGAGGTAATTACACACACACACATATATATATAAATAGATAAATAAATAATGAAACTACCGAATTATTATGGTGGCGCACTTTTCGGCATCTTTTTGGGGAGTACGACATGGTCATATATATATGTGTATATATCCCATCTTATATATATGTGTATATATATACATATGTATATATGTATATATATATGTGTGTGTATACAGTTCTTCTTTGAATGACATAGTTCTCTTGGGCAAATTTTCACCCAAGTCTTGCTATCCTGGGGCCTCGCGCCCAGGTTTAAGCGCGGAGGTAGGGAAGGAGTTGGATACTGCCATCGAGCTCTGGAGTGAGAGGTGCGGTGCCATGGAGCTGCCGCTAAGACATGCTAAGACCCGTGTAGTGGTTTTTCATCCCAATTCTTCCCATTAAACATGGTGATTTTCCATAGTTATGCTGGTTGGTGGTTTGGAACATGATTTTTATGACTTTCCATTCAGTTGGGAATTTCATCATCCCAACTGACGAACTCATGATTTTTCAGAGGGGTAGGTCAACCACCAACCAGATTATTATTAACCATCAACCATATATTAACCACCATCATTAACCATATATTAACAGTATATCAACCACAATGGTACAAAGTGGGGCCCCCAAACGATAGCTAAGTTGGTGAACATAACTCCAATTTCACTATGGTTTATGGTACTTATAACATCTTATAACTATAATAAATTGGGGCGAATCTAAACCAACAAACATCACTAACTAGGGGGCCCCACCTTGTAGGTCAACCACCAACCAATAGTGGGATTGTTCGGGTCGGATCTCAGGTCGGTGCATTCTTTGCAGTTGCCCAAGGGTGCCCAGTTCCTGGCGCTGAACCTCTCCGAGCTGCTGCGGCTCCGTGGAGCCGCGGCCGGAACGCGGATGGCGGAGGTGGCTCAGGTGATCCAGGAGATACGCAACGTTTGGAACCCGCTGGTGGTGGAAGGTGGGCTGAGTTTTTCAAAGTTTGGGTGAGTTTACCCATGAAATAGTTGATTTACCCATGAAAAATGGTGGATCTTTCCATAGAATGTGGGGCCCCCTAGTTATGTTTGTTGAGTTTAAAGATGTGGGGCCCCCAAACGTGATGTTATCCTTCCCAGTGACGAACTCATATTTTTCAGAATGGTTTTTGCACCACCAACCAGCTACAGGATGGTGCCCCCAGTTATGTTTGTTGGTTTAGATTCGCCCCAATTTATTATAGTTATAAGATGTTATAAGTACCATAAACCATAGTGAAATTGGAGTTATGTTCACCAACTTAGATATCGTTTGGGGGCCCCACTTTGTAAAGATGGTGAGTGAAAGTGTATCATGATAGCTGGTTAATATATGTGGGTGAATTAATATGTTACACAATAAACATGTTGAATTAGGTTTTTTTTTTGAATTAAGAAGTTCTATTTTCTGGTGATTTTCAATTGGCACCTTTGATTTCCAATGGGTTTTCCGGAGATTTCCGGGAGAGTGATGGGTGTTGGAAACTCGGCTTGGAAAGAGATGGAAAAATTACCCTCTGGCAATGTAACTCAGCTATTGAGAATGGCACATTTATAGTGGATTTACCCATTGAAAATGGTGATTTTCCATAGTTATGTTAGTTTACCAGAGGGTAAACAACATCGGAATCTTCATGTGGTGAAGAGTTGGAAGGAGGGTGGGGGGTTTTACGTCCACCCGCAAGTCGATTAAATTCGAGGATAAACAGATGAGTAAATGAGGAATAGGAATCAGTCATCTGGATGAGTTACAAAGACCTCAATGTCATATCACTCTAGTGATAGTTAGGAACGGGGTAGCTATCCCCAAATGTCCTTATTTCAGGTTACTGAATTATTATTTTTTCCAGATAATTGGATAGTTGGATACGTATTAATATTAGTCAGTATCTCATTATTGTTCCACCTTCCCAACGGATCCAAGTATCTTAGGAACTTCCCTCATTGTCCTTCATTATTACAAGTGAATTATATCCCAAAGATGAAACACCCCGTATATCCCCTTTTATATATATATATTATATAAATGGATAAATTATATCTGGATGGGGGTAGAATGGGATATATTTGGAGATGTTCTTATAGCAATAGTAACAACAATATGGTCCATGTATAGATGATTTATGATGATTTATGATGATTTATGATGGTTTATGATGATTTATGATGATTTATGATGCTTTACTTGGTGGCTCATCCCACTTAGTAAGTGGCTTATAACCCCAATTATAAGTGGGTTAACCCGCTCCTTATCCCATTTATAACTGGGGTTATAACCCACTTACGATTCGTGGGTAGTTCGCCACCAAGTACCTATTTTTTAATGAACATTTCCTATAAGTTATCCCAAGATCTGGCCCCCTCCCTGGGTTTTTGACCCGGCCAGGTGGCTTTAAGGCCATCAACTGCATTCCAGAAAGCGACATCGCCGACATCCCGTGGTTGCTATTTGAGAAGGCCATGGCATGGTGCCGGAGCCAGGGAAAATGGGAAAATCATAGGAAAACCATAGGAAAATGGTGGTTAATGATGGTTAGTAGTAGTTAATGATTAGTAGTGATGGTTAGTAGTGGTGAATCATGGGTTATTGGTGGTTACCCTCTGGTAAACGTTCACAAAAAACGCACTGGAAAGATCCACCATTTTCTAGCTGGGTAAATCCACTATTTCTATGGCCGTTTTCAATAGCTATGTTAGTTTACCAGAGGGTAATATGGTGAATAAGATTGCGGGAAAACTCTGATGACCACGCCTTAATGATGGTTTCTTGTTCATGGCCTGAAAGCTGGGTCGAGTTGAATTACCATCCAGCAGGTATCATTGCATAGTAAGATGTTCAGTCCCTTCGAGATAGCGGACCCATAAACCTAGACATGTTCCCTTTATCGATGATTTATCCATAAAAAATCGTTATTTTCCATAGCTATGTCAGATTACTGGAGGTAATGTGGGTAAAAACTAAGCCCCACATTTGGACTTCGACCACGCCATTGCATTGATGGTGGATTTTTGTTTTACAAATGCATGCGATTGCGTGCGTATGGTGCGTATGTAGATCTTTTCCAGCCGTGCAGTCCTCGAGAAGACTCGTTTTTTGGGACATGATTAAGTTCTCGAATTTTTGAATGCTTACTTGGTGGCGAACTACCCACGAATCGTAAGTGGGTTATAACCCCAGTGATTTACATGGGATAAGGAGCGGGTTAATCCACTTATAATTGGGATGAACTAAGCCACTTACGATTCGTGGGATGAGCCACCAAGTAGGAATTATCATAATTTGCCAGCCTGTTTGTTTGGGATCCCAAAATTGGTTTCAGGGAACTTTCTAAGATTTGGAAGTAAGTTTTTCTGATTTTTGGCTACTTATAATCGCGGTCCCAATTGTTTTAATGCGGTTTAGCATGGCTTAACTTCCATTTTTTGTTAGTCAAAGCCCCGTTTCAGAGTCTTAAATCTGTCCATTTCGGATTGCAGATTCCACCATTCTTCAGGTTCCATTTTGCAGTTATGGGGATGGGCCATGATGGGCCAAAACCTGTGAAATTACCATATTATGACCAGGGAAATAAATGAACATCCATGAGCTAGCTATTTTGAAGTACTATCCGGGTGCCAGGGGCCCTTGACTCATAGCCATATATCTATATCATCTATATCCACTATATTTATTAATGATCTATATCTAGATCTAGATCTACATCTATATGCATTATTACGAAACATCCATAGATTTTTTGATCTGCAAAACCGTTTTTTGCACAGTTTAGCAAGCTTCACCGTCTCACCTTGCAGAAAATCCTTCAGTTTCTTAGAAAGATTGCCCCCAAACATCCATAGAAAGTGGGGCCCCCAAACGTTAGCTAAGTTGGTGAACATAACTCCAATTTCACTATGGTTTATGGTACTTATAACTATAGTTATTGGGGCGAATCTAAACCAACTTATAACTAGGGGGCCCCACATCCATAGAAACGGTCAACAGACATTGTCAACACCCGATTCGGGGATCTTTCAGGGCTTCTTTGCAGCAGCCGAGAGTTTACTGTCGAAGCGTGCGGGGCACTATCACACCTCCGATGCTTGGACGGTGTAACTTCGGGGGAACCCATGGGAACCCAAAAATTCATGCCATAAGTACCCTCTGGTAATTTAACATAGCTATTGAAAATGGTCATTTATAGTGAGTTTTCCCATGAAAAATGGTGATTTTCCATAGTTATGTTAAATTACCAGAGGGTAATCATGAAAGATAGGGATTTACGTAGTGGGATATTCATACTGTGGAGGGTTGTTAAAAAATCCTGCACCAGTTGATAGGTGGTTTATCCCATTACATTTTTTATAGGTTTTCAAGCATCCAAGGTGGTGCAGGATTTCTTCCATCCACCGGGATTCAAAAACGGATTTAATGGGATTCAAAATAAATATAAAACCCTAATATCAATGGGAGATCTTCAGGATCCTAAAATGGAGGTACCTACCATATATAAGGCCTATATAAGGCCTATGTAAGGGAATATCCCTAGAAAATATGGCCTTATATGGTACAGTACCTCCATTTTAGGATCCTGAAATTACCATTGATACTGTAATATTTAACATGGTTTATCATGGCCAGTAACGGTTTAATATTGATAGTTAACCCCAAAATATGGCTGTAAGTAACCTCTGGCAAACTAACATAGCAAACTGGAGAATCACAATGTTTGATAGGTAAATCACCTGGAAATATAGGTCATTCCCATACTAGGGTTACTTTACTGTAGGGTAACAATAGCCATTAAAGATAGGGATTTAATGAGATTAAGGATAGGGATATACATTGGCTGAATTATAACGACGTCACTACGACCATGACCATAAAATATATAAAATATGCTTAGTATGGGGAATCATCCCAGAACTTCCTATATTTTAGCCAGATTTAAATAGGGGATACTTGGTGGCTCATCCCACTTAGTAAGTGGATTATAACCCCAATTACAAGTGGATTAACCCATTTATAACTGGGGTTATAACCCACTTACTAAGTGGGATGAACCACCAAGTATACAACCAACAAAAATCAGAAATTGGATGATATGTGTTGATCTCAAAGCAGCAAGGGACTACAACCCCCCTTTCAACTGATCTGTGATTGCATCATGCACGAAATCACATAGATATTTGCCAATACTCCTTTGTAGAATGATACGTGTATATAATTATAAACTCCTGTTTAATAGAGTCTTGTACAGACTGCCTGGTTATATTTCACCTTTGTGTAGACATGCGTAGACTGCTTCTCTTTTGCCTGATTTTGCTTTTCCATAATCCTTCGAACAGCAGGGTAGGACCAACGGCTGCAAGTCCCGGACTAGAACGGCTCTGGCAAAAAAGTCTACAAGTATTGGAGGATGATAATCAATCCATTTTCATAGGGATGTATATCACCATCGCAAGGACTATCATTACAGGACCAATTACCATACCCCATAATATACAATCTTTTGGGCACGTACAATTATCATCAAGCATCATGAAGAGGTTTTAAGCCCTGATCATCATAATTGAACATAAAGAGGTTTTGTGTCAAAGTTGGGGGGGGTTGGCTGAGCCCCTAGTCACCCTAGTCGTCCAAACATAGATTATGAGATAGTCTCGAGACAACAATGGGTATTGATGGCATTGTGATGTCTTGTGGGTAGTCCCCGTTTTGGCAGGTATCCAATTTGTTCCCAAAAAGTGCCTCCAAAACATTGTGGACGTGCCGCGGATGGCCATGAAATACGGAACGCAAAGACATGTTTTGTGTTTTGATTGTTGCGATGTATGCAAAAGAAGAAGGCCCAAACAATTCCCTTTTTTTCCCAACTCTGATCTATTCTGTAATCTCCTTCCTAGACAAAACCATTTGACATAATTGTATCTATATATATATAAATACACACATCATTATACATCTTTATTACTTTTCTGAAACAATATAAAAACATAAAAAGAATCGCAATGTGCATAAAACAATCACAGTTATCATCCCATCTCTATCCGTCGCGACCGCTCAGGAGGGCATTTCGGTGAACCGCCGGGCAGTACGACACCTCTGGGAGAACATCCAGGCCTGTGGAAGGCCGCAGTTCGCTGGTGGGCTAACGCAGGAGTTACCCGGCTGGGTTTTTAGCAACTGGATCTTCGACCCTGAAACGAGCTTGATTTACCCTCTGGTAAACATACAAAAAGCTATTGAAAATGGCCATTTATAGTGGATTTAGCCATTAAAAATGGTGATTTTCCATAGTTACGTTAGTTTACCAGAGGGTAGAAACGCATCTGATTTAGCCAACCATGTAACTTATGATATACTTATGTGGTGTGTGAATTTTGGGGCTACTCATCAAAAAGACTCAATGTCATGGGGGGAAAGTAGAGGATTTAGCAGGACAAAACAAGAGATACCCTCTGGTAAACGTTTACATAACTATGGAAAATCACCATTTTCAATGGGAAAATCCACTATTTCTATGGTCATGTTCAATAGCAAACTGTAAGAAATTACCAGAGGGTAACTTTGACCAGCTCAGAGTTGGAATGGGCCCCTGGGCACATATGAGCCACGTTCAAAACTGCCGGCAATTGATTTTAGTATTCGGTGGAATTTATTCTTAAAAAAATTGAATGGCGTCAAGCGCGCGCAAGCTTTTCACAAGCTTCGCGCAAGCTCATGTACGCGCAAGCTTCGCGCAAGCCCGAAATCACGTAGATAATTGAAACAGAAATGAATGAATATACAACGAAAAGGGTTACACAACATAATGGGACGAGACGAGATGGGTGACGAGTTCCGTTGCTTCCTTGTTGCATTGTTTGCCTGGTATGTCAGCCCTCTGGCTTGCAAAGGTATAGTCAGTTTAAGCAAACAAGACTTTGAATGGATGTCATGGATTTTGAAAAATTGACCGCGCGCAAGCTCCCATTGTGGTCGCGCAAGGTTGGCGCAAGGATTTCGCGCAAGGATGAACAATTTCCATTCAGTTTTAATTGAAGTTTTGAACACCGCTCATATGAAGATGGTGACCATCTCACCCAGATGCCCAGCAGCTCATAGCACCTCCAATTTTTGGATCACGAAACCAGGGTTCGGATGGTGCCATCCTAACGTTAGAATGTTGGGAAATGCTGGGTCTTCGGGCTGATAAAGTTCTTCATGATCATTTGCTATATCTTCTCATCCTCAAAAATATTGCAGCAAAAGGAACAACAAAGAAAAAACACAACTGCTTAGTACATAACCAGTTACTGTATCATATATCCAACCAGTTATATATCAAATCCCATGATATCCCATTGGAAGCCCCTTATCACCATCACCATCTGGGGATGGGTCAAAACCCTGGTACGTAGTGAACCCCAAGTCATAGCTGGGATTTATGGATGTGAATAACCCACTAAAAATGTATCTATAGGTATTGATCCATACCAATATTACTATATGCTACTATGATATACTATGATATGGGTATGGATCAATACCTACTAATACCACCAAAATCTAAGATTGGCAATGTTATCACCATCACCATCTTGGCCCTGAGCCATCCCAGGTTAGGCTATTTGCACCTCACCGAGCCCTGCCAAGTGTTGGTCCTCTACGACGCCGCGGCGCAGCCCACGGTGGACTTCAAGACGCTGCGTCAGAGCATGGCCGCAGCCGTGCGGCAGGCGTTGGAAAAGAACGGAAACAACGCCGCGGCGAAGGGTTGGAGATGGGGTGTTGGGGGGAAATACCATCTGGTAAACTAACGTAACTATGGAAAGATCCACCATTTTTAATGGGAAAATCCACTATAACTGGCCATGTTCCTATATTTCAGCCAGATTTAAATGGGTATGGATCAATACCTATTAATACCATTTTTAGTGGGATGAACATCCATAAATCCCAGCTATGACTTGGGGTTCACTAGGTACCAGGGTTTTGACCCATCCCCAAATGGGACATGGATTTTGGTGGAAAATGTCTGTTCTGATTTTGGAGTGCCACGAAATTCGGATTGTTGATGATTGTTGAGCTTTGGACCATTTAAGGGGTTTCAACATATTCCATCATATTCCCAAGCACATATGTATAGCTTCTGACTGCTCATCATCTACATTGGGATATCATCTCCAATTTCCGATTGGGGAATGATTTCAGTCCTGAAAATATTGATGGTTGAGCAGCTTGGGACTTGGCTCGGTTCCCAGGACGGCTGGGAGCCACTTGGGGTGCAAAAATCCACTTCAAAAGTGGGTATGTGGCCATGACTATGGTTACCCTTTGACTTTGGTACCCAAACATGGCTATGGCTTGCTCCAAATCCTTCATTTATAGATGATTTTTCCATGAAAAAAACGTGTTTTTTTGCAATGGGTTTTCCCATTGCCACGTTTGATGACCGGATCGAGGGTATATATGATATGGTTACTTCCCAACTTATTATTGATATCCACATAGCATAGCTGGTTGGTGGTTTAGATTTTTTTCCATATGTTGGGAATGTCATCATCCCAACTGACTCATATTTTTCAGAGGGGTAGGGCTCAACCACCAACCAGATTATTATTAACCATCATTAACCATATATTAACCATCATCATTAACCATCATCATTAACCATCATCATTAACCATCATCATTAACAGTATATTAACCACTACCTGGTAGGTCAACCACCAACCAGATAGGGGCTTCCCCCCGTCCGGGATCTCCCGTCCCGTCCCCAGGTCTGGAATTGGTGGTGAAGAGCACGACCATGATCCAGGCGGCGGAAGCGCACATGTGAGCAGTGCCCGTCTGCCGATGGGTCATTTTTCTGGTGACGCCGAGGAAATTTGTGACGAAAAAGCCAAGAAAGGAGAAATATATAGAAATATGTGAAACATTTTTCTGAACATCCTTGTTGATTGGTGAATTACAACAATTATATGGTGTGAATTTGGCCCTCAACAATGGGGTTTAGCCAGCAAACATGAGGATATCATTTCAATATCATAGATTACGATTGCTACGTTGTTATAGCTCAATGAACTAGGTGATTTAACCACCAGAATAGGATATCCACCGACTAATAGGGGCATAATTTAAGTAATACGGGGATTAAGACCAGAAATGATGGTCAGTACCCTCTGGTAATTTGTTACATAGCTATTGAAAATGGCCATTTATAGTGAGTTTTCCCATCAAAAATGGTGATTTTCCATAGTTACGTTAGTTTACCAGAGGGTAGATTGGGGTTGTACTGTGAATTGGCCCACCATGGGGGTCTGCATCGCAACCAGCATTGCTTCCGGATGACAGGTGGCGTATTTCTTCCGCTGGAATTTAAAAAGCATAGGCCAACAGATGATGAAGATATATCACAGGACATCACCATTCAGTCACTAAGTGACAACATGTGTCGTTGTGTTTTTTGGGATGCCGCAGAATCCATGTTTTTGATGGCTTGGACATGGCTTGCAGCTGCTTGAAACCCGGCTGAAACCCGCTTGGGACACAGGCAAATTGGCGTGGCAAGGTTCGTCGGCGGATGTCTGGCACCTGGATGGGCGGTAGGCCGCATGAATCATAGTGGTACCTCAGGTCAATATGAGTTGTTTTTCTTTTCCAATCAGCTTAAAACATACAGTTATTACATGTTATTACATTAATGATCATTTAACAAAATACTGATTATTGTTATAATACATGATCATAAATGATAATTCCTATCATGTAAGCTAGGTCAATCTTACATGGATACAAACTAATCCTTTAGTCTTTTGGTATTAATGGGAATATCTACGTTCAACAGCAAAAAAATTGTCATTTTTTGCAGGGTATCTAAGATTGGCAATGATATATAACTATAACTATATAGTTATTCCCATTAAATCCCATTAAATCCCATTAAATCCCATTATATCCCATTAAATCCCATTAAATCCCATTAAATCCCATTAAATCCCATTGAATACATGATCATAAATGATAATTCCTATCATGTAAGAATGATCATTGTTCTTACTGTTATTACATACTGCTGCAGCTGCTGGACTGACGCCAAACTGTTGCGCCAGAAGCTCCAGGACGGTGCATGCCCATCCCGTGCAGGATGTGGTTATAAACTATAGTTAGATGTGTGTATGGTTTTTATATGCTGGATATCCATATGGTTCATGGGATAAAAACTGTATAAACCAAGAATCATGTCACTAACATGTCACTATGTCGGCACCGCCTTGTGAGGATTCTGGTGTGTAATTCTCATTTTTTCCGTGGGAAAATGCCATCAGAATTGGTCAGGGTCAGAATTTTGATCTACCATTTCTTTCACTTCTATGCCACCCATGATTTTTTTTTGGCAAACATACCCTCTGGTAAACGTTAACAAAAAATTATGGAAACCCACCATTTTAAAGCTGGGTAAATCAACTATTTCTATGGGCAATTTTCCGTAACTATGTGAAATTACCAGAGGGTATATAGTAATGATAGTTGTAATGATCCAACATTAGTTAACGATCCAACATATGGTGGGGTTCCCAAGGTTCCGCGCGGTAACCCGTTCGGACCGCCCCAGGTTCATCGCAATCCGACTCTTTGTGCGTCACGCTGGGTGCCATGGATTCTGGGATGACCCAGGCCCCGCGGTTTGGGGTTTTTCAACCGTACCCAATGGAGGTACCGTACGGTACCATATAAAGCCATAGAAATTGCCGGGATATCCCCTTACATAGCCTATCCCCTTACATAGCCCCTTAAATGTGGGCCTTATATCTGGTAGTCAATCAAAAACTGCCCTGAAATGGCCATTGATGACCCTCCAAGTTTGGTGATGAATTCCATTGATTCCATCAGCGACCTCTAAAAATGGCCCGTGCCATGCAGGTTTACTTAATGCCCCCAAAAATGTTACGGTATCACCCACTGTTATATCCATGGATTTTCCCTATAAGATCCTATAAAAAATGTGATATCCCATGGATTTTCCCTATAAGCCATGGAAATGGGATTCTCCATTTCCAGACAAACCCATAAGTTCATTCTTCTCAACAAGGCATTTTTCCCTTGTTGTTCATCGTTTTTTTCCATCCTTTTTCACCATTTTTTGATAGCTAAATCCACCATTTTGGATGGTTAAATCTGGTTAGATCCCAATTATGGGTAAATTATAACGACCTCACTGTTCTCCCGAAGCCTGGAATCATGGTTTATATATGGGAAATCATCCCCAAATAGCCGAACATTTCAGGTTAGTGAATTTTTATCATTTACCCATATATATATATAATATATTTATATATATATATGTATATACACACCCATTCTAGGATTTCCAATATGGGCTTCCGGGACGGATGACCATAAACCAACAATTCCATGTTATTGAATTATGATAATTTACCCAGATACCCTCTGGTAAACTAACACATAACTATGGAAAATCACCATTTTATAGTTGGACTCAATAGCTATGTACCCTCTGGTAAATAAACATAGACCCCGAAAATCACCAATGTTTAATGGAAACTAGTCTTCCAACCCCTATCTGCCAGGGTCTATGTTTATTTACCAGAGGGTATCACCTCTGAATTCTGCTGGTTCCGAAGTTGCCCTGAGGTCCAAGCCCTCCTGCGCTCAAAGCAGGTTGAAGACTCAGCGGCCATGGGTCGACTGACCGTGAGGGGAATGCCTGGGATTTTCATGGATTTTCTATCATTTTATATATTCACTATATATATATATCATATATCACATATATATATAATATCATATATCATATACTTCTATATCTCTATATATATATATATCTATGTTAACAGGAATTCTAAATGGCAAACAACTATTAGTGGAATTTACAGGGGCCCCCAATAATAGGAGCCCCATTCCCATACTACTCCAATAAGGACCCCCAAAAGTATGGGAAGATTATGGGAATAGAGATACCATCATTGGGAGTCCTTATAAATTCCACGGGTCCATGGATATTTCCAGTGCACATAGTATCAAAGACACATATTTGTATGTCAATAGATAAATAGATAGCTAGGTAGATAGATAGCTAGATAGAATGATAGACAGATCATGATAGATGATGATATACACATTTGCAAACGTATACCCTCTGGTAAACTAACATAACTATGGAAAATCATCATTTTCAATTTGTAAATCCATTATAAATGGTCATTTTCAATAGCTATTTTGACATAACCAGAGGGTAAACCCATAAAATACCAACTGCCAACTGGGCACCATCCAAGTCCGAGGCGCGTTGCGACTTGCTTCAAAGAAGGCCTGTCTTTTGGAGCGGTTTTTGCTGAGCTTCAGGGCTTTCCGGGGCGGCCTGTTCCATTTCTGATGATTAACTATGGTGTATATTAATGGTTATGGTGTAACTATATATGGTTATATGTAATATAACTATGGTTTATAATCCATATATCTGACATCCACCATCAGATAACCAAGAAACAAGAGTTTCCCAAGCTACATGACTGGTTGGTGGTTTCAAAATAATATGGATATTAAACCATCAACAGTAGGGACTTAATATGGGTTAATGGGACTTAATGACTTAATATATCTTAATAGGGACTTAATATGGTTCTGGTTGGTGGTTTCAAACATGATTTTCATTTTCCCTTTCATATATGGGATAATCCTTTCCACTTGACTTTCACATTTTTCAAGATGGTTAAAACCACCAACCAGATGATAGTTATATACCAATACCTATTATAGTTACCGAGTTACAATCACAAAGATTCACAAAGCAGAA